TACTTTTGTGCTAGCTATCGTAGACAAGAGGTGGCTCACCTGAGCCCTGGGCCGTTTGACCATCTAGCACTCTATTGATTTATCGCATCTTCTCCGCAAAAGGGTTCGGCCGAGTCAAAATACCTGGCGGCCTTAAGCACTGTCGACCAAAAGACCCTTCCATCGTACATCGCGTGCCGCTAATCGTATTCCGTATACCTGTATATGCGCACCTTGCATAGCAATTGCATTTCCTCAAGCTCACTGTGTAACACAGAGTTCATGGGTTTCGTGCAGCTTTACGTGCGAGAGGCGTGCGATGCTAGTCGATGGGCTGGTCCTGGGTGCAATGGAAAGGCTTCTCGCAAGCTTTTAGGCTTATCCTATTGCTCAAGAACATTGCTCCAGTCTTTCGACGCTGTGCGCTCAACTATCTGATGTTTAAGTGCGGCGACAACTCGTAGTCAGGAGCTGACACCCAAGTCATAAATCATTGTTGCTGTCGCGTCCGCATCTGTTCTAGTGCAGCGCCGCAACAATAGGTACCTAGGTAGGATCCGTGACCTCCTGTCTGGGGCGTATAGCCACGGTGCTTACCCATGACATCTGACAACTCTCCCCTACAGCGCAGCCGCGTAAATGCGCACAAGCTTGACGAGAGAGGAGCCGAAGACTGCTGTAATCTGGATGAGGACAGGGCTCGCTCAAGGCGTTCAACAAGCTTCGGAGTGAGCTGAAGGCCTTAGTAGTCGGATGTGTTAGTCACCACACACCTTCCTGATAGACACCAAGGAGTTATCGACGTACTGTAGCTCCCTCTTCACGAATATTAGGGGAGACTTCACTTCTCTCTAAGATCTTGGTACCATCCAGCAACCGAGCGGCTATATGCGGATGTCAGAATGAATGTCCACGGTCGGAGACGCGTCGATGCCTACATCAAGAACCATGCCACGACATCAATTCTACGACGCGTCAATCATTTCGGTTTCACTGATATTCCATCATGCAACAAACTTGAGACGCATCATCGGCGTTCCCCATCAACACCACCGGCCTGAAGAATGGAGAGAGGAAGACATCTCCCATGTCCTGGATACGATACCCGATGATAAGCGAGAGCCTGACCGAATGTAGATTAGTAAGTCATACATAGAGACACCTGAGACTACGAGCTTTGAAACAACCTACCGTTCGGCAACGCAAGCTTGAAGATATTGTCACGCTCACTGAGGCCGACGTCGACATCATCCTGCATCGGCGGTCTGTCCGTATACCTCTGGATGACCACTCTGCATTTGAAGACTCAAAAGGCTAGTTACTTAGCATAGAGCTTAGCACGAACCTTCTGCTGCTGCAGGGTCACAAAGACGACTGGCTCGGTGCACTTGAGAATTGTTACGAACCTGAACTTGACAACAGGATCAACTGTTTGGAAAAGTGTTGACTTCTTGACTCTGTGTCTGCTTGTTCTTTGGGAAAGTTTTGGACTGAAATTGGTCCGTTCGACTTCCTAGTCACACTCGAGGAAAATTTGAGAGGTAGGTATTCATGTCTGGAACGTGTCGCTGCAAATTCTCCAGGTTCCGTTCAGTTGTTTGGTGCAGATGGGGTGTCTGAGCTATGAAGTAAGACGCTGGGCAGGTGTGCGGAGCTTCTCAGCTTGCCTATAGGCTGCTGGAATGGGATAGGCATCCGCGGCGAAAATTTCCTCTTGAGCATTAGTAAAAGCCCAAGGATATTATCGCTGCACGGCTATCTCAGAGACGATTTAGTAAGTCAGTCCGGATCAACCACACGTCACTACAATCGCCACAGTCGCGGCTCGCGATGTATCCCTCACTAAAACAACTTGGAATACAAGTGTGTGAATAGAAGTGGATACAAATATTGCGTTCGAGAGCCCTTCAGAGCTATTTATAAATTTCCGAAACCGAATGTCTTGGTTTACTTGGTGAAAACAGTAGGGATGACTATATTGCAATGGTCAGATTGGATTGTTTCCGCTAAATCTTCGCACTATCTATCTTCGCCAACTCTCTCTTGCATCGCAAAGCAAGAGCCTGGAAGATCTTGCCGATCGTCTCTTCATATTCCTTGAGAGACAGATGTTCTGCCGTAGGTTGGAGTTGCTAATCTTCAGTATGGAGCGTGATGACAGAGAAGAAAATAGAAGAGGCAATCCCGACATCGGCAAAGCTTCTAGAATCGGGTGTACTTCAGAAGCCAAGGGAAGTGTGTGGTGGCGTTTGGCGGACTGTCGTAGTCTCCTTACGGGCGAGCTTGGCTCCGAGACAACGGGATCAAGTTAGACATTCTAGATTTCGATGCTCATCATCATAGATGGCCAGCAGGATTTTCAGCATGGGAGCGTGAAGTTTAAGCGGTTAAATGTCGCATCACGTTGGGAGTGCCAGCGAGCCATGAATCTCGTCGCGAACAAAAAACAAAAACCGAATCGGTCTCCAATGCCGTGCCTGTCCCTGACGGAGATATTGGAGTAAAACGCGCTCAACACCTGCAGGAGACGGGAGCAACGGAGCGCACGTGGATCTGCTACTAGGAATCTCGCGTTCGCAACACTGCCAGCCAGCCGGCTTCATCTCCGCGGTGACTAGCGCGAACCCAAACAGCCTCACAAAACGATCGCCTCCACGCCACAATACCTAGCGACTCCCGGTCGATCGAGGCTTGGTAACATACTTTCCGGAGTTTACGCAAGGAAAAAATCCTGTTGCTGGACCGCAATGGATGTCATGTGGGGGGAAAGGGTCCAGTTAAGGACCCAAGGGTCCCCAATCGTATGATGTATTCATCTCATCTCTCTTTTTACGTACGTGCGTGATTCGTTTTTGCTACAGCCCCAGGTTTTTACTGGGATGTGGTTCGTTGGTCTCCTCTTGATGCAGTCTCTTACTGCTCAAGGCTTCCCTTTGCATATGCGGGGAGAGGACCTTCGGAATTCGAACCTGTTCATCAACAATGGCGAGCTTCCGCGGGATAGGTCCATCTTCACGATTATTTCGTTGGTATGCATGATGGTGTTGTCGTTGTTACTAGGTAAGTGCACCTCCCATACTGTATCAACATCAGAATCAGACGACATACCTTTTGCATGTGCTCCACATCAAGGAATTCACACCAAGCTTGCAATCATGTTTTAACACATATCACAGGGCTGCGATGGGCAAAACTCAGACGGAGCATCGTGGTTAAGCGCAGCCTCATGTCAACGCTCGTTCTTATGTTATACGTTCTGGTGTTGATGTTCATCACCTGTTCAGCCGTTCTCGTAGCAGGGCAAGGACTGTACACGTATGGGATGTGTCTTGCAGGCACATGGGTTTGTCTGATCTTCTATACGTTCATCAAAGCTATCATGTGAGTAAGTACTGTCGATGATACAGATCACTGCTAACGATGGTAGCTATGTCTTTCTGGTCGAACGCATCCACGTCGTCCGCGCACCCTTCTTCAACAGGCGAAAAGACAAGCTGTACCTTGGTTGCATGGCCATGATAATCATTACGTACAGCTCAGTCGCCATCAATGCATACTGCAACCACGTCGTTGAGTTACGTGCGTCAGACGGTCGGTGCCACTTTGGCATTCGCGGTGCCGTATCAATACCGTTCACGGTCGTAAACTTCTTCACAGATGCGGTTTTGACAGCCGTCTTCTTTTACCTGCTTTGTCCTATCGTACAGATACCCGGTGTATCTGTTCTCTCCAAATTCTTCAAGATAAAACCGAACAAAGAAGGAAATACAGTCGATAGTGGAAATGATACCCCAGCTCGAAAGAACATTAGGACGCTGTTATGGAAGAGCATCATTGGCTCACTGTTGATCGAGATTCCAATGGCGGCGAACATGATCCAGTTCGTCTTGACAGATGGCGAGGAACTGGGTATGATCTGTCTTACAATCTGCCTAGTCGATGGTAGGCTTTCTTTCCCGCACGTCTGTTACATCGAAACTAACATTCTGCAGTATGTTGGGATGCGCTGGTAATCCATTGGCTGACCTTCAGTGCGTCTGGCTCGGCCGCCGAAAAGGACTTGTCGCGATCGACGGTGGTTTCCAGTGAGGAGTCATCGCATGACCAGATACCACCTAGATGCCGTTCTCGATTGAGTCTTGATGGCGAAGCCAAATCCGTCAAGCAAGAAACGACCGAGAAGTCCAATGATTTACAACTCGATGCTATAGACTTCCGGTGCGAGAGCCCTCGAGATTCAACAACTGATCTGATACGGCCCGCGGCTGTGAAGTGAGAAAATTAGACATTGTTGTGGTTTTTATCTCTCTAAGCAACCAGCAAAAGATCAACCTTGATGTAGGCGTAGTTTTAGTCTACGTTCACACCAAAAGAAACATTTATGCTACCCCAAATCGTTTCCCGGACGGAAATCAGCTCTTCGGCTATGTCATCCTAAACAAGACCGGATACGAGCGCCCTGAGTATGATACTGGTATCATACGGATCATATCATGTCTCATCACGGACACAAGCGGACTGTTCGCTTATGTCTGTGATCAGTTGAACAGGCGCACAATTGAATCGAATCTAAGCCTGGGAAGGTAGCTGCAAGGTCGAAGGACCAGCTACTAGCGCTGATCGATGCAAGAGTGAGCATGCAGCTTGGTTCGCCATTTTAATATTGTCAATCATCGCCTACGCAAACTCAAAGGGTCAGTGCTCATTCCAAAAGCAGTTTCGAAACTAGCAAGGTCCACTGGAGGAGGTGGATGTATATGCACAGTGGCCAAGCATGAGCGCTTCAGTGAGCAAGATTGCTGGGCTGTTGCCAGGAATGAAAGGTTGGGTGCGGCGAACTCTCTGATTGCCCATACCTTCCCGTAGAAGTTGTGTAGAATAGCAAATATCAATAACAAACAACTCTGCAGCAGAGGTACATTGGTGGCCTCTCATTTTTATCCTCTCAAAGGACAATTCACTGACAATCAAATAACTGCGACAGCGGATTAGTGCAACGAACAGTGGAGAACAAATCTATATCAATAACCAGTCTTTCCAGGGACTATCTCGTAGCATGGTCCGCCCTTCCCAAACATCTTCTGCAGATCCGCAACGATCACATCCGGCCTCTCGTGCGCAGCGAAATGGCCACCTTTGTCGTTGATACTTTCATGGACAAGAGGGCCTGTTCGCATGTGAGTATAAGTTCCATGCGCATTATCATGAGAGTCATACCTAAGGTTTTCGCCCACAATCTTGGGACAACAGTGATCTCATTAGGAAAGTGCGCGACACCAAGCTTCACACGATCAACCCACTGACTCGTGCGCTCTCGATTGGGGATCAGATCCGTGGGGTTATGTTGAGCTTCATAGTAGATCCTAATATGCGCATTGGGGCCTGCAGTACTGAACCAGTAGACACTAACCCATGTTAAAACCTCATCGTCGGTCCACTGATAGCTATCAGTCCAGTCAACCAGCTTCTCGTAGATCCATGCCAGTAGAGCAACAGGGCTGTCTGCGAAGGCATATGAGAGTGTCTGCGGCTTGGTAGCTTGTAACTGGCGATACGCTTGACCGTCGGTAAGAAACCACTCAGAGCGCTTCATGCCTTTGGATTCAGCATCTGTGTAGGGAGTCATCGCGTGCTGGAGAGCAAGTACAGGCTGTGATGTAAATGTCGGCGCGTGCGCGCGCACCATATTGATGTGACTGGCGAGAACATTATCCGGATAGAGAATGCCCATCGACCTGGTTATGTAGAAGCCCCAGTCGCCGCCTTGAGTGACATACTTCTCGTATCCGAGGTCCTGCATTAACCGGTGGCAAGTCTCAGCGTACTGCGACAGTGCAAAACCAGGCTTGAGGATCTTCTGACTGAACCCGAAATTCGGCAGGGATGGTGCCACGATGTGAAATGCGGGCTTGCCTTCTTTCTCACCATCTTCCAGGAGTGGAAGCAACTTTGTGACCTCGAGAAATGAGCCTGGCCACCCGTGACTGAATAACAGTGGCACTGCATTTGGGTTAGAGCTTCTCTTGTGTACGAAGTGTATGTCGATTTGTCCAAAGCCATCAACCTGTACTTTCTTTCGAAAGTTTGGCAATTCGTTGATCTTAGATTCGACTTTTCGCCAATCGAAACCGGTTTCCCAATGTTTCGCTAGACGCTTGACGTCCGATAGTGGTGAACCATATGGCCACTGGTCAGGTGTATCCAGTTCATCAGGGAAGTCCGCGTCTGACAACTTTCTTTTCAGCTTCTCGATTGCGGTGTCTGCAATCGAGATCGTGTAAGGCTCAGGTTGCGAAGCCATCGTGAGTGACGTTGTGAATGTTGGAGGTGTCAACCTTGTAGTTGTGCGCTCTTTGTGTGATGCGACCCCTCAGTTGAGCCAAAAGCCAAACAGCGCCCTTTTAGCTATGCACATGTTGACATCATGTGCCAAGTATGCGCTCTTAATACGTCTGCTGCTGCGAGTAGTTACTGCTATAATACTTAGTAATGTCGCAATTGTAGCATGTACGCCGCATGGAACCGTACTGGGATAGTTTCCCATTTGAAACAACATGCGTATCTCGAATGGAGCAAGTGTCTCTTTGTGTCATATGCTCCGCGATCGCACAGTACGCTGCTGATCGTGCTGTCGCGCGAGCTGATAATTCGGTGGCTGGGTAAGATGACAGCTAGTCCTCTTCGAACGGTCGACTCGGCGCGTGTCGCGTATGCCATTACGCCATCATCCCCGACGTGTCGTGCACGAAGTCAACAACCCTGTCCTTGATGAGACGGCGATTCAAACATCCTCATGACATCTGCACGGTACTTCCATCGAGCACGCATCTTTCCGACAGCGCCCCAGGTATCTACGTAGGTAGGCTCCGACAATACCGAGAAAAGCGATCACGAAATCTATCAAGAAACACCGCCATCTACGACTGATCAACTTCTAGTAGAAAGTAAAGAAGCATTTAGAAAAGGTTAAGCCTACCGAGGTCGTATTGCCTACGACGGGTGATGATCGTGGAAGAGCGCTTTTCAAGAGTTTGACGGCATTTCGGAATGCATCGCTCGGAACTGGTCGGAATACCTAACTATCACAAGCGCGGGGTCTCCGCAGCCTACCATGACGTTTATCACCATAGTGCAGCACGATAGGGTTGTCATTGGCTCTTGATAAGGGACCCAGATCTATTGGCTTCTATTGCTACGATGACTGAGCGCTCTAAGTCACCTGCGTCGAGGTTCGTTCTGAACATCCTCCGCAGTATTCATAGGCTCAGGTGAGCTTGTTGCACTCGCATCATTCTAGGATTGTTAAGCCTATGATCGAAGGGTCTCGCAGTCTGCAAACGTATTCAGTGAAACCAATGGGCGAATCGACATCCAGGGCGCGAGTCACGACAAGTGTATGGCTATCGTACGGCAAATTCTCCTACGGCAAAGCTCCGACTTTCCATCCCGAACCGAAAGATTGACGGGCCTATACCGGCCCTATCGGATTGCCAGACTTGCAAGTATATTAGGCATCACCTCTCGAAAGCATTATTCGTTCTTTGTTCTTACTCTCTTGTCCCAGAATGAGCTCAATGGCGTCGGCCGACCACGCGAAGAGCGTATATGCTACTACCAGTGAAGCACTCCAAGCAGCCAAGCAACGATTCGCAGAGCGGAACGCTAAAAGCTCGCATCTACACGAGGAATCGAACAAAGCCCTGCCAGGCGGTAATACGAGAAGTGTACTTCACACTGCGCCTTTTCCGGTATTCCTGAAGAGCGGCAAAGGGTATCAAGTTACGTCCGAGGATGGGCAAACCTATACAGATCTTGTTGGCGAATTTACTGCCGCTTTATATGGCCACTCGCAACCCCTCATACAATCAGCGCTGGTCGATACTATCAACAACGTTGGTCTCAACTTGGGTGGAACGACTACCCTGGAGATGAGGCACGCCGCACTGATATGTTCGCGATACAAGCTTGATCTCATTCGATTCACAAACTCAGGCACAGAGGCAAATCTTCATGCCATCCAAGGAGCGAGGAAGTTCACCGGCAAGAGGAAGGTTGTAGTTTTCACAGGGGGCTACCATGGCGGTTGTTACACGTTTCCGGAAGATCACCCTGCCGAGAACTGTGTAGACCAAGAGGAATGGATTATTGCAGAGTTCAACGATGTTGAAGACACGAAGAGGAAGATCGAGGAGTCTGGAGACGTAGCTGCAGTGCTCATCGAAGGCATGCAGGGTAGAGGCCCGTGTCTCGTGGGTACTCATGACTTCCTGCATCAAGTTCAGGAATCAGCAAAGAAAGCCGACGCAATCTTCATTCTAGACGAAGTACAAACAAGCCGTTTGGCGCCGGGTGGGCTACAAGAAGTCGAGGGGTTGGAGCCAGACATTACGACTTTGGGCAAGTTCCTCGGTGGAGGAATTACATTTGGCGCATTCGGTGGGCGAGCAGACATTATGCGCGTATATGACCCACGGGAGAAGGGATCTTTAGGACATTCCGGCACTTTCAACAACAATACGCTTGGAATGACAGCAGGATACACTGGCCTTGCGAATGTGTACACACCCGAAGTCTGTCGCAACTTCAATGCGATGGGTGACAAACTTCGCCTCCGTCTTCAAGAGCTTTCGCATGGAACCAAAATGACCGTTACGGGTTTGGGAACGATCATGGGTATACATTTCTTGCATGATGGCAAGAAGGAACTAAGAAGCTTCCGAGATCGGCATGAGGACCTTGACCTGAGCATGCTATTCTGGCTCGAGATGATGGAAGCAGGATTCTGGATTACTCAACGAGGAAGCGTAGCCATCATCCTAGGTACACCCTGGGAGGAGTTACAAAGGTTCTCAGACTGCGTACGGGGATTTCTGGAGAAATACAGGGGATTGTTGAGTATTTGATCTTCATTCCCGAACTTCGTTGTTGCTGGAGATCTTGATGCGCTTGGCTTCCGTAACTTTCATGCGCAAGTGGCGCCTTGTGAAGCTCTCCCAAGATAGTCACCGCATCACCGTTGTTCTTTCGGAACTTTTTGAGATACGGAACTTTGTAGTCCAAGAGGTACATAAAGCCAAGCCATGACGAGATCAGGCACATCTTTCGGTAAGATGTCGTGTTCCATGCAACTGCAGCTTTCCCCGGGACTCTGCGCACCAGACTACTCGAGATATCCATGTAGAAGGTCTCATAGTATTGTCACTCCAACGGGGTGTAGTCGCACTCGATTGTGAGATGTTGTACCTCGGGCAACGAGTCACTGATGCGCTTGCTGTCAATAGTGGATGCAAAGCTCCTACGGATCATGATACGCTTGAAGACCCTGACCATACGCTTACCCCAATCAGCCAGTTAAAGGTTATCGTCTTTAAAGACCCACTTGTCGAGAGCCTCCTCGCAGAACGTCAGGGAAGCTTTCGGGTCGTCGTCTGAATACTTCCATGGGTCGGCTTGATCGAGAACATAGTCTAAGGGGCTTTGTTCAGGTTCTTCAGATTCCTCAGAGGAGGGGAAGTCCTGGAGATCAAAACCAAGACTCTCCGGCCAACTAGCTTCTTCACGCATTGCACTCTGAAGGAACGCCATGATGCCCGTGAATTCATGGAGACTGTTGAGCGTTGGTGTGCCTGTTATGACGAGGCGGTTACAAAACCAAGGTTACCTAGGTAGCTTTGTGACATGGTGTGCACGGATACTCTCGCGCTGTGGGATAATCATCCGAGTCGCATTGCGAACAGTAGTTCTATCACTAGAATAACTTGCTACGAGAGTGAACGGAAATTCTTCTTCATACTATAATAAAGCGTATTAAGAGCTATGTACATAGAGATAGAAAACCTAGAAGCCTACATTACTATTATTCTTTATGAGCTTTCTTTTAAGGAGTTACTGTAAGCTGCAAGGTAGAGCTTGTTATTTCTATACCTGTTTACGTTTTCTCTTGTATGTGGTGCTATCTGAAGATATGAAGCCGACAATGCAAAGCTTATCGGCCCACCCCACTTCCACAACTGGGCCGGGCCGCGACCGCCCAGTCCCGTGATACATTACCTAGGTACTTCATGACACGACAATCAAGCTCAACAGCGATAATCCGACACAAACTCTAAGATGGCCCCTCTAACCATTGATCCGCCCCTTCTCAATTCCGCAAACCCCTGGTGTACAACTCTCGATCAGCTTCAAGAGCTCTACAACTGTCCTCACACAGGCGCTATCACCACTCGCACCTCGCTGATCGGAGGTTTCCCTCACGACTCTGGACATCATCAATTCGCGTTCTTTAATCCCTCGACCCACGCATCCAGCACTCCCAACAAGGACCTTGGCGGCGACGCAAGCACGACAGGGAGTTTAAACACGCTAGGATACTCACCCATCCCACTCTCCGAATACCTGGGTTTTGTGAAAGCCATCAGCGATGGTCTAGGTGATGAGCCACCCAGTGGGAGAAAAACGTTCAAGCCCATCGTCATCTCCATAACGGGTTCTGCAGAAGAAGTAACCAAATGTTACCACTTGATCCACGAACTTGGCAAGTCCGTGAAAATGCGCCTTGCCATGGAAATCAACCTCTCTTGTCCCAACATTCCCGGAAAAACGCCGCCAGCGTACGATTTCACTGCATTGCGGACGTATCTCGAGGCGCTCAAGGTCGAGATCGATGTCGGCTTAGTAAAGGCAGGCGGAATAGATGAAAATGAACGAGTGGCAGTGGGCATCAAGATACCACCGTATACGTATCAGGAGCAATTTGAGGGGCTACTCGGTGTATTGAAAGAAAGTGTGAGCATGAAACCAGTATACCTGAGCTGTCCAGTGGACTTTATAACGGCGGTCAATACGCTGGGTTCGAGTCTACTCATGGTACCAGATACTGAGGTGGATAAGGGCGTCAGACCTACATTGAAGTCAACAAATGGATCTGGTGTAGGTGGTCTAGCAGGCGCGCCCTTGCATCCACTTGCACTGGGAAACGTGTATACGATCAGGAACATGCTGGACAAACACGAGGATTTGAAGGAGATCGCGATTGTTGGAACAGGCGGAGTGGAGGACAAGGCTGGATTTGAGAGGATGCGGAGTGTTGGGTCAGGAGCTGTGGGGGTGGGAACAGCGTTGGGAAGAAAGGGTGTGGATATCTTTGGGGAGATAGCTTCTGACTGAGAGGTGTTGAGATAGTTGGGTGTAAGGGTTTGCATGTGCGCATACACGCGTGGACCAATAAATGACGACATTCAAAGTGTTGTATTAATGAGCTAGCGCTACCCTACTCTTTATGATAATATACAAAGAATCCGCCTCAAGAACACCCCAGATTCCGCAAATTTCAAAAACTAAAAGCCACAACGCAGAGGTTCTGACCGCCCATAAAATGCTGCGCCGATGCATGCCAAAAGAGTTGCCAATTTCATTACCCTTTGTCTTACCATTATGCACCAAAACACCATGCTTGCAACCCAAAATGCACACAATGTGAAATAGACTGAACGTGGAAATGAAGGGAAGGGAAAAGGGATGGACGTATCAATATCGACTGTCCGACTTCTGTCGAGCGTGGGCAGCTTTGCTGTTCCTCCTCTTCTTTAGAAACTGGCGTAGCCTGTATCCTCACCACCAGCATCATCCATCCAGCCCGCACCAACCTCACCTAAACCAGGGCCATGGTGATGATTTCGCGCCATGCCCTCGCCCTCGCCTCGTTCGACCCATTCCTCGTTGATGTCATTCCAAATGCGTTGGAAGTAGAGGCGTAGTGATCGGAGGCCACGGAGGTACCCTCTATCGATGCCGTCGGGATTTTCAGGTGGACAAGGTAAGTCGTCTGGTAGAGGGTCTTCTGCAGTCACGCAGTTGGCAAAGTCGACAATTTTCAGCTTGATCTCTCCGTGCTTCTTGGGTGACGGTTTAGAAGCGACTGTCGGCCCTGGTGATGTAAGTCCAGATGGTATTGTTGAAACGTCTTCGTTGCTCGGGTTCGACAAGCCGTTAGGTAAAGAGGGTGCTGCGTCTTTCTCCTTCGACTCACCGTCCCCACGATCATAGAGCATCAACAAACTACTCGCGTAGAATCTGTATCCTGGAAGTTTTCGTATCATGCGTTCCAGTTGGCTGATCTTCTCCAATATGACGGGTATGTGTCTGTTTGCTGCTTTGTAGCTCGTCCCATCCCAAAAAAAGCGCTTAAGCGCGTCCTGAAATTCTTTTCCTGCTTTCAGATCTCGACCGAAGTACTTGTCCTCGAAGATGTAGCTCTGGGTCTTGGCGTTCCAAATTTGCATACCGCAGACTCGCACGCCGAGTTGAGCACTGGTGGTCATCTGACACTTGCGCCGTTGAGACCGCTGTTTCTTCTCATCGGCTTCCACACCATACTGGCGCGTACCCATCTTCAAGTCTAAGACACAAGGCCTTGTCATGCCAGCAGTAAGGTCTTCAAGAAGGATGAAGTGTTGAACGCGCTCGTCAGGCTGGTGCTGCGCCTGATCGGGGTTGGAAGGTTCGTCCTTAAGCGGAGCACCCGTGCCATTAGGAACAGCTGGAGCTGGCAGCATGGTACCCTCCGTTGGCCTCTGAGCATCGGAGCCATTGAGTGTGCCGGAGACTTGCACAGACCGACCCCTGTTCTGTTCCTTTGCGTCGGTCAGGGCGTTGCGATCCTCGTCCATGGCAAATACCTCCTCCTCGGCATCACCACCATAGCCGTCCTCTTCATAGTATTCCAAGTTGTGTCTCTGGATAGTATCTATTCCCAAAGGTCTCCTAGTAAGTCCACTTCCAGAATGACGACGGCGGGGAATAGTGTTTTGCGATGGCTTCAGAGTATCGCCATTCATTTCTGGTCGTCCAGCCGAGCTAGAAAGGGCAGAATCGGGGTTCTTGTCGGAAGCATGTCGGTGTGCTTCAGCTTTCAGAACTTGTTTTCGTGTGCACTCTTCTGTCAGTGGTGGATGCAAACCAGATACATCTGTGCTATTTCTCCTTATGGTAGGCGCAGAACCAGCCACAGTCTGTGGTGTGTCTCTTCCAGCCTTGCGGGTAGAGATCCCATGGTGGTGGTGACGCGACCGATGATGGATGGGTGGCGGTGCGAAAACTTGACGAAGCACTTCTTCTTGTAGTTTTCTGTTGATTGTCGTGACACCCCAACTGCTGGTATGCTGCAACGGAGGCCGTGTTGGACTTTGAGAGACATGTCCGTAATCACTCTGGTTTCGCCGATGTTGCTGCTGTAAGATCGAGGAATTCCTCATCCATGGATCTGGAGTGGTGGAACGTGGTGGCACACGAAATAGGTTGTCTGGGATGATATGCCGATTGTTCTCGAATATTACCTGAGGAATGGTCATACCAACTTGTTGCGAGTGGCTGACTACTCGGGGTTGTTCATCTTTGCCCCGATCTCCAGGAGCTTTGGAAGCCTGTCTTGAAGCATTTTCTGACTGTGTTGCAGAAGTAGTTGGCGCGGCATCAGATTTCGCTTTGTCCTTGGCGCCCTTTTTCTTTTTGGGTGCTTTTCGATAAGTCACGTTCAAGACACCAATGTACCTATAAGATAGCAATGTTAGCAAATGACTTAACTGAAACATGGGACGAACGCAAATATCTTGCTGAAGTCTCAGCTTTGATCGATAGCAGAGGGAAGTTGTCGTACCTTGGCAAGAATTCCAATAGCTCTGGGTGCTGCCGCTCCACTGTTTCGTAGAACTCATTCTCACGATTGTTCAGTTGTTTGCAAACTGCTCGTCTTGAAAAACGGTAGACGGTGGAATGGCCGCCCACTTGGTGATCGTACGGCTTCAGCTCCACAGCTCCCAGTGGGGCGGGTGGCTGAGCTACCTGTGGCGCAGCGGCTTTAACTTCCTGTTTGTGCGTAGTCGCAGTGGGCGTCGTTCCTAGGTCATCAGTCGCACTGGATTCATAACCAAGATGTGACTGAGTAGATTCGGCAATCGACTCAGATTCAGATTCAGCTGAAAGCGCATCGCCAGCGGACGTCAGCGGTTGTTCTTTGTCTTTCTTTACGGAAGTCGCCGTGGAGATATCACCATGAAGGCATTGATTGGTATCTTGGGACTGTAGAGAAATTTCTACTTCTTGTGGGGTTTGCACATCCTTCTCTGTGGCCCAGCCCTTTGGCCCCGCAACTTCGTGAGTTGAAGCCCTCTTCTCGACAGCATTCACCTCTCTATCTTGGTTCTGTGTTTCTGCAGGCAGTTGCTCACTTGTCTTGAGACGCCTATGGGGGAAGTATAGAGCTGAAGATATTTGCTCTTTCTCCGATTCGTCGTCTTCCTCCGAGCCCGGTGTACGTTCTCTGTTGCCTCCATCTTTGACTTGGAAGTAATCGGACGGCTCGTGATAGTGTGCTGATCCGTTCGTTGGTGCGTGTGCGTGAACCTTCTCCACCGCCGAGGTAGGAAGACTGCGTGAGAGCAATGATCTTGGGTCCGCGCCAGGGGTCAAGTTTCCGAAGCCGCGAATGTCCTCGAGAAGACGCCGCGGGAATTGCTTCTTGTCTGGAGTGCTCACATCCGGTCGCGTGCTTCCGTCAGAGGGAGTGGCGACAGCGCCTGGTTCCGTGCGAGGTGCGGCTTTCGCTTCAAAGTATGACTCAATTGGACCGCCCAGAGGTGACTGTACGACGGAGGACGCCATTGACGCGCGACGGAGCTGATCGATCAGAGCAACAGTCTCGTTTGTGGCTTCCTCTGAAAGCGTGGACAGGGTTCTCTCAACGGACGGACGCTCTCTCGCCTTGTTGTCCTTCTTCCTCGGTTCTTCGGTAGGGTCGCCATCCTTGAATACGCGTAGATAGTGGCTTGCTTTCCGACTGCGGGCAGACGTAGGTTGCTCAGTCTTGGCAAGTGTTGCTTCAATCTTCTTTTCCATCTCAACGTCCATGACAGGCTGGTCGGAGATCATGTTGCCCTTGAACGGAACAGGCTTTCCCTCACGCCATTCTCTATTCCTACGTCTCTCCTCGCTCTCGAGAAGAGCCTCGTATTGGAGTTCGGGACGCGGTGGGGTGCTGGGGTGCTGTACGGGCGAATCGACGGGACTCATAAAGGGCGGAGGACTGTGATGGATGGCGTCGAAACCCACACCAGCTGCAATGGCTGCGCGGGGGTTGAAGGGGGTAGTCAAGACGGCTTGGTGGTCGATAGAAGAAGTGGATGGCGGCAGGGTGGAATGTTTCCTGCGAATGATGGGCGGATCCATCAATCGCCTCTGGGGAGGTGCTGGTGCTGCCATCTCTGACAGACTGTGTTCGGGAGCATCGTTGGCGGGGTCTACATTGCGTGCGCTGGCCCGCGGAGAGGAGATGGGGCTGTCGGTGTGGAGATAGGTAGTCGCGAATATGCTGTCGCGCTCGTCCAGCTGGGGGCGGTCAATTGACGACTTCCAAAGGTTGTTGTTATCGTGGACAATGGGAGCCGTGCGTGAACGGCCCGTCTGGGAGAGGGTCTTGGGCGTCACTTGGTCGTGCTCGGGGTCCGGCGTGCGAACTCCATGGCTGGCGTTCGACCTCACCGATGCGGGGGGTGAGGTATTTCCTTGGGCGTCCGGCTGGGGTGACATGGGCTCGACATTGATTCGACCGTTGGGAAGGCACCTCGTGGCAGGATGGGTGGCAGATATTGCCGGGTGGGCGCTCAGGTCGTTTGCCAGGATGCGGTCGTTTGGGCGCGGCGGAGACACAGCGGAGGGCCAGCAGGGGCGGATCTTCCAGATTAGCGTGCAGAGCAGCGGCGCTGGCGGATGGGAGGGCTGCAGATGTGGTTCCAGGGTGCTAGCGAGCGAGACACCAGTGAGAGATGCGAAAGGTCCACGTTCTAATTCTGTGTGGTTTGGCGTCAAGGCCAAAGTGGCGCAAAGATTATCCCAAGCGAGCGGCCCAATGACGTCTGCCTGACTGCCACCGCGTAACAAAGCGCGTCAGTGCAGATGGCCCGAGTGGTTGGTGGTTTCGCGACGGTACCGTGCGATGTTTGTTTACACAATGCAGAAGACGGACGTGGAGAGGGCAGTTTGGCCTCTGGCGACAAAGACAATTGGGCTTGGCGGCAATTGCGCGGGCAATTGCTGCGACGTCGTGGTTGCCTGTCCATGTGAAGACGAGGCAGGAGCGTCCGTGCACAAGGAGCCACATGAACGATGTCGGCACGGTTCACGGACTGAGCTAGTCGACGTTGAACGCTTCCAAGGTTCAACCCACGACACATGCCATCACCATAGGCTGCAGTCACGCGCTGCAGCTTCACTTTGCAGCTTCGTTGGAAATTGGAAAAGCACAATTCTTGACATCTGTGACACAAGCTAGACGTCTTTTCGCCTCCGCGCCGTCCTCCCCGTGCCCCTACAAAGGCCCGTATCCAAACTATGCGGTACCGGCTATACCATCCCATCACGATTGCCTCACCCCTTTCGCCGATATCAATCCGTGCTCTGCCCAAGGTCTTTTGCTTGCATTGACTATGCATGGGCTCCAGACGTCGACGACCAATCACTCGAGAACGTGGCCTCTCACCGCCTGCTGCATCCTTACGTGACTATCGCTGCACGTCGCTGTGATACCGGTACAGGAATGCTTCCATCTGGCAGGACCAGAGTGCCACGACGACCAAGGCCACTGGTGGGACGTGAACATGCCGCTGCTTCCGTGTTGCTCTGACCCGCACAGCATTGCCTAGAGACGAAATCATATTTCCTCTTTGTCATAGCATTCAAGTGTCGTCTATATTACGAAGGAATCGATCTGTAAAATCCAGATCACCAGTAGGGCCGAAGTCACCTAGTGACGTGTCGATGTCCAGTGCTGGGAATCTAATGTCCTTCAACGCCCCCTTGGACATGTCACCTAAAAGCCCCTGAGATCCTTGTGAAGCTTTGTCTGTAGTGAAGCTCCAGATCGATGTGATGTTGTTCTTATCCTTCAATGGAATTCGGTCGGTACCAGGAGTGGGGCTCTTAGCGATTGCGTCAGCTTTCAGTACCCCATCACTAGGACTGAGAGCGAACCGCAGATTGCTTCGTTGTGATTCTTCAGGCTTCTTCTTCACTGTGCTGAACGCGAATGGTGACGCTGCGCCAAAGAGGTCCTGCGTACTGATGGGTGGAGCCTGCAGTACAGTCTCGGGTGCCAGCGGTTCGTCTCGCTGGACCGTGAAGCCAGAATGGGGTGTAGTTGCTGCGATGGGAGCGGCCAAATACGGACGGGGTGTATCTCGAAGTGAGGGTTGTGAATCCAATCGAAGGACCTCAGGCGATACTATGGGGAAAGTGCTTTGCTGGAACTCAAGCTGAGCTCGCAGCAATGCGGCTTGTGTAGACCAGTCAGAATTATGACTGCCTCGACTTGTGCGGAAATCCGAATTCTCATCCTGGACCACAGTAACATGTCCTTCCACCTGCGGAGATGCTTGCACTTCGACGGTAACTTCCTCTGTACAGACCTCCTGCAGCTCATTCTTGGCTTCATCCTGGGTAGCAGTCTTGTCAGCAACTGGTTCTCTGACTGAGGGAGCTTTCTCTGGCGATGAGTCGAAGTTGACTGCTCTCGGCCTCAGTTTCGATTTTCTAGAAACTGGCCTGGGCGTGGACGCATTATGTGTATCTTGGTGACTGGAGCGTCGTGGCGGTTCTCTTGGGTTCGAGGCTGATGTTGAGTTGATAGATCGGCCCGCAGACTGCTGTACATCATCTCTTGTACGTCTTCCCTGACTTCCTATCGAAGAAGTAATGATCGGTACTGTCCGCTGTGACCGTTGTCCCGACTGACTGCTGTGAGGTGTTGCTATGGTCAGAGCCGGAGTATCACCTGCCTCGGTTACTGAGTCTGCAGCGGTTAGGACTTGTGCCTGAACTTCCGTATCGGCACCCCTGGTAGGTGAGGATATCATCATGGAAGCCGACGCGCTTGATGCCCATTCCTCTTGCTCCAATGCTCCAAGTGCCGATGTCTGAGCCTGAATAGGTGCTTTTGGGAGACTGAGCCGCAATTCTGATAACGTTTGTGTTTGTGAGGCGCTATTTCGCGATCGTGATCGTGTTGGAGACGTGTCCGTGTTCCGGTTTGTGGCTTTGCGCATGTCGACTCTGGCGGAGTCAGGGCGACGCAACCAGAATGGGTTTGTCATGGGAGAGCGACTTTGTATGCATCTAGCCGTGGATATGCTCACGGATTCTATCGTTTCGGGTACATCTTCTTCGTCGTCGTCGTCGGGTAAGGGCGCTGTCGCGGGCGGGACTTCGATTTCGTCGAGGCTATCGTCGTGTTCGCGGCGGTCGAGGTCGTCCTTGGCAGCCCTGGATGTTTCTGGCGACTCTGTCTGGGGCGGCGCGGATTCTTCGACGACAACGCTTTCAGTGCTCCTCCTCACCCTTGCGCTGCTCCTATGCCCAATTGCGTCTCTTCGACCAACAGCGGCCTTGTTGCTCTTGTGTGATATCTTCTTCTTCTTTTTTTCTACTATGGGTTTTGCCCATGGGTTCTTCCAGTCATTGTTGAAGGGTCCTCTTAGCCCTGCTGTGACAATGACGGGTGCTCGGCCACGCAGATATCGGGATGCAATCGCTTCGATTCTTCGTCGCTTCGCTGCCCGGTGCTCAGCGTCCTCGTATTCTGCGAGTGGTTCTTCGAGGAGGTCTTCTGGGTCGACATGGAAACCATCAAAGTCCAGTCCCCGCTTCAGGTGAGGGTGTAAATAGAGCGGCATGTTTATGGGCAATCGTGACGAGAAGCTTGTCCTCGACACAATGCAGCTCTAACTAGAGTCCAGCATGTGACAATGTTCTATGGGTAGCAGCAGTGATGATGTAAAAATAAGGTGGGGTCGGGTCGAGTCGCATCGTCGTTCGGCGTCTGTGTCGTAGCTGCCACGGCGGCGTGAAGGGAGGACCAAGCTCAACAAACAAGCTCGGGAGACAAGCGAATGAATCCGCCAAGACAAGATCTGCTACCGTCTCAGAGATGGAATAGCCGTTTTCTCGGGACGGTCTAGTTCTCTTGATTGGCGGGATAGTCATCGTCGGCGCATTGTCGTCTTGCGTTTTGCGGGAGATCGTATGTGGTTGCTGTGGGAACGACTCCTTAGCGCACGCGGGGATAGGCCGTGCATCCGGCATCAGATGTCATAGATGCTCGCTAGTATATCGATATACACCCGATAACAAGTCAGCACGACTCGTCGACGCGTTCTTGGACGTTGCGCCCGCCATTGAGAAAGCCGCAGAAGCAATATGCCGTTTGCGCTAAGATAGCAGCATTATTTTGACGCGTCGGCGCCAGCCAGCAAGTTTCCTCCTCACCGCTTCATTTTCCAGCGCCCAAACTTGAGACATCAACACGGCCAACGCGGCACCGGCCGAGACAACCACCACAACCACCACCATGGCCAAAAACCCACCACAGCCCAGCTACTTTGAAGGGCTCTCCGAAGAATGGCCCCAGGAATCACCAGCCACAATCGCACGCAATGTCCAAAGCCCGGCCGTGACTCCCCAGAGCGCGGCAAAGGCCCGCAGTCGTCTTCCCCGCATGCGACAGTCCTCAGGCTCCTTCTCCGAGATCCAAGTGCGCAGCATCGGCAAAGAGCTTCGGCCGCCAAAGCAGAGGAGCGCCCTCCTCGAGCGCAGCTACAGCGACATCAACGCCCCGCCCGCCCCGTCATCGCCCAACGCGTCACACATTGAGCCCCCACGTCGCGCCTCGTACTCGTCTTTTTCCATCTCGCAAGGCTCCGGCATTCACTATGGAACAGTCGCACACAACACGGTCGCGAGATCACCCACAAAAGAGCCAGGATCCCATGACACGCCCGAGTGGAGGCGCAGGCTCGTCAATGGCGAAGTAGGCTACGGCGGCCAGACCGACTTGTTTGGCCCCACAGGTCTTGAGAACATCTTCCAACCACCAGCCGGAGGTGCATCAGACGACTCTGCGCAACCAAAGCGCAGACTTGGGCTGCTGAAGGGTCTTTCTGCCGTTCCGTTACCTTCGAGTCCACCACCATGGCCAGCCACGCGACGGAACGCGCAACAAAAGGAACAAGACCACGATGCCACACTAGATGAGCAACAACAACAAACAGAACTAGAGGAGCCCTCCCACAATGAAACAACACACGAAGAAGAGCCATCGGAATGCTCTCAAAATCTTATGCCGCCGCCAAGCGACCCGGTACGGACCGTGAGCGGCCAGATAGAGTACGAGAACGAAAACTTCAGCCCTGTCTATCTTACCATGACCGGGAACATGAAGACTAGCCAGGCTGCCAACCCTGCCCCCAACTTCAGAGGATCCGAACTTGCCAACCGGTTACGCCAGATCGGATCGCCGCCCCCAGACCATTTTCAGTCCGAGCAAGAAGAAAGCGCACTGGGTTATAGCCGCGAGGACTCATCTTTTGCCAGACTGCAAGACGAGTCGCTACCAGAAGGCCTTCCTGCTGGCACTCCAGATATGGCGGACATGAACCGGAATGTAGAGTTTCGAAGAGGTGGATATTCTAGGGACGGATCTTTCCATCGCAAGCCTCTCAGCCCGTCGCCAGAAAGGATAGCTGGGTCGCGACCATCCAGCAGTCGTGCCGTCACAGCTCAGTCGAGTACAACCACGAAACACCCTTCGCCTCCTCCAGCATTGGTCACCAACCCATCTACACCACATCGTCGACGCGAACAATTCTTGAGTCCAGACCGAGCAAAAGGCTCTGGAAGTCCGTTGAAGCTCTTCGATGCGCATGACACCTTCACAAGTAACCGTATACAGAGGCGACTTAGTCAGCTTGAGTACAAATCTGAGAAAGCTTCTAGTGTCAAAGAGGGCACGGCAGAGTCAAGCAAGGCGGCGCCGAAGCAATCGAGGCTGACATCGGTAGAAGAAAGGAGCATGCAGAACCTCGATCAAAGTCAGTCGGAACTGCCATTCAGACTTCCGTCTTTCGGCCAAGGCCAGCTAAATCAGCACGAATTCTCTGGTGACTACTCTGCAATAACATCCGATGATGATTACGATGCGCAAAACGATAGCGCCCCCGACGAGTCACCCTCTACAGATGTTGCGCCTCCTGGCAGCCGCCAACCTTTCAAGTTCCAGCTTGACGAATCACCAGTCCGACGCCAGCCTTCAAAAGCTCGTAGACGTGTATCTAGCCAGGCAGCGAACCCAATAAGAAATGTCAGTCGGAATGTCAGTCGGCCAAAGTTTGTACCACACCGGAAGGTCTCTGAGGAAAAGACGGAGGCATTTCCAGAAGAAGATTTTTCAGAAGTTGTTCACGAGTATGCTGAAGGGAAGAGAGGTCCGACATCGCCGTTCAAGAACCCTACTCCCAAGCGTAGAAGGACAATCACTGCAGCAGATGAAGATGAAGAGAACGAAGATATACCGAGTGATGCTGAAGCAGGCACAATACAGCGTTCGCATGCAGCCATCCAGGCGGTTGTTGGACGTACGCAAAAGGACGGCAGTCTAGATCCCTCGACGAACATTGCCGACTCAGAGACGCTAGCCCGACGGCACATATTGAGACCACGCAACCCTACGCCTAGTCAACGAAGGCGAGAGGAGATACAAGCAGAGATCATGGAAGCTACAGAAGCTTTCATCCAAGCTTCACCAAAGCTCAACACAATTCAGGAACACCTAGATTCATCTATCATGTCAGATACTGATACAGAACGAGAACATGCAAAGGCAGTCGCCAACCAGGTCGCAGCTTTCACTTTGAGGAGGCAACCTGGCGCGCGCGATAAGACTCGCAAACGATCTGTAACCACGCAAGATTTCCTGGATGAAGCGCTCAAAATCATGGACTTTATCCGCACCAAGGGTCGACCAACTAGTGGTTTGGGCAGCCTCGAAGAAACGGAAGCCGAGACTCAGCTGCTCGAAGAAGTCAACGACCATCCTTCCAGTATGTTAACGTTTGAAAGGCCCCCGAGCAAGGAAGGACGACAGTCATCCTGGCAGGACGCGAATAAGCGAGACATAGATGCAAGAATCGAGAATCACCTCCGCAAATACCAAGAAAACGAGAACGATACTTTCTTGAACTCTTCGGTCAACTCTATTCGAGTATCACGCCTGAGAGGATCTGCAACACCAGAAGGAGAGAGTGTGGTGGTTGAGCAGGATGATATTCGGATCACGGACAACCCAAACAGGCACCAGACCGAGGATGACGAGGACCATCGCCCTAGTTCTGCGCCTCGTGGAAACGCCACACTCCTATCGACAGCTTCATCTTTCGGAAACACAATTGTCACAAACGCATCACGTCGTTCGGAATGTGTCGCGACGCTAGCTCCCGAAGCGGTGGCGCATCTTATCCCTCAGCAAGTCGCAGGCATGAGCTTTGATCGCGACAAGAACATTTGGGTCCGCCAGAAGAACCCGTCCAGGCAGCACCAGCTACAAGCGGAAGAACCAAGCGCCATGAATGCTAGCGAAGATGATCCTTTCGGCAACATTCCTGATCTGACAGTAGAAGATACGACTGAGCTAGATACTAGAACAGGCTCTCCAGTCCGCCTCCAGCCTACAGCAGAAACCATCCTCGAAGATACAGAGAAGCCAGACGACGACGAAGACTCGCGTCCAGTGACCCGTGAAGGCAAGGGTGTCGCATACACGGAAACAAGCTCGGCACCTTCCAAGGCCTCGAACTTTGGCTGGAGCTTCCCCAAAACTGACACACGAGCTACATCGTGGAGCACTCAAGCCCCGCGGATATACAGCACACACAAGATGCCTCATGCGCCTACAACGTATGCCATTCCAGAATCAGAAGAAGATGGCGTCGAACATGAGATTCAGTATTTCGAAGGGAGGGACCACGCTCCTGCAAGTGTGCAACGTCCGCGAGTACGAAACGTTACTATCTCGATCGCTGAGCGCGAGGATCCAGCACGCGAACCTCAACCCGAAAATGCTCAGAAGCAACGCCGCCAACAATGGGGACCCTCCAGTGCTCAGCAGATGTCAGATAAGAAGCAACCAGCTTGGGGACAGACAAACGGTACCCGTACCATGTCGCATGGACGACCCAGTCGTCTGCCCGTCTTCAACGGAGATGGTGACTTGTCGATTTTGGATGATGCCCCGTCGAAGAATTATCGGATGGAGTTATCGATGAACGTCTCTGCGCCCTCTCTTCGCCATGGACGACGGGATACGCTTGTGACTGCACCATCATCACCTGTAAAGGATGTCACATTCATGCTCAGTGACCTACCTGAGTTTACTCTCAACCAGATCGATGAGTTCGATCTCCCAGATCGAGTTGTGGTGAAACATAACGGTAGCCGGTTTTCTAAAGCTCTAGAAGATCGTTATGCACAAGGCACTGCTGAGCTTGTGAAGGCACTACAGGATGTCGAGCCCGATGAGCCTTATTGGGAAGATCTTCGTACTGTCAATCTCCACAAAAAGGACCTTAACAGCTTGCACCGTCTAGATGAGCTCTGCTACCACCTCGAGGAGCTCGATGTTTCAGACAATAAGATCAATCAGGTTGAGGGTATTCCTTACTCCATGCGTCGACTGCAAGCACAGAACAACTGTCTGAATGGACTTACCTCTTGGACGACCCTCGTCAACCTACAACACCTTGACATATCCGGTAATGATATCGACAGATTGGACGGCCTCGCTGAATTGGTGCATCTCCGAATTCTGAAGGCGGACAACAACAAGATCAGATCTCTTCAAGGCATTCTACATCTCGATGGCCTGATGGAATTAAGCGTTCGCGGCAACGAGATCGACACGGTTGACTTCAGCCGAACAAATCTGTGAGTCCGATTAGAGACTCCATCTCATCATTGTTTGCTAATCTGTTCGACAGGAAATCTCTCACTGATCTGGATTTGAGGAAGAACCACTTGCTTGAAGTACGGAACCTGCACTGCTTGCCCCAGCTCCAGCATCTCAACCTTGGTATGTTTTTCGGTTGCTACGTTTGCTAGGACATTACTAACGATACGCAGACGACAATGAGATAGAGGAGTTTCCACTTATCGACACGGCTTTCAAGCCTTGCAGATTCCTACGGTCTATCCGTATCTGCCGGAACGGAACCACGATGCTTGATGTTGATCAGTACTTCCCTAAGCTCGAGTCTCTCTATGTTGATGGCAACTGTTTGACCCAAGTATCTGGCCTAGAACATCTTCGACATCTACGCACATTCTCCGCTCGCGAACAGATCCTCAACTCGGAGTCGGACATGGAGATGTGTGCGAGCAATCTTGTCAGGAATACAGAAGTCCGCAACCTGTATCTCTCGCTCAATCCGACGTACGGCCTTCAGATCTCGCAACATCTACTGAGTCTTCAGCGCCTAGAATTGGCTTCCATGGGCCTAAAGGAACTACCAGATAACTTCGGTCAGCTTACGCCGAACATTCGATCTATCAACCTCAACTTCAACTCTTTGACAGATCTTCGGCCACTCCTCAACATCAAGCGATTAAGTGAGCTTCTCCTGGCAGGCAACAAGCTCGAGCGCCTACGTGCCAACGCAATGGTCTTGGGCAAGCTGGCTACACTCTCGAAGCTAGACTGGCGAGACAACCCGCTCACGCTTCGCTTCTACGCTCCGACATGTGAAAACCGGGTCATGTCTCTCAGGCAGAAACCCTCCGACGAGCAGCTCACGAACCGCTTCGTTCTACCTGAGGGGGAAGTTGAAGCAGATGTGCAACACCTCCAGCGACTGGACTACGAAACCCGCATTAGGCGGCGGGTCACCGAGATGATGCTTGCCAATCTATGCAGGAGCTTGAGGGAGCTCGACGGGCTGCCGTTCGACAAAACGCGCGTGCTCGTCAAGGACGATGTATGGGAGCGCCTGCTGTTCCTTGGCGTTATCCAGCGCAAACGAGCAGATACTGCTGTCGACGACGGCAAATAGTGGTGCATACGATGATGAGAACATATAAGCATGGAGTTGTGGGGACAAGGACATTTGGGAATGGAATTGGCGCACGTTTCGCAATTACATATTGGGTTTCGCATAGCGTTTTGCATATGGTTTTGGTTGGGGTCTTGTACGATACTTTTGGAGTTGCGTTTGGTGGTTTCATTGTTCTTCGCGAAGCATCTAGTACTTGAGCATTTTCTAGGCGCATATCTTTCGGCGCAGAACAGATTCGCATAGGCTTCATTGCTGAAGAGCGAGGATTAGATTATTTGTAATGACTTCATGAACCGTATTTGGTAACGAACAAGATTCTGCATACCCCGCTCGGCAAGTGCTCTCGATGACTTGACGCCTCAGGATCGCTGCAGGCGGAACTTGGGTGAGCTGATCAGCCATCCCCCGCTCTCCACTAAATAGCTCCGCTGAGGCCCGTGCATCCTGCATCAAATCGTTCCAGGCCCCGTGACACGTACGCAACCATGAGCCCACAAGTTGGTCAGTTGAGATGATCTCCATTCACCATACACCTCACAATGGCAACTACTTCTGACGAAGACAGGGCGGTGCAGCTTGTGGAGAGGGCAAATGAGAGCACCAAGTCTGGCGAATTAGCTGTTGCAGCTCGGTACCTGCGTGAGGCTAGTACGATTGCGCCTGAGCATCCACGCATCAAGGAAGCATGGGTTGCGCTGAAGGAAGAGGAAGACAAGAGCGAATTGCTGGGTTACTGTCGAGCTTGGGTGAGGAGCAAGGATGAACACGATGGAGAAAAGGCACTCAAGGCGATAAAAACACATGGCTTGAAGCAGAAAGAAGCAGAACAAGCGATGGATATTTTGTTTGACTTCAAGGGCGAAGATGATGTATTGGATCAGGTCTCGGGTGAGCTACTGAAGAATCCGGGAGCACAGATGTGGCTTGCGAGAGCCGTCCGGGAGCAGCCGACGCGGATTTACTACGAAATGTTCGAGCGGGGTGACGACTCTATCGACGGCTTGCTCAAGGTCTTGCTCAACCGAGCGATTTGGCCCGACGATGAATCGTTCAAGCAAGGTCATCGAGACATGTTCATGCTCAGTCTAGCCATGATGATGGAGGAGGCGCTCGAGCACCCAGAACGTGCGATGAAAGGCATTGCGCAGCTGCTCGCTCATTATGCAGAGCATCTCAAGGGTATCATCGATGCGGATAGCTTCGACGTGATTCTCACCTCACTGGATATCCGACTACCTGCCAGCCTACGCAGTCAAGCTACCCTCGCAAGTATCAAGCTATTCGAACTTGCACCAGAAACTGCCAGCGAGTTGATTTCAAAGTTTGTTGCGGCTCGGACCAAGAAGGGAGAAGCGAACGACCTCGTTATCGCGTTTTCAGCGGCTGCAGCCATCTTCCCAGTCGCTGTCACGCCAGCAGCTGCATTGTTCCTTACAGAGGGCTTCGTCAGCACATTGGTGCCTAGGGTCCAGAGCAAGAAGTCGCACAACCTCGAACAAGCGACTCTAGAACTTATCAGCGCTGCATGCGTGGATAAGAATTGCCGAGAGGCGATCAGCAAGCACTGCAGAGAATGGCTGGAGGACGTGGTTGCAGAAAGTCAGAATAAGAAGCGGGCTAACCTAGCCGCGCTCATACTCGTCAAGCTGGGCGAGGAGCAGCCGTCTGAGGATGCGCCAAGGATTGTCAGGGCGGAGAAAGTAGACCAGAGTGATCTGATCGCTAGCTTCAAGTCAATGGTCATAGGCGGCGACACATCTTCAAAGCAGGATTCTGTCGAGGGTCTAGCATATGCTTCTCTTCAACCCAAAGTACGAGAGGATCTTTCCAAATCGCCCAAGTTCCTCAAACGCCTCATCGAAACCATGAGTGATCCTTCATCACCAAAGAACATCGTATTTGGCGGTCTCACCATTTTCGTCAACATCACACAATACCTCCCTTTGCAATCGGAAGAGGAGAAGCGCATGGCACAACTAAAAGCCTACGCCAATGTCCAGAAGCCATCCGCACCACACGTCCTACTCAATGACGAAGACGTCGCTATACGATGCAAACGCATTCTCGAAGCCGGGGTTGTCCCCCTCCTCGTCCACGTCTGCAAAAAGGGCTCTCCATCGATCCTTACACAGAGCAGTCTGATACTCCTCTCGCTTTCGAAAGAGACCAAGTCCCGAGGTCTGATGGCCCAGCAGGGCGCGGTCAAACTGCTCATCCAGATCTGGGACCACATATCCTCCACCAACGATCTTTCAACCACAGGCACAACGCCTTTCCCACCAGCCGCCTTGCCCACGACCGCACAAGCACTCTCCCGACTTTTGATCAGCATAAACCCTTCCCATGTCTTCAATGCCGCGCTACCAACCACATCAGCCATCCGCCCGCTCCTCAGCCAACTACAGCGAACAGATTCGAGCACATGGCAACTACACGCATTTGAATCGCTGCTCGCGCTCACAAACCTCGCGAGTTTGGACCGGAATACACAAGACCATATTATACGCCAGTCTTTCGATACTGTTGTCGATGATCTACTACTCAGTGCCAATACTATGATACGACGTGCGGCAACGGAACTCATATGCAATCTCATGGCTTCACCAGTATGTATTGGGAACTTCGCTGACGGAAGCCCCCGCGCGAAACATCGCTTGCACCTTCTGCTCGCCATGACAGATGTTGATGACGCTGCTACGCGTTCAGCGGCTGGTGGCGCACTGGCTATGCTGCTGAGTGTTGATATCGCTGTGCTGGAGTTTTTGCAGCAGAAGAAGAGTGTCGAGTGGCTGGTAGGGCTGTGCAAAGATGATGATGAGGGGATCAGGTATCGGGGGATCGTTTGTTTGAGGAGTGTAGTGGATGTGCCTCAGGGGGTGGAAAAGTGTAAGGCAGAGGGTGTGATAGAGGATTTGAAGGAAGTGCTGAAGGGGACGAGAAGTCCAGACGTGCTTGGAGCGGGGGTGGAGACGTTGAAAATATTGATGGGTCAGTAGCACTGCACTTGAAACCACATTGATCCATGGTGTCATGGTTTGCTGCCAGGGCACACGCAGATGCACTATGTACAATACCACCAATGATTACACAGATAAAAAGGTGGCCAAGGACGTACCTTGCAGACAGGTCGACTGTGGCGCGCTCTCCTCTTCTTTCGATACATATCGTTACCAGATCTGCTATTATCAGGGAGACAATCTTTGACAGTTTGGACGTACATGCGTATGCGAAGCAATATCGTGCATTCGTAATTGACGTGTGGCGGCGGCAATGGTACTTCAAGACAGACAGTTACAACGACGGTTGACCTAACGTATGGAGTCAAGTATGCGACATGTATTCTTTCAGCTTCCCAGTTGGACATAGCGTTGGAAGTCATAGTGATGATACCGGGTCCAGGGCAGCCAAAGTACCGTTGGTGGCTTACTAGCGTTCGCGTGTCATGCATCGCGCTGCAACCTGAATCCTCCTTTCCACGCAACCAGACTTCTGCCTGAGGATAATTACGCAGCCATGTCTGCCTTACGCGCACATCACGCACCACAATAATGCCATAAAGAGGGACACGTCTTCTTGATCATGTACTAACAATGCGATAACATAGCCATTGCAGCCACCAAATACGCGCCCACAATGCCCATCACCGAACTCGCTCTCCTCCACCTCACACCCGGTACCACAATCGACGATGCCGCCCTCCGCTCGAAACTGTCGCACGCAAAAACAGTCCTGCAGAACTACACCGGCCGGACCTTCTACTACATGCAGCAGACGGAAGACCCATCTTGCATTTACGTCATCGGAGAATGGGACTCGCTTGATCAGCACTTAAACGATTTCATCCCAAGCGCAGACAACCAAGCTTTACTGGAGAGTCTAAAAGACGCGATTACTGTAGACTCCAACCTCGAACACCTTGATGTATCGAACGCTGAGCTCCCCTTGCCGACAACTCAGGCGCAACTCGAACAAGCGCGTCGTGGGGAACTGGTATGGAGTATCGTTCATTGCAACGTCAAGGCTGATGAGCGACACCGGTTCCTCGATGCTTTTAATGAAGAACTGCGGTTCTTACAGGGTCATATAAACGAGTTAAAGGGTAAGACAGGGCGTGGATGGTGTGTTAGTGGGAAAGGAGACAAGGGAAATGTTTCTGTGGCTTTGTGTCCGTGGAAGAGCGTTGAGCAACATTTGGGATTCGGCAAAACGGAAGGGTACGCGGAGGTTGGGGATATTGGAGATTTTGTTGATGAGATTGATGTTAAGCATGCTAAGCTTCTGGACATCTGATCTTGATCTAACAGTTACGCGATAACGTATTTCAAAGGTATACACTGTCACCTTTTTGATAGTACACCAACGTAGATTGCTGTGTATACCATCATTGTGGCTTTTCAGGCTTGATCACGACGAACGGTGAGATGGTGTACAGTATTCTTACATTCTTTCTATTTCGCATACGTCATTAGCTTGATTCGGCAGCTGCATGCGAAAGGAGCTTTAGGCCCACGATAGTCTCCTTCATGTTGGTCAAGAAGTGCTGTCAGCGCGTTCAGCGGCTGTTCAGCAACTCAAAGGTGGGAGCAGCACTGATAAGCGGCCGTTATCTTCGGAATGCTTCCGAACGAACCCCTCACAATCATGCACGATAGTATTGAGTGCAGGCAGTGTGCTAATAGGTCTGGATCATGGCAAGTATAAGTAAACCATTCTGACGCTCTACTAATGGCTATTTCCACTTGCTGCTGATCTATAAGCTTCGCGTTGTTCACTTCCAACATGGATCATTTGCCGGATATAGTACCACATGCCAGGTACCTCCCTTCTGGTCATGTGGCAGTGGTTTCGTTCGTTGCAATTGCAATTTTCGTAATATACAAAGTGAGCATGCCATTGAATGCCAGGAGATATGAGCTAACGTTGACAGCTGTTCACCCGCACTGACGTCCCGTATATCCACGGTCTGCCAGAGATACCGGGCGCTCTCCCAATTACGGGTCATCTCACCCAGCTCGGCGACGACCATGCTACAGTATGCGAGAAATGGTGGCGGCAGTACGGCAACTCTGTCTTCCAGATCCGACTTGGTAATACGCGCGCTGTGATTGTCAACTCCTTCGAAGATTGTAAAAAGATCCTGGTTTCAAATTCTCAAGGACTGATCGATCGGCCAAAACTGTATACATTCCATGGTCTGATCTCCTCGACTCAGGGTTTCACTATTGGAAGCTCCCCGTGGGATGAGAGTTGTCGGAACAAGCGCAAGGCTGCATCGACTACGTTGAGTAAGGGTATGATGAAGAACTACTATGATATGTTCGACCTGGAGTCTTACTGCATCCTTCGCGACCTCCATCGCGATAGCAAGAGTGGAGAAGTCGAGGTCAGTATTCGACCGTACATACAACGCTATGCCCTCAACACAACCCTCACGTTATGCTATGGCATCCGCATGGACGCAGTCTACGACGATCTGCTCCGCGAGATCCTCGAAGTGGGATCCGCCATCTCGCTCCTCCGCTCCGCTTCTGAGAACTACCAAGACTACGTCCCCATCTTGAGATACCTGCCGAACAACGAAAAGAACCGGCGCTCCAAAGAACTGCGTGAACGGCGAGACAAGTATCTGAACGAACTTCTTGACAAAGTCCGCGGGATGATCAAGAACGGTACGGAAAAACCATGCATCAGCGCCGCCATCCTCAAGGACGAAGAAACCCGCCTCACGGGCGTAGAAGTAAGCTCCATCTGTCTGTCTCTCGTCTCTGGCGGTTTCGAAACTATACCTGGTACGCTTGTATCCTGTATCGGCTCCCTTTCCACACCCGCAGGCCAGATCTTCCAAGACCGCGCGTATGCCGAGATACGCAAAATGTATCCCACCGACGCGGCGTTGAAGGAAGCCTGGGCAACAGACTTTGAGAAAGAAACCGTACCATATCTGAACGCTATCGTGAAGGAAGCGGGGCGGTACTATACCGTTAGTAATATGAGTTTGCCGCGTAAGACAATGGGAGAGGTTAGGTGGGGGGATGCTGTCATCCCGAAAGGGACGATGGTGTTGATCAACGCTCAGGCTGGTAACCATGGTACGGAAATATCCAGCTTCAGCCAGCTGAGGGTAATGTGATGGATAGCTAACGACTTATAGATACCGACTACTGGGGCCCTACAGCCGCTACCTTCGACCCAGAACGCTGGCTCACCCCCCCTTCATCCCCAGACGCCTTACATACACCGACTTCGCACGCTAGCCCGCCTCACCTCTCCTTCGGTGCCGGATCTAGGTCTTGTCCTGGCGCTTTGATAGCGAGCAAGCTGATCTATGCTGCGCTGTTCCGTTTGCTCAGTCTATACAGGATTGAGGCCAGTGTGACGAATCCACCAAACACGGATTACGTGGACTATAACGCGATCAAGAGTGCTTTAGTGGCTATACCAAGGGATTTCGGAGTGAGGCTTGTGCCGCGAGGTGGTAGTGAGGGTGATCTTTTGGGTAGTGTGCTTGATGAAGGGAGAGTGAGGACTGCGGAGCTGTACAAGGAGTGATCGTGCGTATATATGATTCTGCTGAGTTCTACACAACTCTGATATTAGGTTCCAGCTGTCGTGCGCCAAAACTTCGCTCACTGGTCGCTCTTTCACTTTTTCCCTGAATGAGGCTAGCGTATATCGAGTGACAAACGTGCTTTCCTTGTCTACCACGCACCCCTCAGTATTTGGGTCTCACACCCAACTTATCGCAGCAATCCCAAATATGAGGCTCCGAATCGCTTCAGGCGTCATTGTAGCAGTGGCCTCCTTGGCTGTTAGTGAGAGGCCTGCGCTTTCACCCAAGATCTTCGGCGTCGACCCCTCGGGGGCCCCTCCCTTGTTCAACCCTCCTGAGTTCGCGCCTGCCCTGGGAGGTAACGCATTTGATCCAGAAAATGTGGCTGATAAGACTCTCTGGGACAAATACCTCAAGAAGGGAGACCACATGATGTGTTTGATGGAGGCTACGGACGCAGGCGCAGGATGGCTAGAGAAGGATCCCAGAAAACCACCTTCAGCCGCGAGCAAGTGGACGGGTGATCTTAGAGGTGAGCACAATCTCTTCATAATCTCGATACCAGGAGACCAACATTTCCGACAGCTGAACTCCAAAAATGGTTCTGGCACGAGTCGCAGTACGACAAGGGCTGGGAATGTGATTTCGAGGGCATGGGACTCAAGACGACGTTTGAAGGTCTCGGTCTCAACTCACAATCAAAGTACGACGATGAGGGTGATCCACAAGCCGGGAGCAACGACTGCTATTCAATTCAACATTATGACGAATACTGGGTTGCAGACCCTGATGACGAATGGGGCCAGACGATTCCTATCAAGGACCAGAAGTACAGAGCCGACGGTAAGGAGTATACAGTACGTCAAATCTATATGCACAGGCAGGTACAACAGCCTACATCGGGACAGAATACTAACAAGACACGACAGGCCACAGCCGGCGTCTACCAGTTCGCTATCAACCATGATGGAGGTCTCATTGCCAAGAACATCGAGAGCCCACGCCATGCCGTTCTTAGTCCGATGTCTTGGGGTCGTAGTGCCAACCCTGGAGAGCTTCCTGCAATCGAATTCGCGTCTGACGTCTTCTGGGCATATTGGGTCCGCGATAACCCCAATGTCAAGAACTTCCGGGTCTATGGCGCTCACAATGTCATCAATACGGACACAACTCTTTTGGTAGCTCGAGCCTTGAAGAATGTCGGCACAAATAAATTGTCCGTCTGGCCGGGTAACGTCTTCAATATTGGGAGCGAGGAGTTCCGAGTCCTGATCGGTAAGTCTTGTAGCATGCATCGACGCTTGACAACTGAGAATGTCGACTGGGAAAGCCGTGGATTGGACCTGGTCTTATCCTCAACTCCCTGGTTTTGCTAAGATCTCATACTGATTACCTTCAGGCTCACCCATAGGCGCCACAGCTGGTCACTTGCTTGCAGCACACAAGGCCGAACTTGGAATCAAGAGGATCACTAAAGTGACTGTAGTCAAGAATGAGAAATCGCCATTCAAAAATCGACGCCTTCAAGATGATTTACACATATTCTTCAGTATTGGAGATGTACCACCAGCTGAGGTGACCAGACCGGATGAGCCGGTAGGCGTGATGGACAGCCGAATCGCCAGTGTCAGGAAGCGAGGGAAGAACGTAATCAGGGTGCATACTGTAATGGCTTAGAGTTGTGCATGGCGCGCCGTATGACGGGTATGACTGAGGGAGGTGTTGAACCTTGCAACGTAGATGTGGCCATGAAAGATGCTGCGAATCCCCTGGGGGCTCTACTGAGACCTGCTATAGCCTTTTGCAATTCGGATTTATCAACCAAGCGTTCGGTAATGTGCGCCTGTGAATTCGCTTTCTCGTGTGTTGCTGCAACGGGTCGCTCGCGTTCCATCCTATTCTTCATAGGGTCTAGTTACGCCGACGCCTCAATCTCTTGCACTCTCGCCAAAATCTTCGCTTTCCATCTCGTATAATCTTCCTGCTGACGCTCACCCAGATAATCAGTTGCATCCTGCATCATAGTACCCAAGCCAATATAATCACTGCCACCAGCCTTCAACCCCATACCCTTCGCCTTGACTGCCGCATTATCGCTCATCTCCACGCCTTCCATCTCATCTCCATCACTCTGAGGCTTCACACTATCGAACCACTGCATCTGCAACCATCCCTCTTCTTTTGCCATCTTCATCGTCTCTTCTATCTTGATCTGAAGCTCCTCGTCTGTAATGTCCTTGGCAGCAGGTAGTTCAACGACAGCCTTGATTGCTTTCGCCAGCCATTCGTTGTATTGTTGTACTGAAACCTCTATGTCTTTCATGCGCGAGTAGACTAGGAGAAAAACCACGACGATGAGACTTAGTATGCGCGTATCGCTGACATCCCCATAGGACGATACTGTGGTTCTTTTAGGTCGCTTGCTGGGTGATTCGGCGGCAGCGGCGGACATTCGGGATAGCAGCGGATAGATAGACTCTACTCCTGTGTATACGTGGGGTATAAGACCGGTGTAGTCGAATGACTTTGCCAAGGCGCGTATAGTGGGCATAACCCATTCTGGTGCTTCGCCATTGCTTTCAACCCTCCTTGGTGTTTTCCTAGCGCCCAACGGCGTTTTTGACGGTGTGTTGCGTGCTGATGCCGGAGCTGAAGCTGTCGGCTTTCGCGGTGTAGTTGGCTCGCGGGTCGCTGTGCTCTCTGGGAGTGCGCTGCTAAGGTAGTTGTATAGTTTCTTGTATATGCGTGGGGGGCAAGGCGGTCGCGATTGGATGGTCGGGAGGTTGAGACGCTTCTTCAGCCTTTTAGATGTCAGCGTGATGCCAAAACGTGCGTTGGGTGCTCTTCATACCTCTCACATGCTAATTGCGCACATGCGTATGGTCGTGCGATCTCTTCGTCTGGCTTCATCGATGTCGCGACGCTTCGCGACCGCGTCAGTAGCGAAAGCGCGAGCTCTATCAGCTCGGCTGGCAATGGCCCGCTCAGCGTGGGTATTAAGCCCGTGAGGGCTTGTTCTATGCTTGCTCTGCTCATATTGTGCGCGAAATGGATTGAGTCTGAATATGGGTCTGGACGTTTGATCCTGTGTCGATGTTGACGCGTGAGGTCTCGCGTTCTCACGTGCACGCTAAAGCCACCCCTCTTCGTCATCACCAGCATCGACGTGCCCTCTCTCCCATCTTCTTGACCACATTCACTAGACGGTGCGAACGATTCAAGATGCCACAGATTTCTCTCGTGTTCCTATCACCAGGAAGCTATAAAACACCTTTGAGGCATACACCATCATCCCGTTTTCTAAGACATTGACACGAAATATCGCGACAGCCTTCAGGGCACATTTCCGGTTTCGCGACGCCGAGCACCGGATTTTTAGAGCACTGCATCCATTGTAACATTACAACTCTCATTTTCGCCTGTATTTGTCGTGATGCTGCTAAACTTGCTCGTATCACATCTATCTAGGGAACTGGTACGACCACTTCGAGCGCTACTTATTTCCAGTCTCCTTCGTCATACCGTTGCAGTAACACCTCCAACTATACTCACCGCTACCATTGACCAATCGGCGTTCGCGCTCCCGTAGAGATGAAGTAGCAAACCGTGCCAAGCACACCAGAGCTATGTTATCGACACATATATTACGCCATGCTACTGTTGCTAACGTCTCGAATACATTCCAACGTTGTACTGGAGAGGCGCGGTTCGGCGGTCAACCTGCTCCCAACTCCGAACACGTCGACTCGGCCTGACCGACATATTGCACATATGGCTCCTGATCGTGTTCACCGTGTTTGATAGGACATTATAGTAGGTGCATTCGTCAGGATAGCGAAGGTGACATCCAAACAGTATTTGTGTGTAACTCCCGACATCCATGATAGGCAAGGAAGGGAGGACCAAAGCCATGCTGATGACGGGAACTTGCATTTTGACAGCTCGGTTACGACTGGCGAAAACATTTGAGCATGAGCTCATAGCGACTCAAATGTGGTATTTAGGCTTCGCACGCTTTCTGTTGGAGCATCGTACACCATCCAAACTACACTCATAAGATTGTCTTCAAAGGCCTCCAGCCCTGTTGTAGCCTGCACAACCACGTCTCCGACATCCTCCGCGATTTATCAGTGACATACCACGTCTCTATCGAAGCCAAATCCATCGATAGATAACTACGATGCAGCTCACCGCCATCCTCACGAGTTTGCTTTCTACCTTACCTATCGCACTATCCGCACCTACCTACGGCGAGCCGTACAACTGCGGCTACGTTCTCACCGTCCGGAACAGCAGCGCCTACGCTGGTATCTCCGCATACTCTGATTGCACAGCGATCTACTACAACCAATCGATCCCTGGATATCAAGACGCCTATGCCTACAGCCTCTATGGGGGATGTCAATGCTCATTCCATTTGTAAGTCCCATTGATACACGGCGTCCTTGTCGAGACAACCCCCTCGTCGGAGTCAGACTAACGAAGGCGAACATACACTCTCTGCGCGGTGTATACTAACAACTACTAGGAGCGAGGAGAAGTGCAAAGGAGCAACCAATCCACCCATGTACGAAGGGCCGACTGGCACACCCGGAAAGGAGCCCTGCTTCGAGGACCCGAATCCCAAGTGGTACAAGTGCGCGACGATTGGCTAACACATTCATGAGTGGGTCGGATAGACATGAAGGATTGATGGGTAATACTATAACTGAGTACATCTTTGGTATGTCAGTGGTGGCTGAGCTACTGACTTGGCCGCGTTGACGATTATTTGTGGCGCTGGTAGATTTCATCATGACTTGGTTAGCATAATAAAACTTTTCCTCCATCATATTCCTCTCTTCATCGTAGCCGAAATGTTGATGTTCTAGCCCGAATGAATGCGCAGTTTCGTTTCTTGTGCATGTAGTACATGAAGACACTGCGAACGCATTCAGGCTTTTTCCAACTTATTTGTCAGTCCCCAAGCCTATTGACAGTTCCGTTAGTCTTCTCGGTTCTAGATCGAATTGTTGCATGTCATTGATATCTCTAATACGAGTAGGATTCACTCCTACCACGCCTCACATGCGAGATGGCGTCTGGATTGACGTTCGAAGAACAGCGTCGGCCCCCATTCACGCCACAACAGTGCATGATTGATGAGCTGGCAATATAAATGCACGTATGCGAGCTTGAATCAATACTCATAGTGTCCGGAGTAGTGGATTTGTCGTTCTCCGCGCGTTTTGGATCCCGTGGAAAGCGCGGCCCGAGCCATAGAGCGCGAGCCCTCTGCGGGCTCGGCCACACATTCCTAGAATGATTCAATCTTACCGGTGAACGATCTCGAGCTGCATGCGAATGCGTTATGCGGCACGACCTGGCGTGTCATCGTGGGTTGATATAAAAGCAGGCAGGAAAGGTCCACCTCCTACTCCTTCTCCACAAGCCGAACGATAGTGGACAGCAAGATCGACCCCAGGCTCCTATCGACACTTCAACGCAAGTAACACCCGCCTACAAACCGCATGTGAGACAGATACTGACCTTGCACACCGATCTCTAGGCAATTCCTGGCGACCTTAACAATATGCATCTCCTCGGCTCTTTCTCTATCGCCTTCCTGGGCTTCTCCTCGGTTGCTTTTGCTGCAACCCATCCCCGAGACTTCTCTCACACAGCGCGTAGCGTCTTGACAAAGAACGACAAATGTTACATCAACCCAAACATCTGTGCCGAGGTCATGATCGGAGATAAGGTCAACCAGCAGCTGGGCTATGATGGGTGCCAGAGGATCTTAAACCCAGACAAAGTCACTGGTATCAAGATGTTGAACTGCGAGTGCAACTTGTACTAGTGAGTACATACTACCTCAACTTCCGCCCGAGGCACTGAATGTCTACGTGCTAATGCTTGCTTATCTAGTTCTGTCGACTCCGGATCCTGCAACAGTGGCGTCGATGAGACTATCGATAGGCTTGGACGCTGTGACATTGTCACGGGGAAAGAACGCCGTTGGAAGAAGCAGCCTGATTTCTGGAGCTGCCATAACCCTCCCGCTTGAGCGCCAATGTACATACTGTATATCGCTAAGCCCTGCGGCGGGTTGTAGTAAGCGATCGTTTTCAAGGGCTGGGCCCGAGACTAGAGCACACTTTGTCGGATACGTTATTGTTAGTTTTGAGTCTCGAACGGCAAAGGCCAAGCGTTCGTCTTCTAGCTTAGTGCTTAGGGTTCAGCTCGTAGTTCAGCTCGTAAGAAAATCGTTCTCTTGTAGCACCTAATACATACTAACATGTTCTCTTTATTCCTTTTTTTCTTTGCTTATCTTCGGTTCCACGGTAGTCATCGATGCTAGAAAAACGCTATTATCTGTAGGATAAGTATAACCTGTCAGTGCCCGTTTGTGCAACATGAGTTGTCGTACCGGCCCACAGTTGCAAGACAGTCACCAAGGCAAACGCTCTTGCTTCAACAACACATAAGGCAGCGACAAGACGGAGGCGCTCGTGACTACCTTCCATAGGTGATTGGCCTCATCTTCTTCTCCTTCCAGCCCTCGGTGTCCTCGCTCCAGCTGTCTTCCCGTCGAAATTGATAGCTTGCAACTCAAGAGATCATTGTATTTCTACGATGCACTTCTCCACAATACTCCTCGGCGCCTTCGCATTCGCATCTGCCATTGTAGCTTCTGAGCTTCTCAAGTAAGTCAGCCCCCTTCGAGATCGCATCGGACCATACCGTGTCGGCAGAAGAAGTCAATCGACAGCAAAACGCTATGCACGACAAATACTGCAAATGAATGCTAACGTTCACCAGCGAGGTGGGCTACGTTACCGACAGCGAGGGCAAGGTTTACCAACTCGATATCACCGGTCACAACAACGTTCGCGTCATCAGCTCCGAGAGAAATGATGGCTACTACATCCAACCTACAAGCTATCATGTAGAGTCTGCGCACGCTTGTAACTTCTACAGCGAGGCGACGCGTGGTGTTGGATATCTCATCGGCGAGTTTCCGGGTCCTGTCGAGGCCGACTTCAGTAGCAATATCTGGGCGGCATTTTATGAGTGTTGGAATGAGGATCTCGAGCCCACGTCTCCTCCTGGTGTACCGGTTCGACGGGGTAGAGTTTTTGTGGAACCAGGTAGTCTTTAGTTGCAGTACGAGGGACGCGAACGTTGTCGATTTTGCAACTACCAGAGGTGCATACTAGAAGCCTTCACTGTATCCAGTTTCGACGTATGATGATGTGAGCGAAAGCGCATATTTTTGCAGTACATGTTAAGCACGACGTGAATAGATAAGTCTGTAGTCCAAAGTTGTTGCATTGGATGCGTTATCGATAAGCTCATTCGATCGGCCCACTTTTACTTTTCGTCGCTGCGTCGCGAACTCTAACATTGCGCCTCGAGCAAATCTCCAACCACACGTCACATACCTCGACCATGATCCGAAAACAAGCCCGAGAACGTCGCGACTACCTGTACCGCCGCGCTCTGACTCTCCGCGATGCTGAGCTCGCTTCGAAAAGAGCAGCACTGAAAGCTTCCCTCGCCAGCGGCAAGCCTTTGTCCAAAGATGTCGCCGAGGACCAGACCCTGCGCCAGGACTACAAATACGATGAGAGCAGGGCGGATAGGACAGCAGAGGAAGAGCTCGGGCTAGACGATGAGTATGCGCAGCTGTCGGGCGTCGTAGATCCGCGGATATTGGTCACAACTTCGAGAGGTACAACAGCCTGGGAGATGCAGCATGACATGGATATGCTGACGCTGAGATAGACCCGTCAAGTAGACTGGGCACCTTCGCCAAGGAGATCAGATTACTGTTACCCACAGCCATACGATTGAACCGTGGAAACATGATCCTGCCAAACTTGGTCGAGAGCGCAAAATCGGGCGGACTGAGCGACATAGTCTTGCTTCACGAGCACCGAGGAACGCCCACGGCATTAACAGTTTCGCATTTCCCTCACGGCCCAACCGCCAGCTTCTCACTACAGTAAGCACTCCACCAGCGTCTTGCACTGTCCATTTACTCACACGTCCCAGCAACGTCGTTCTCCGCGCCGATATCCCCAACGCCTCCCGCGGCACAGTCTCCGAATCCTACCCCCACTTAATCTTCGAAGGCTTCTCCACCAAGCTAGGACAGCGCTGCGTACAGATTCTAAAACATCTCTTCCCGCCCCGCGAAGCCACGGCAAAGGTCGGTAACCGCGTTGTCACGTTCAAGAACATCGAGGATACGATCGAGGTGCGACATCACGTCTTTGTCAAGACAGGTTTCCAGTCGGTTGAGCTGGCCGAAGTGGGACCGCGGATGAGCATGCGATTGTTCGAGATTAGGGCAGGGACGCTGGATAATAAGGAGGGGGATGTGGAATGGCATCTTAACCAGTACACGAGGACGGGACGGAAGAAGGAGTACTTGTAAAGTTGATGCGAGTATGCTCGATTGCGAAAAGAACAGGTCGATTTTGGAGAAGAGCACAGCAGGAAGACCATCATGGCGCAAAGGAGAACTTTTTTTTTTTCAGTTTGAGATACCACGAATCATAAGCGATATCCTGAACTCTGGCGTGCGAGCGACTTGGTATCCCGTAGTGAGGCTACATAGCACGAGTGCGCTCCTCGTGCACAAACCCGTCGTCGTGGCACCGCAGTGGAGTTACAAGTAATTATGTAACATGGCCCTGGTGAAGAACTGGTGAAGCAAGATAATCAGCAACTTTTTGTCCCGCAGGTGAAGTGGTATCTAGCAGACACTAAGAGAACACTATCAATATCCCTTTCACATCATGCAGCCATTGGACTTGCTCGAGTGGAGATCAGATACACTCAATCGTATCCTCTGTCCGTTGATCGTCATATAACTCTCAACAAGCCATTCATACCACACCTTGCGATCATCCGTCTGTCTCCAGAAACTGACTTCGACCTCTGAGTTTGCAGGAAGCTGCATGGGGTTCTACACGTGACGTCAGTTCTCGTCCTCTATACATGGTCATGTCCAGCGGATACATACCTTGAGTGGGAACAAGATGGGAAACCAAGAGATCATATCCTTGCTCTTCTGCTCCATGGTAACAGGGTTCGTGCTGAGTTCCACAGGCCCTTCAGACCCGCTGTAGAGAACGGTTTCAAAATACGCGCCGAGACCGTGGCAGACACCGGGCTCCTGGATGGGGAAAGCAATCTTGCAGTAGCGTAGGTTGTGTTCGTTTGCGCCGTCGCCGCCGCTGAAGCCGCCTCCACCACCTACTGCCGAACCGCCCTTGCGCAGCGAGGACTGAGCTAGAACCGAAGGCGGGAGGGGGTGGGTAAACTCCCATGCTGTTCGCACGTTCGGTGTAAGTGGCGCTTCTAGGTTGAAGTGCTGCATCTTGGTGCCGTTGCTCAGTTGTTGGGAAGCGATTGTTTCTTGGGACTCCGTGGAGAGGTAGTCGAATTGTGTCAACATGACTACCCAGGGGATGTCAAAAGCATTTGGGTCGACGCTGGTGCTCCTAGTATACAGATCGGACCAAAGCTTTGGAGTGGCGATGGGGGTGAAGTGCGCAGTATAGCTGGACGGGATCGAAATTCCGTGAGTTGGGTTCAAGACATGCTGGACACCGTCTAGGCACTCCGGCGACAGTTCGTTGTCGGCAAACGATCCGAGAAGCTCACTGACGAGAATGTCTACTTTGCCGAAAGTACCATCTGGTTGTGTTGGGCCTTTCCAGGCTCGCATATCCGTTTTGACAACAGTGACACGTCCTCCCCATGTCTCGATGTTGTGCCTTTGCAGTAATACGTAGGCGTTGGGGTTCTTTTCAATGGCGTAAACCTTGACGGGGACCCCAGAACTCGCGCTGGCATTGAGTGCACGTGTGACAAGAGGACCACGACCTGATCCTACAACGGCGACAACAACAGCGCCGTTATCGGAACTAGTCGATCTTTTCTCGGCGTGCCAATCTTTCAGCGCCTGAGCGATAGCTCGCTCGTACCACGCATACTTGATCGGGTCCTTTTCAAATACTTCGTATGTGATAGATTCGAGGTTGTCCGTCAGGGGTTGCAGTGGGCTCTGTAGGTAGTCCTGGAACCCACCACCAAACCTTTCGATCTGGCTCTTGGGTGGCTGATTGCGCTGCAGGTATCGTACGTAGCTCAGGTGAGGAGTTGGGTCGTTGCTGCTACTGCTCTTCTTGGGAGCCTTCTTTGCGATCTCAGCTGATTCAGCTGGAGTCGGAGCGGCCATTGTTGAAGCCCCAGGGCTCGGTGCATCCTCTACTGTGCGAGGGGATAGATGGCCGGTTGAGTATGACATTATCATATCCGGGTCATCGATGCCTGGTAGTGGGCCGACATCCGAGATGAGTAGCCAAGGTCCACGCTGTAGGCGCATGCAACGGAATATGAAGACCTGGTGCGCTTTGGAGAGAACAAATGATTGGCGAGCATTGACAAGGAAAGACGAGGCCAACAAATTGAGTAGTCTTACAGGCTCGGAGAACCAGCGTGATTGGACAGCCAACGATGGAAGTCGACGCGGAAGATCGAGCATGACTGACAATCTGTTGTGGTACTTGCAGATGGATCTGATGGTGTTCCAAGCGTCCCATGAGCTCCAAGAATCAACGTTCTTGGCCTCGGTGCTTGCTTCAAACTCTTGTCTTGCGAAGCGAGCTAGGTCTCCCATGTCGTCGCTGATCGAGTCTGACTGTCTTCCGTCCATGGGCATCTGGATGTGCAGCTGGATGTAAGATCCAGTGACGAGCGCTTCCTTGATGGACCGAGCATACTGAGATACGCCGGTCTGTCCATGGGCGAGTCTCGGCCCGGGGATGACCAGATTGGTAACACCACAAAAAGCAGCATAGGCAACCTCGAGATGGAAGACTTGTCGCGACAAATGCGAAATGATTGGGTCTGGCGAAGAGAGGTCAATCCAGGAGCTAGTGAAAGCTACCAGTTGACCGATGATGTCGTTGGGAGTAAGCGGCGTATCAAAGTTGTCCAAGGCTGGTATCAAAGGCAGCGGTTGGTCTTGCGACTCGGCGAGGGTCTGGGTGTAGGAGTTGAGGAGGCTCAAGACGCGGTTCTGGAAGTGGTCGTTGGTGATGGTGCTAGTAAGCATATCATACTGGAGGTTGTCAGCCAGGGTCCTTTGTGCAAGTCGTCGACTCACTTACACCGAGATCTTGGGCATGCTGGACCAATTCGGGCGACACATGCAGGGTCCGCTTCGACTCATGCTGGCCGATGTAAAAGACGGGGAACGACTCGTCCATGCCTTCCGAGTAATCCATATCAGGGTCGGAGGTTATTCGGGCCAATATGGGGGTATTTTGTCAGGCGGGAGAAAAGTTGGTGAATGTTGCGGACTACCGCGGGGTCAGCAAGGTCGCGGATGCAATACTGCGGCGCGCGCGACAGGGGGAAGTTGGACGTGAGGACTTGGGGTATGGCGCTGGACAGGAAGAAGGGACCACCCAAGGTGGAGAAATGTATATTTACTACATGGCTGCGTGTGGATTCTGCTGTGGTGCCTGGCAGCCTGTCGTGGTTCGCGCCAAGCTAGAGAAGTCGCGGTAAGTGGAGCTACTTGGGCCCGTCGCATAACTTTTTCTGGGACGGCGATTGCAGTCGCCCTTCACACGCGCGCCGACGACGCCCATCCACCACAATGACTGCCATGACGAAGCGCGAATACGGCGACGATGACAGTGCCCGCGTCAAGCGAGTCAAGACCGAGTCCAACGGCGAAGGCAAAATGGACGCGGCGGCGAATCCCTACCTGGCGCACTGGAACGATGAGAAGCCCGTCAAGAGCGAGTACAGCGGCGCCGGCACAGGGCTCCAGGGCTTCAAGCGCCATGCCACCACCACGGCGCAGGCGAACGCCGCCGAAGACGGCCCCAACAACGCCTTCACTGGACGCCCGCTCTCGAGCAAGTACATGAGCATCCTCAAGAAGAGGCGAGACCTGCCCGTCCACCAGCAGCGCGACGAGTTCCTCAAGCTCTACCAGGAGTCGCAGATCCTCGTCTTCGTCGGTGAGACGGGTTCCGGAAAGACGACTCAGATCCCGCAGTTCGTCCTCTTTGACGACCTGCCGCAGGAGAATGCCAAGATGGTCGCCTGTACCCAGCCGCGTCGTGTCGCTGCCATGTCCGTCGCCCAGCGTGTGGCCGAGGAGATGGACGTCGAGCTCGGCGAGGAGGTTGGATACAGCATTCGTTTCGAGGACAAGACGGGGCCCAACACCATCCTCAAGTACATGACCGACGGAATGTTGTTGCGCGAGGCCATGAACGACCACAACCTCACTCGCTACAGCACCATCATCCTCGACGAAGCTCACGAGAGAACCCTGGCTACCGATATCCTCATGGGCCTGCTGAAGGAGGTTGTTCTGAGGCGGCCCGACCTCAAGCTCATCATCATGAGTGCTACGCTCGATGCCACCAAGTTCCAGAAGTACTTCCACAACGCCCCACTGCTCGCCGTTCCTGGACGAACCCACCCCGTCGAGGTCTTCTACACACCCGCGCCCGAGCGAGACTACGTCGAAGCCGCCCTGCGAACCGTCCTTCAGATCCACGCCACCGAGGGCGAAGGCGATATTCTGCTGTTTTTGACCGGTGAGGAAGAGATTGAGGACGCATGCAGGAAGATAAATCTCGAGGCTCAGGACCTCTCTCGAGAAGGCGGTGCTGGGCCACTTGTGGTATACCCGCTGTACGGAACTCTGCCGCCCGCACAACAGCAGAAGATCTTCAACCCTGCGCCTCCACCCTCCACTCCAGGCGGCCGTCCTGGGCGCAAAGTCATCGTTTCCACCAACATTGCTGAGACATCTCTCACTATCGACGGTATCGTCTACGTTGTGGACCCTGGTTTCAGCAAGCAAAAGGTGTACAACCCTCGTATCCGTGTCGAGTCTCTCCTGGTTTCGCCCATCTCCAAGGCCTCAGCCCAACAGCGAGCTGGTCGTGCGGGACGTACGCGACCTGGTAAATGCTTCCGTCTTTACACCGAGCAAGCTTTCAAGAAGGAGCTCATCGAACAGACCTACCCCGAAATTCTGCGATCGAATTTGGCAAGCACCGTTCTTGAGTTGAAGAAGCTCGGAGTCGATGATCTGGTACACTTTGATCTGATGGACCCACCTGCGCCAGAGACGCTGATGCGTGCCTTGGAGGAGCTCAACTACCTGGCATGTCTCGACGACGAGGGCGAGCTCACCACACTTGGAGGGCTTGCCTCGCAATTTCCCCTGGATCCCGCCTTGGCAGTCATGCTCATCACATCACCCGAGTTCTACTGCTCGAATGAGATTTTGTCGCTTACTGCGCTACTCTCGGTACCCCAAATCTTTGTTCGCCCAGCCAACAACCGGAAGCGAGCAGACGAGATGAAGGAGCTTTTTGCGCATCCCAAGGGCGACCAGCTTACCATGCTGAATGTCTACCACGCATTCAAGAGCGAGGAGGCACAAGCGAACCCGAAGCAGTGGTGCCACGACCATTTCCTCTCCTACCGAGCCTTGCAGCAAGCCGACAACGTCCGTCTTCAACTCAAGCGCATAATGGAGCGTGAGGAACTCGAATTGATGTCAACACCATTCGAGAACAAGAAGTACTACGAGAACATTCAGCGTGCGCTCGTGGCTGGCTTCTTCATGCAAGTCGCCAAACGCGATGGCAACGGCAAGAGCTACATTACCGTCAAGGACGAGCAAAATGTTCTTTTGCACCCTAGCACTGTTCTTGCTGAAGACAGTGAATGGGTCATCTACAACGAATTTGTCTTGACAACCAAGAACTATATCCGCACAGTGACTTCGGTCAAGCCCGAGTGGCTATTGGTGAGTTGTCATCATACCTTTGTACCTAATTATGACACTAACCTCTGCCAGGACATCTCACCGAACTACTACGACTTGTCGCAGTTCAAGAAGGGCGAAATCAAGACAGCTCTGCAGCGGGTGGTTACCAAGCTCCAGCGTAAGGAAGCAGAGAAGCCCAGAAGATGAGAGGTTCCGGCTCCGCTATGAAATCAAATGTAAAACAAAGGTCCTGGGCGAGCTTAACATTAGCATCGGCATGAGCATCATGCAAATGATGCCTGATCTGGTGTAGTAAAATTTGGCGTTGGATTTGCCTATAGATCGGAAAACATACCAGAAGATATGCACGCTGTCACGAAGCGTATTTAATTGAGATTCTATGCTACCTTCACTTTTCACTGATACATGATGCTGGTGGTGGCTAGTCGGATTTATCCTAGCGTCGACCCCCACATATCGGTAACTTCACACGCCGACATCTCCAACTTTTTTCCAAGCTCAGGACTTCTGCGACAACGCGATCGCAAACCACACTACGCGCCAAGATTCACTCACGCTCTCCCGAAAATGGCACCAGTACAGAGCGACGATGCTTCCTTATTCTACACCGAGCGTATATCGCAATACGTTTGCATCCCGCCTTCATGTCTCGCAGATCCCTTCTCAGCAGTGTGCGCGACCGTACTATCACCGCTACTCCTCACATACTTCCCACCTGCGAAGGGTGTGGTCCTCGCATACGAAGATGTTGAGCTGAATAGCACACCACCAACCGCCGCAACATCGAAAACCAAGAAGTCACAATCTCAACAGCAAAGCGAGTCAAGTTCTGATGATGATGCGCCCGCGGAGCCTTTACTACTCAGACACGTTGATGAATACGCGGCGCCGTTCTTTTGGGTTACTGCCTCGTTCATTGTGTGGCGACCAACGCGAAATGCCCACCTGACCGCTCATATCACGGACCAGGCGAAGACTCATCTCACGCTCGCACATCTCAACACCTTTCCCGTTAGTATACTCAAAGAGTGCCTGCCCTCGGACTGGTCGTGGCATTCGGAAGAAGCTGGTCACATGAAGAAGGGCTGGGATGGACGGTTGTCAGATGAAGGAGGTTGGTGGGTGAACGGAGATGGCGAAAAGGTTGAAGGAGAATTGCGCGTGAGGATACGGGACGTTGATGGCAGAATGGATGGAAAGGGCAAGGGTAAGGGCTTCCTACGTGTCGATGGAGCCCTGATCTCTGAAGAGGAGATAAAGCAGGCACAACAGAAGAGCGGGAAAGGGAAGAGGAAGGCTACTACAAGCGCCATGAAGGCGACACCACAGAGACAGGCAGATGGAGAAGTCATGGAAATTGACTCAGACTAGTTGTCGGAAGATGGGACGTTGTGCGCGTCAATCTGGTCGCATTTTTCATGGGATACGCGGCATCTCATCTGCATCAGAAGGGCGTTATGGCGTTCAGAATATAGGGGGATGCAAACTTCAGCATCTAGGATACCACCACAAATGTACAACCTTCACACGCTCCACTTCCCGTCTTTGTGTGCACAGACCAATCAGACAACGCACACCTCCGAAACTCCGCATACCGCGGCTTTCGTTGAGTGAAACTTGCCATCCCACCTCCCTCCACCCCAAACAACTCTCACTTGCTGTTATGTCTTCATCCAAGAAATCTTCGTCCTCGTCATCCCGCAAATCCCGATCGCACGATCCCATCTACGAATCAGGCTATAGCAGCAGTAGATCCTACGGCACAACCTACAGTTCCATGTCGCCATTCTGGACGATCGGCACGCTGCTCGGTGCTTCGAGCGTTGCGCTCGGCGCTTTCGGTGCGCATGGGCTGAAGCAACGGATTAGGGATCCAGCGCTCATTGCGAACTGGGGAACCGCTGCTCAATACCAGGTACATATGCTCCCCGCTTCACCAACGCGTGCCCCTCTTCGCACACCGCATCCTCCTCGCCTTTGTGCCCATGGACCCTGCTAACGACACCAACAGCTTGTTCACTCCGTCGTCCTGACCATGACCTCCGTCGTCGCGCCGGGAAACACAATCGCAATGGCCCTCTTCACTGCGGGCATGACCATGTTCTCTGGAAGCATATACCTACTTGTGCTGGATGCCAAGAAGTACAAGTCTTTGGGGCCCGTTACGCCCATTGGCGGGGCCTGCCTTATTGCAGGCTGGCTTGCGCTTGCGGCGAGAGGAAAGATGGTCACACCTCGACCAAGGTCGTCTTGAAGACAGGATAAAGAGAATTGATGGACTAGAACATGTAAAACCAGATGACACGTACGAGGTCAACATAGTATGAGACACACGGGACCTTGCAAGCCTAGCGCACGAGCATGATGAATGACAACAAACTGTTTTTCTTCTGGCACACCCTTGCATCAACTGCGATTGCTCGCTACTCAACAGCCCTTCAGATATCAAACGTGAGATGAAAATAGCCACACCGGTCTTTCAGCGTCCATTCGAGGGCGACTAAGTCCAGATCGGAAACCCTAGCTCACATGACTCGAAACCGGCCCCCACTCCGCACGTACAAGTCTGGACCCTCATTTCCAACGTCTACACCAACCTTTTGTGTGATGGCGTTCCGCCTTACCACTCGATCACATGTCGGTATTTGCACGGTACTCGCTCGCTCCCGAATAACCGCAACAACCGCAACGTCTAACGTCTATTGACCGTGTTTCCACTTTGCCCAGTGACCTCACCCCACTTAGATACGCATTTTCTGCCGCAGACATGCTTCAGGCCCCCCTGCAACTTGACACGATAGCGTCGTCTCTTTGTGCGAATAGAAAATAGTGTAAATGCAATGCCTTCTCGCGCGACAACAGAGGTTTCTTTCTTGCATTGTTCTCCAAAATGGATTCAGAAGGTGTCCATTCGCAGTCGGCATCATGGTTTCCTCCAGTGGGCTATATGCTAGGTCTTGCGGGTATCTGGCTCGCATACAAGATTCTGGAGGCCATCTACAACATCTCGCCATTCCATCCGTTGAGCGGAATCCCAGGACCAAAACTAGCGGCAGCGACGTACCTGCCTGAATTCTACCACGATGTCATTAGGTTCGGCTGCTATACAAAGGAGATCGCGCGCATGCACAAGGTGTACGGTGAGTAGACAAGCAGAAATTGTACGCCAATACAGGCATAGAAGCTGATGTCGCATCCAGGACCAATCATCCGTATCAACCCCAACGAAGTCCACTGCGACGACATCAGCTTCGCTGACGAAATCTACGCCGTCGGTGGCCGAAAGCGCGACAAGCCTGTACACCAGATCAATGGGTCAGCGCAAGTCTCTCGTATATCTTTCATCCATGACTTCCAGCTGACAATTGCACAGTCTTGGAGAATCCGGTTTTGGAACCGTAGACCACAACATCCACCGCCTTCGCCGCATCCCCCTAGCAAAGTTCTTCTCCCGCACAATGATAACGCGACTCGAACCCGATCTTCATTCTGACGTCCAGAAGCTCTGTGATAAGCTTCTCCGACAATCGGGTGATAACAAGCCATTCGACGTCACCATGGCATACAGCTGCTTTACCGCCGACGCCATATCCAAATACAGCTTCGGTGAGAGCTTTGGGTTCCTCGACCAACCAGGCTGGTTCCCCAATTTCAGAGAACCAACTGCCTCGATCTTGCGTCCTGTCTTTGTGTTCCGCTTTTTCCCTTGGACGAAATCTACTACAAAGTTGGCAGCGACATTCGTCGATTACTTGCCCAAGGATATTGCACTCATGGTCAAAACATTGCAGATTGATCTGCCAGCCAGAGTACGCAAGACCAAGGAGGACATGGATGCTGGTATTACATATGATCGACCGACTATTTTCGCGAGTCTTTTGCAATCCGATCTCGAGATTCTGGACAAGGAACCCCAGCGTTTGTCCGAAGAAGCGCAGGCTGTTCTGGGTGCTGGAACGGAAACTACAAGTTGGGCGTTGGCGGTCATGACTTATCATCTACTAACCAAGCCGGAGATTCTTGCTAAGCTCACCGCAGAGCTAAAAACTGTTGTGGATGACCCGAGACATCTATCATGGCCTGTATTGGAAACGCTGCCTTACCTGGGAGCCGTCATTCAGGAGGGCTTGAGACTGTCCTATGGCGTTTCTAGCCGTACTGCGCGTGTGCCCACTGAAGAAAACCTACTCTACCGTGGAGAATGGAACAAGAAGACCATCCAATATGTACTTCCCAAAGGCTATGCCATCGGCATGTCAGCTTACGTCACACACCATAACGAACGCGCTTTTCCTGATTCCTACGCCTTTGCTCCTGAGCGATGGCTGAACGAGAACAACAACAGGAGAAAAGAAGCTGAGCGTAGCATGTTGACATTTTCGAAGGGAAGTCGTTCTTGTTTGGGAATGAAGTAAGTGCAACACATTCATGCGGATCTGGCAGGTGGTTTCTAACATTAATCTCGCAGTTTGGCTCTATGTGAGCTTAATTTGTGTCTGGCTGCATTGGTGCTGCGTGTTCTACCGCAGATGCGATTGTCGGATACTACTGAGGAGGACGTAACATACGATCACGACATGTTCGTGCCCATGACGAAGGCGAATAGAGGTGTAAGAGTAACGATCGTTTGATGCGGTAGCATCCCGGGAGATCGAAGACCTTAGAATCAGTTTAGTGGATCATCACGAATAGCAGTGCTTTAGTCTGTCACCACAATCGACATCGCGCGCTTTACTTTCCAAATGTATGGGTTAGGTGGCAGCCTGACATGTCTGTGCAGCAAGAGTAACCGAAGAAACCCAACGTCGAAGTTTTGATCTGATCAGAATTCTCCGAGTTTGGTATAGTTGATGCGATATTAACTTCATGTTCGAGCCGAGTCACCGAATCAAGCTAGCCTGTAGAAGCGGAGCCGCCGAGTGCTGGTAAACCTAATATCCTGGGATTGGAGTCAGCTTCTTCAACGCCAATATGTTAACCAGCAACCTCCTTCTCATGGTGAACATGATTCTGCCTACCCAATGTTGTCGCCATTTGTGTCTGCGGAAGCTGACCTGGAAGGGGAATATTCCCGACTCGATGGTCTAACAACCGCCATCATGGTGATATCGTGTACCTTCCTTGGGCTATCCCTGATTGCCATCTCTTTGAGAACCTATGTAAGGCTTTCAAGAAGCCTTTTCAGGTTGGATGATGGCTTCATGATTGCCGGTGCTGTAAGTTACTTCTTACACAGGAGGTGGGACAGGAGCATATCCTTTGCGAGTATCTGCTCATTCGAGGTGCCAGGCATTCTACACTGTTGCTATCTCTTTGACAATAAGAGCCCTCGTCGTCGGTATTGGAAGACGCGACAAGCACCTCGATGCATGGCACTCAAGTGAGGCGATAAAGTACTACATCATCTGGATCCTCATGTATGTGACCGCGCTCGCGACAGTCAAGTCCTCGATCTGCACGACGATTTTCTACGTCACCGCGACACAGCCCAGACTGCGCACCGCCATATATGCGCTACTAGCTACGACATGGGCGTCCTTCTTTATAACCTTTGTCGGCGTCCTACTATACTGTCGTCCAGTCAGTGCAACATGGACTCGGCAAGGAGAATGCGCACCGATATCTACTTTTGTCATTCTCGGTCATGTTGCTACTGTTTCGACAATCGTAACGGATTTTGGACTCGTGGTTGTGCCAGCCATCATCCTGTGGGATACGCATATGAAAAGGAAACGGAAGTTGCAGGCTCTAGGATTGCTATCGTTTGCCTCCGTGTAAGTCAGTCGATCTAGTCAATAGCAAACACATTGCCCTGCTGCCGATGGCTGACCTCACCAAGGGCGTCTATCATCACAGTTGTTCGGATTCCTTATATTAACAAATATGAGGATGGCAAAGACATACCGTGTGCGCTTTGACACCATACACCTTGAAGTCATCTTGTTCACGAATGCTAACGTGATGGTTAGTTTGGGCTGCCCATATAATACTTTGTTCGAACGTCGAGATAGGAGTCGGTTGCATTGCTTCATCAGTGCCTTCTCTTCGACACCTTCGGCACCTTCTCCACCGAACAGACGAACCCGTTTGCCTTCGGCATAGTTGTAGGCAAAAGTTGGCGCGCCTACGTTGGAGTTCCTTCACTATCGGGAGTCCACCGTGGCGCAGGCCTGTGGAGATGGGCATCAGACTATCATCCATGAGTCGCAGTCACCCAGAGGACGATTGCGAGCGATTGCAAGACCGAGTCTCGATGCAGAGCGATGCGCAGATGGATCTCCAGACGTTTTGTAGAAAGTGGATGCAGAGAGTGGAAGACACTCACGACAAAGACGCAGATGCTATACCTGATTTGAGGGATGTGGGGAAACTCATAGCATCGAAAGAAACTCCATCAAATGCGTCTTAAGATACTATTGTTCATTGGGGCGTAGCATTTGCTGCATGAAAGCCTATTGCGAACATTCACATAATCCTGGACACCAAACGGCGATAGTCCTGCCTCCTGCCCTGCGCACGATTATCGTCCTTGGCAAGTGCACATCGATATCTACTGCGATGGAGGAGCAGTCGTGTTTTGTGTCGCCTCCTTCCTCTGCACCCATCCGAACCTCGGCGAACCGTTGTTCATATCAAAGATCTAGAAGCCTAGTCAGTACTGCTTCACTGATCTAAGTAGATTCATGATGACTTACCGCATACATGGCTTTCAATACGGCATCGCCGTAGATATCCATGTCCATGGATCCTCTGCTCTGAATACTTCCGTACACGTTACCATTTCCGGCATCGGCGAAGCCCAGATCTTCTTTCTGGAATGTCACCATGGAGTCTCCAATGGCGAGCTTAATCTCTGGCAAATCGTCCGCGGATGTAGAGGCAGGGAAGACGTAGCCTTGGTTGTTCTGGTCGTACTGGGCGCCAGGGATAGCTTTGTAGACAGCATCCACAAGAGCGTCATCAACCAAGCAGAGCGTGGTACCAGTGTCCATGATGGAAGTGTTACCGGATCGGTTGACAGTCTCGCCATTGATGGTGGCTGATGTAGACTGGATCTGCCAGAAGCCTTGGCTGTTGTCAACATCAGCGTAGTTGGGCTCGGAGGCTCCAGAGGCGGTCATGACGTCTTGGTCTATGAAGCCGAAGGTGTAGAAGCTCTGTAGGCATGTTAAACAAAGAACGCAAACATGTGAAGGATGGAACTTACTTCTCCCTTATCAGCTTCGTTCGCATCACGCCAGCTGCCAAGGTATGCCGTGAAGAGCTGCTCCTTGGCCGTCTTCTGTGCGATGATGTTGTCGACTGGCGTCTTTTGCGGAGTTGGAGAAACAGTGTTGATGGAGCTAAACGCCAATCCGAGCAGTCCACTACCATTTCCCTGTGCGAACTGCTGCGAAAGCTCCTTTGCGAGCTCTACAGCCTGGTTCTCAACCTTGAGGCCACCAAGATCCACAACATCGGTGCCTACATCACCGCTTGCTGATGAAGAGTCGCCGTATGAGATCTTCCAGGTCTCGCCATCAAGCTTCTTGAATGTGCTTGACTTGGAGGGGTCGAAAGCGACCTGCTGGTTCGAGGGATTGGCAGAACTGAGGATGTTCTTGGGAAGCTCAGTGGACCAGACCTGTACGTCTTAGCATATATCACGAGAACTTAGATGGGCTCACATACCCAAAGATCCGAAGATCCTGTATCGAAATCCAAGTACAACTTCTGTTCAGGTGTTCCGACACCGACTTCGCAGAGATATAATGAGTCGTTCTGGATGTCTTCAGCGGGCACTTCGCCCTCAGCTCCACCTCCATCGCTTGGGGCTGCGGCCTTGCTCTGCGCACCACCCGGTGCTGACGTTTGCTCCCGCTTCCTCAAGACGTAGTGTGATCGCATGCGGCCGCCGACTCGTCCAAACTTGCCTTGCTGTGACATGACCTTGGCTTGGAAATATGGGCCTGGCTTGGTCGGATGGAAGCCATCTGCGCATGTCAGTTCAGAACTTAAGAGAGAATGTAACAGGTCACCTACACTTTGTCATCGCGTAGACATAGCTCTTGACCCCAGCGGGCTTGTAGGCAGGGCTACGCTGAACAGCGAGACGCTGTAGAGATGCCATGTTGTTACTAGATTGCTCAGTCGATGGTAGTGTAGGTTTAATTCAGCAGATTTGTGTTGTAGCACTGGTGTAATGGAGAATTGGAAATGAGTAATTATTTTGCTTGAAGTGACGATGAGGCGGCATATATACCTTCGTGCTTTCCACCAACGCATGCATCACACCCACCTCGAAGCAGCAAACCTACCTGCCCAACTCCAAGCGCTCCAATCATTAGCTCTCGACCAGGAACCGTCGGGCACATCGGCCGGAATGTCGCAGCAGTGGTCATGGGCTTGCAAGCATGCGACCAAGCTTTCCAAGCTTTATCAAGCTTTCGTTAAGCTCCAGGTGATGCATATGGTGCGTCTGAAATATTGCACTTGCAGATCACACGCACGATGATGCGGGATAATACGGTTGTGGCGTTTGTAGATAAGGACCCGGACGGGTACAGAGCGGTTGCGGCTGTGAGTGTGCTGTCTAGGTACCAGTGCAGCTGCGTATGCGATGTACGTGGGCCTGGCCGATCTACAATTCTGAAAAATATGTGAGGTTTCTAGATCGATTCGATGGATGCGTCAAGATGCGACTTGAGACCCTATCGGAAGCGCCGCAGACCGCAGCCACGTCTCCCCGCTTTCTGGGGATTCCACCAGGCGGATTCGCAGCCGCAAGCGTATGCCCTGGCGATGCAAGAGCAGCAAGAAAAGTTCCTTGTTTGTGTCTTGTCTCGACTTCGCCATGTCCACGTGTAGCGTGAGTATGTGGTGGTTTCAAACTGCCTAGGTTCAAAGGTACAGGTGGGATGATGACGTCAGTAGGTACGCGTCATCCCTGATACATGTCAGGAAGCTTGTCATCTGGTCGCCAGCCACCTCACAACATGCTACTCGCCCAAGTTATCGCGGGTACAATTCCATCCGATATAGAATACAAACGACCTATTCGATTATAGACATGGGTCTTCAATTATGCTCCGCGACAGCTTATGAGGATTGATGACGAGTAATCTTGACGCTACCTATCTAAGAACTCCAAATGAACGCAGAAGGAAAACTATGCATGCTTGCTTATGAGCGCCAGAAGCCATCCACGCATCTGAAAATCTTCGCTTGGGTAACACAAGTATCATCAGGACGATCATCAAGACAATGGACGATCGATGTTTACACCAAAATCATCACGCAGTCCTAGGCTTGAACATCAGATCGCATCGATCATGCCTACTTCGGTATCCGTTTGCCTCGAACGGCGCCATCTTCTCTGGTGTTGTCTCAGGTGCAAGTTCGATTCTGAACGCTCTGAATGTCGCCGCCAAGATGAGTCTCATCTGATAGGTCGCCATATTTCCTCCTGGGCAGCGCCTCGCTCCTACACCGAAAGGCACAAGCATCTTCCGACGCTCGGCGCTATGTTCGTCCTCGACGAGCCAGCGTCGCGGGTTGTAGGTATCGAAGTCGGGGAAGAGATCGGGGCGCTGACGAGACATGCTAAGGGATTGTGTAGTCACAACAGTACCGGCAGGGAGGTGATAATCAAGGACGTTGATACCTCCAGCGGGGACGAGGCGTGAACCTGTGAGAGCGACAGGTGGGCGGAAACGCAGACCCTCTTTGATACATGCATCGAGGAGTTTCAACGAGTCAAGCTCTTCATAACCCTCATGAGCGGCTACCTCCTTGTATAGCTCTTCCTGAAGGCTTAGGTTCTTCGCTAACTCGTAGTATATGAAAGCGAGAGCTGATGAAGTCGTTTCAGTGGCGGCGAGTACCTGTCCCGCCATCTCTGCACCAATCTCTGGATCTGTCCACGATTGCTCGACGGGGTATTTGGCGTCTGGTGCAGTGAATAGCTTGTAAACGTTGTCAGTTGGCTCTTCGCTCACTTCAGCGGCTTGTTTACACAGCGCTGCGCCCAAGTCGAATAGCTTGTCACTAGATCGTACCCGGAACCGTGGATGCGCGAAAGGACCGTATTGAAGCCATGCGAACAACCACTCTGGAAGGCAGAGACGCCAGACGACAAGGAAGTTGTATTCGCCGACAACATGGGGAAAGTCGCTGCAGTCAAGGTCAACTCCCGAGCCACCCATGACGACTTGAGAGTTCTTAAGAGTGGCTATGCGCAGGTGGTATACGATGTCTTCGGATTTTTCGCCGTCTGACTTTGCGAGATCGCGAACCATGGCTTCGATGTTGGTCACGAAGACGTCATGCCAGAGCTTCATGTTCTTCGTGGTGGTGGCGATCATGACTGGATGTCGTCTCTGGCGAGCAATCGGGTGTTGTGGGTATGTAACGGTCCAGTCATGACCGCCTACACGCAAGGCTCGGATGGATGTTGGCGAAGTGTCAAGGTCTTTTCTTACAAAGATTCTCTCCACTGCCTCGGAATCGTTGAGTATAACAAGGTTAGGAGCGATCCTAACAATGGGCCCATATTTAGTCATGAGCTTGTCTGCCTCAAAGGACAATCTGCCATGCCATCGCTGCCAGCGAATCCAGGCTGATGATGCTGAACTGATCCAAGGCCCTGGTATAGCTCGCAACGGGTCGATGTGCGCGCGGTAGATCATCTTAGTAACTTGAGAGACAACGAGCATGACAAAAAGAGCGCCGACGAGCTTCCAGCGTAGCACATAGTCGCTTGCTATTGCGCCTTGAGCGGCGGCGGGATAGTTGGCCAATAAGCCGCCTGAAAAGGTGTCGTTTGACATGATAGAGAATGAAAATGTAGTCTTCGATGAGCAACGCAGAAACCCACATTACCCGAGCTACATTATATATTTCGCTGAGGTGCTCTGTCTTGTATCACCGTTGCCCTATCCTTCGCCAAGATGGGTAATCCATGTGCGTCCCTGTGTTGAACCCATAAGCCCGACGCTGGGGGACCCTGATACCCGTGAGCACCAGAGCCTCAAAGTTCGGACCTATTATAAACTTTGTACACCTGGGGGTCTCGGTAGTTGAGGCTACTAGGTGCATGGTATAAGATTCGACCCTGTATATCGTATAAGCAAATGCGAAATTGATGCTTATTTCTAGAAGCACACTATCTGGTCAACGAAGTTTTACGCGCCTTCTTGGCAACGTTTGTGTAGAGAAAGGCTTTCCAGGCCACAAAGGCATGTGTTTGTTTCGACATGACTGTGTGCCTCTTCCAGGAAGTAAACGGCTCGTATTTGTCAGCCCTATGATTGTTGGGGTCGGCAGATGAGAAGGGTAAGTGTATGCAGTGAGTGGCCGAGGTAAGTGGCAATAGTAAGCCATTCTGGAGTCATTGGTGATGTAGAAGGCCCGAGACTTCAAGATGAAGTACAGTGGCGCACGTGTGCGTTCACTGTGCGTTCCCTGCTTAGGTAGTTATCGACCGTCCAAGCACTTGTACTGCTGGGCGATCGTCAGTGTTCATAGACCCAGCCGGCAACGTAAGACACATAGCTCCAATGAGAGCGCATCTGATTTTAGAGACACTAGTCTGGCATGACATCCCGAGTGCGGAGAGGGTGCTGTTGAGGATCACAAAATTACTGATGCCCAACAACAGGGTAGAGAGTGAGTCCCGAACTCAACGGGGGTAGATTTTCGTTGCTCAAACGGCCCGTAGCGTGATGATCGTTCACGGCAAAGCTCTATTATCATGCAGTCTGCGCTTGAACGTAGGATGATACACGGGACGTGGCAATCTTTGGGGGGATTCGACCGGAAGAATGTGTTTCACATGGAGGGCAGCACTCGTGCTCAACATGCGCTTAACTCTACTGGGAAGTGCTGTGCAAGATGCAGCGCGTGCTGCCTCAAGAAGCGACCATTTACAGCTTTGATGTTCACGGGGAATGTAGTGTGTGAACTGGCGGAGTAAACAAAGTTTTAGTCATGGTAGCCACGTAGTCAAGATTTATTGATCCTTGAAGAGAGTTCTCTCTCTGTTAGAGACAATCAGCTTTGAGTGGGCTTCCAATTCTATCCAAAGCTAATCTTGAATCAATGAACGCGTGAGGTTTACACTGGGTAATCTTGGGCTACGGGTTCAAGCCAACGTAAACAAAAGCAAGCAGATTAGGGTGATGGAGACGATTCTCAATAGTATTGCCGTGCGTTGTACGGACGCTCGTTGAGGTCGTGTCAATTCAGCGCGTGATGGGCATGATCCTCGTAAGTGATACGTCTGAACACAAGATGCAACAATAAGATGAAGCCAATGTTATTCGCAAGGTTCAAATACGAACTTTGCGACAGCGCGACGCCCACGGTCGTTGAGTAAGCCTGCAGAATGCAGGAAAGGACGTCTAGATCAGGAGAAAACAGACTTTACCGGTTTGGGGCGCGGATCTACATCGCGCCTTCCGCGCAGAAGCCGGGACCTCGGTACGTACCTGACCCTGGCCCATCGAATCTCCCTTCCACGATCGCGGCCTCACTTTTGCGTCACTCGGTTATTCTTGCATCGTATACATCTTCCTGCATTCTCGTCGCTCTTGTACGACAAGATCATTTGTCCTGCTTCTCGAGCTTCTCCTCGCCAGCAACAAACAACTCTTGTCCATGCAGCATTACGTCAGGCTGCGGCTTTGGTAGGTAACTCGCGATCACTGGCATCAATGCAGCTATCAAGACGCCGAGGAACAAGACGGCAGTCGACACGGCAAATCCCTTTAGGTTACGTGGCCCCTCGGCGCTGGGCCACAGGAAGCTTCCGTAGATGTAGCTCGTGTGACCAAATGAGTTCACCAACGCGATAGCTATAGATCGCTTACGTGTTGGCTGAGACAGAACTTCGCTGGTCCAGTTGAGAATCAGAGGTATTGTTGTGTACATTGCGCCGGTCTGGACACACAACATAGCATACTTGACCGCATTATTGCTGACGAGGAGAGCTACTAGTGCAGCGATTCCAGCAAACCCAAGCAGGCCAGCATTGTGCCATCTTCGGTCTTGTGTCTTGTCCGAAGTCCATGACCTATACAAAAGACATACGATTAGCCGATATCTTTTAGCTCGTTCTTGCATGATAGCTACTTACCAAAAGAGCTGAAATACCGCGCCGCAACTCCAAATGGGTACCGTCATCCACTGGGCACTAGTGCTCGTATAACCCATTCCTCTGAGCATGGTTGGAATGAAGTAAGACACGGTCAACGCCAAACAATTCGCCGTGTAGATGATCAGAAAAAGATAGGTTCGACCATCTCTGATCACTGCGAGGAACGCCTGTAGTGGCGTAAGGGCCTTTTCTTCGGTATCCCACGACTCGTCCCGATCGCGGAGAATGCGGACATGAGCAAGAAGGCGCTGTTCCGGGGACAACATCTTGGAGTCAATCGGCCAGTTGGGAAGAACGAAATACACTGATGTGAGGAGGCAGTCAGCAACGTCAACGTAATTGACGTGGAGACTACTCACACCCGAAACCACAGACAATCGTAATTGCGGACTCTATGACGAGCAACCAACGCCAGCCCGAAATCCCACGAGCGCCGTCCAGGCTAGATATTACCGCGCCTGCCATGATGCCACCCAGTGCGGGAGACACGCAGCCCGACGTGTAAAAAATGCAAAAGCGCTTGCCTGGAGATTTGGTTAATGAGCCATGTCATGAACACATAATGGCGTACGTACCGACTTCTTTCTTCGTGTACCAGCAGGTAAGGATGAACAGCGCGCCTGGATACAACCCCGCCTCGATTGCTCCGAGGAAGAAGCGTCCAATAAGCAAACCTGTCGCGCTTTTGGTTTGTGACATCCCGAGAACAACGCAACCCCAAACCCACACGATCGTGGCTAAATTAATATCTATTAGTTCTGCCATAGCACATTTCACCTCATCGAGCACACATACATAAATAGATCGAAGGCTTCACCTTCATCAGTATCATGTTCGAAGGAACCTCGAAGATGACGTATGCCACAAAGAAGAGTGATACGAGCATTGCATACTCTATATATTGTCAGCTTACACTTTTAGTATTCTGCATACAGACGCTTACGGTTATCAGAGAGTCCAAGATCCTCGCTCATACCCGCCGCGTTGGCATTGGCGATGTTGCTCCTGTCGAGATGCGCAAGGATGTACATCCACCAAAGGATTGGAAGCAATACGAAGTCAATCTTTCGTACCAAACGTTTCTCTTCCGCGGTACCTGGCACATAGCCTTGTAGTGCAGCTACGATCGCTGCATCCTCGACCTCTCCATGTTGTATCTGCAAGCTGCTCTTCTCATCGTCCGGTATAGAGGGGGTTCTCAGTGTCATCCTCGGTGCTTCCACATCCTTGGACGTCATGGTCATGATTGCCTATACGGGGAGACGAGGAACAGTTCGTTTGAAGGGGATAATAAACGAGCAGAGAATCCAGCCGACCGAGACAAGCATTGGGTTCAAAACATATACTTGCATGTTGACGGCTGCACACTCCCGGATGCCTGTTCGCATGACACTCTCCAACATTTTGTGCTTATCATCATCCGATATCTGCTAAGCCAGATAGTCGTCAATCCAGCATCCCGGTTCCTATCTGTTCTTATCAACCTCAGAAATCTTGGACAGGATTCTGAGTAGTCGGTCCCCGCAGTGATGCCGGGTTGATGCAGACTTCGCCAAGGCAAGGCCCCTACCTGGCCAAGCTTTGAGTGGAGCAGCGCTTATCATGCCCAAAACCTCGCACAGGTATGCTCCGATATCGTTATAGCACACCCCGATGCTTCGTTATAGTTACCCAGATGGTGCATTGTTGACATGCGAGCAGGATCTATTATCAACTCTTACTATCACCCATCTTGAGAAATTCCAAACTCCCGATCGGAAGCCCAATACCTTCAGCACGCAACACTGTCGCAATGCCCACATCCAATAAGCACGTGGTGTTCGACATTGTTGGCACCTGCGTCTCCTATGATGCAATCTTCGATGCTCTTGACCACCGCTTGGGCGACAAGATGCGTGCCGAAAGCATTAAACCACGACTCTTCGGCTACCTGTGGATCGAAGTCACCGAAAGAGAGTACACTTACCTCAGTATGAATGGCCGTTATATTGGGTTCCGTGACATCTTTAGCAGCCTGTTCTATCGTATGCTATACATGTCCGGTATCGAAGAACCTCAGGTGTTCGCTAGCGACGAAGATCTGAAGTACATTCTGGAGCAGTACAAGAAGCTCGAGGCGCGACCTGGTGTAGCAGAATGCTTTCAAATGTTGAGGGATGCTGGGTTCACGGTCTGGGCATTAACAGCAGGAGATGTGGAGCGCGTCGGAGGCTACTTCACGCACAATGGTATACCCATGCCTAAGGAGAACTTCATCTCGTGCGACACGGCCAAGATCGGTAAACCGGATCCGAAGGTATATCAGATGATGATGGAAAAGCTGGGCAGCGATGAGAAATGGTTTGCCGCTGCGCATAATTGGGATGTAGCGGCTGCCAAAATCCATGGGTAAGTTTCCACAATCAAATCGATGCCCGTTCTACCACAGCTAACCAAACAACAGATTCAAGGCTGCATACTGCACTATCTGGGAGAAGATTCGCTGCGACAATCTGTTTGGTGAAATGGACGTCACGGCAGATTCTTTCACTGAGATGGCACGCGGGATTATATCTGCGTCCGATGCCAACTCAAGATAAGTTGGTATTGGTTCGAAGCATAGTAATATGGGAATATGCACCTCGACTAGGTTACTATCACAATATCGAACGCCTCATAGTCGTGCCAAGTGATCGTAGAGCAGAAGGATTCGCCCAGAACGCCACTAGATGTTTTTGTGTACTGGATGGGCGCCGACATGCATGATCATTCAAAACAAGCGAGCAAACCCCCTTGTCGATCTGCACTTCGGCAAAGCATGTCCGCTATCGACAACATCCCACTCTTGTCGATAAGGATCAACATACGCAGCCAAGAAGGACCGTAGGAGATTCCACACGCAGGAGACGCTCAGAAAGCGGGGAAGGTGTGCGCGCGGTTTACGCCGCGGCCGTCTCCGTGCTTCGTCAGGCGCATACGTACGTACCGCTGTCGGAGTAGTACCGTACCACAACTCTCCAACAGCATCCCAGATGATAGTGTGGAAAGAGTATCACTCTGACTGTTAGTATCATAGAAGTTCAACAACGAGTCTGTCAAGACGGCATAGAATCAGTACCTCAACATGGCAACCGACCGTACACCGGTCTCAAACCCCGTGCAATCATTCTGGACGTCAGAATCTGATCCTAACGATAATCTACGTACCACGGATGATCTCCCTAGTGAAGCAGATATTGTCATAATCGGTGCGGGGTTTGCTGGAGTTGTAAGTGTTCATCACAGACTCCATCCTATACTTATACGTGCTAACCACATTCTACCAGGCTACAGCTTACCATATCCTTACATCATCCTCTCCAGTTGCATCACCATCCGTTCTTATCCTCGATACTCGTAAGATCTGCTCTGGGGCTACAGGTCGCAACGGCGGGCACGTGAAGCCGGATCTCTACTTCAACGTCTCGAAATATGTTTCCATGTACGGCACGAGCGCCGCGGCGGAGGTGGCTTCTTTCGAAGCGGCGAACGTGTCTGCGGTAAAAGACCTCGTTGAGACTGAGGGGCTAGACTGCGACTTCCATCTCACCAGAGCGATCGATGTGTATCTGGATGCTGAGCATGCGAGGCAAACAATTGAGGCGTGGAAGAAGCTAAGGCGAGAGAAGACGATTGACTTGAGAGACGTGGCTTACATTCCTGAGAAAGATGTCGAAAGGGTGCGTATGCTTGCTCTCTCTAGGGATATTTGAAACATATGCTAACAGAATTACGAAGATTTCTGGTGTGAAGGGTGCGCATTGTGCCTTCAGCTTCACCGCAGCGCACGTGTGGCCGCGAAAGATGGTGCATCAACTATTAGCGAAGCTACTTGAGCAGGACTATAACTTGAACGTACAAGCAAACACGCCGGTGACCTCTGTGTCCGATGTCATAGACGAGACTGGCCGGTGGACGATTCAGACACTACGCGGTGCGATCAAAGCCAGGAAGGTAGTTCACGCCACTAATGGCTACACTAGTCAAGTTCTACCGGAGTACGCACGGGGTATCACGCCGATTCGTGGCGTGTGCAGCCATATCGACAGTCCGCTGAAGCGACAAACGCCACATCTCAATAACACATACGCCATCCGTTTTGATTCTCGAAATTACGACTATCTCATTCCCCGAACCGACGGAAGCATTATTGTTGGAGGCGCGAGGCAGCGATTCTGGCATAAACCCGAGCGCTGGTTCAACACAGTGCGCGATAATGAGCTTGTTGATGAAGCCTCATCATACTTTGATGGATACATGCAGCGCTATTTCAGTGGGTGGGAGAACACGCAAGCCGAAACGAAGAAGGTTTGGACTGGTAGTGAGTCAATGAGCCTTTCGCACTTACGCAACTGACACTCTTCATAGTCATGGGCTACAGCGCAGACTTCATGCCACATATTGGCTCAGTACCGGGGAAACCGCATCAGTTCATTATTGCTGGATTCAACGGCCATGGGATGCCGCAGATTCTGCTATCGAGCAAAGGTTTAGCTGCTATAGTGCGAGATGGAGTACCATTCGAGCAGACTGGTCTACCTCGACTATTCGAAACAACAAAGGAAAGGATCGAGCGACGCGACAGCCCGCTTGAAGACTCCTTCCGTCCGCTGTGGGAAGAGCATGCCAAGTCGAAGCTATAAGGATAAGATCTCCGCGATGCGATTACAGCCATGTCTGCTATCTTCATCTTCGAAGCGGGCTATACTTCTGACGTATAGATCAAGCAAGGGTTGGGGAGAACTAGAAAGGGGGAGTGAGACGACGAATTGCGCTGAAGGGATCAAAGTGGGATTGGGATTTACAGAGCATAGTTGGCGGCTTCTTCGGGGACAATATAGACGGCCTTCTATATGTTTTGGGTAACCTTCATAGTCACAATCACGAAACAACAAGTATAGAAGTATTTGCAAAATATTGTAATTTGCTGATCCACTTATACCGCTTTTCACCTCTAAGCTTAACATGTGCGTAAATGCTTGCACTGGGTATCCAACTAGGTAATTAGAATTGTCTTGCAGGCTAAGCATTGGATATTTACCAGGTTTCCTTTCACGTTTTCTAACCACTGCAAACGCAGCGATCTCCACTGCTGTAAACCCTTTAGTAAGGATTGTATTTGGAGACGGTTATATGACCTACCTATCCGGGTAAAGTTCGCAGTATGGGGTACGATTGGGTCCACACCAGCCAGCACATTCACCTGCACTGCTGCAAAAAGGAGGAAGATCCCTTTGCGGAGCAGGCTGAGGAGCAGCTAATGCGAAAACAGCAAGAGAGAGGAGAGTAACAATGGTGATCTGCATCTTGATGGAGAACAGATAATCAGAGAGAATGTTGCAGTTGATCCAGAAGCATAGATACTCAGTGCTCCTTATATACCTGGTGACGACACCAGTAACACTTCGTAGGATTCCGCCACTCCGGTGCCGAGAGCCAGCGATCCATAATTTCTGAAGTTACTCCCGAAGTCAGGCCTGCCAACATTACGTAGATTATGATCTAATGTTTGTAGTTAATGATCTCAATGCAGAGATTTACCGACCGAGACTTAATTAGTTGGCGCTGGTGTCAAGTTCGCCCATGTCAAACAGGTTGGGCAGACTCCCGTAGACGAGTTATGAAAGACGTCGGTTGCGATCTTGGTCAAAAGTAGCCCAAAGCAGTGGAGTTTGAGCTGACGAGAATTTACCAGCCTCATACAATCATCGGAACAGCCTGTTGGTGGGAGAAAGATGATCTGCAACGAACTCATTTGACCGCACTATAGTGTTGGTCAATGTCATGACTTTTTTCTTGGCACGAGTATTCTGCGTATGTATCGCTCTTGATAACAAGAGATATATCGAACATGGAGCTGAACATCAATGGTGGCGCAGACAAAACCACAAAAGTTGACATCTGGGGTCGTACCTGGGTAGGTTTTGTATGGAGAAACGTAGTTACGTTCTATAGGACAAGCGTGTTGTGATCCTAGACAGTCGATGGTCTTGTGGGAGTAAACTGGCACAGTGCTAATCGGTTGTAACGCGGTGTGGCAATGCGGTCTGATGTAGTGAAGACGGCGGTGTATCCTCGATAGCCTCTTTCGGGCCGTTCCCTGCCGTATTTCGGCAACGACACAATGTCAGTCATGAATATTTGCATTACTGATCAAAGAGTACGGCATCCAGTGCTCAAGGTGCTCCGTGCGATAGGTTCTGTTTCATGTCCTACGCTTGACTCAGTCGAAAAAGTCCGACTCCGCACATTGTTGTTAGTTCCAGCCTTTTGTGCCAGCCAAGGAGGTAAAGACTCTTGGCTAAATTGCGTTCGGTAGAAAGCGGCGTCAGCGATGCGTAAGACGTCTTTTGTTTCTTCGCCTGTGTGCTTGTGTACTTAACCTCATTCCTCCGCCTCTTCAAACCACTTTCTTTCTGCTTGCGGCCTACACCTTCTTTCCTCGCGGTATCCAATTTATAGAGCTCAGTCTTTGAAATCAAAGTAAGGTTACCTTGCTGTTCCCACACTTGGAAAGCGATGCTCGTGAGTTCATTTAGGCGCCAACCTTTCCTCCCCAGCTTGATCTCGGGGCAGACCGTATCGTAGTCAATCTCTTTCTGAACACGAAGACTTCCCTCAGAATTTCGGTATGTAGGACGTGGGCTCAGTAGTTTGTCTTTGACTTGAGCCGCTGGGAAGTAGGTGACTGACCATACCTCACCGCGCAAGCTCCTTCCGAATGTCATCCATCGTCCCTCGAACGTTAGTGGCTGCCTGGTTTTATCCTGCTTGATTAGGTCAATTACTCTAATCTTTAACATCTCGATATGCGCCTTACCATGTTGTCACTCATGACTATTTGGGGCGCACTCAACGTTTTCTAGGATAGACAATAGTACTGCGAGACCCATCTGCAGGTTCGTACTACCGCTCTACTTTGTTTTCTACACCTTTCACACATCGCTGCTGTCATTCGTGTCAGTGCAGCTTACATCAACTCCTAACAAGAAAACTTATAAATAATAATAGTATTGTATGCTTCTAGGTGTTCTATCTCTATGTACATAGCTCTCAATACGGTTTATTGTAGTAGGAAGAAGTATTTCCCTTCACCCTCGTAGCAGGCAAGCGAGGACCCGCTTTTCTTCGTTCCTCATTCCTCATCAGTGGACCGCAGCGCAGCTGCCTAATCGATGTAGTGAAGACAGTGCATTAAGGTTGCTAACGCGCTCCGTGCAGGAACTGTGTAGGTTTACTTCTACAACACTCTCTACTAGCAATCACCCTTTAGCAGGTACAAAAGGGTAAGCTGTGCCTATACGAAATGCATGTGACATATACACTAAGGATTTCTTCACATTCGGGCAACAAGTTTTCCCTTCAACAACCACAATGTTGACAGTATGGCGTCAGCTATAATATCGGTGCCACCGGAACTGTACGTGGAGATCGCGCCTACAGTGCTGTATGCTGAGCTCTTCAGCCAACGCGATCAAGGTGAGGACAACCAGCACTAATGTGCATCTTCGAGTACTGACTGAGCATTCCTCGCAGCGACCCCCGGCACACCCGCGAGTAACTTCAACGTGGAAGACCCTGTTTGGCCTACTGACAAGGCCACCGCTACGATGAGGGCTCGAGTGTTATCCGCCTATTTCGGTGTGGTACCGCTTGACATGCAGCATACCGTCGTTGGCGTTGGCCAAAACCCTGAGGCCGTGAAGCTTGCAAATCAATTGTTTAAGAAGGTCCGGGAGAATATTCAAACCGAGAGATACGAGCGCGGCTCGTTTATCCAAGAGTTTGTGAAGGGAAAGGTCAGCACGCTCAACTTCCGAACACTTGTTACCAACTGGAATCTCGACGCGCGCATTTGTGAGATCGAAGTTGCAGGCGAGACACCGGCTGCCGCAGCGATCCGCAATGCTAACTGTACGGTCTATGAGACTGCATTGACCGAGTTCCGACAACTCTGGAGGGACACATATGAACAGTCGTTCCAGTCGGCTTCAGCAAACGTTGGCATTACCGGGGGACTCAAGAAGAAGCGGTATGAGCGCGCTCGTGACTTGTACCGCGTCACAAAGGATGATCCATCCGCCCCACCGCCAAACATTGGCCAGCTGAGCGCACGTAAATGCGAGCAAGCTAAGGAAGTTCCGTTCGCCTTCCGCGCAAAGCAAGATCGTCTAGCAGGTCGTCCGTCCAACCCATCACACAGATTCCATAAGATTGTTGATAATTCTTTACATTCATTTAGATCCTCATAATTACTTGAGCTATACATAGTACCTATGGAATCCTTCGCTAAAAAACCAGCATAGCGCTTAACCGAACAGAACATCGCCAAGACGAATAGACACGGTCTTGGTCTGGATGTAGTTGTCCAGCGCCGCCTCTCCCAACTCGCGCCCAATACCAGACTGTGCAAAGTCAGTGTATGTCTCATGCATTTCATATAGGGAGCTCTTACCTCCTTGTACCCCCCGAAGGGAAGTTGCCAGTGAAGAGTGTTGTAGGAGTTGACCCAGACAGTTCCTGCACGGAGCGCGTTGGCAACCTCAATGGCAGTGGTGAGGTTGGATGTGTGTACAGCGGCAGCAAGACCGTATGTGGTGTTGTTACCAATCTTGATGACATCGGCCTTTGTCTTGAACTTGGAGATTGTGCAGACGGGGCCGAAGATCTCTTCTTGCTGAATCTTCATATCCTCGGTTACGTTGGAGAAGATTGTGGGCTCGATGAAGTAACCCTTGTCGCCCTTACGGTTGCCACCAGTCTCGACGGTCGCGCCAGACTTCTTGCCCTCCTCGATGTAGCTGGATTAGAAGTTAGCAATGATATTTTAGACGGAGGTGGTGATGCTTACCCCATGATACGGTCGAACTGGAGCTGCGAGACTTGAGGACCCTGGAAGGTGTCCGCGGCGAATGGGTCACCGACAGCGTTCTGAGCAGCCCGCTCCTTGAAGCGCTGGATGAACTTGTCGTAGATCTCTTCTTGGACGTAGATACGTGAACCAGCACAGCAAGCCTGTCCGTGGTTGAAGTAAATACCAAAGTTGACCCAGTGGATAGCCTCGTCAAGATCTGCGTCGGCGAAGACAATGTTGGGGCTCTTGCCTCCGAGCTCGAGAGTGACCTTCTTCAAGTTGGAGCCAGCGGCAGACTTCATGATTTGACGGCCGACAACGGTTGAACCAGTGAAGGCAATCTTGTCAATGTCCATGTGAGCGGACATGGCAGCACCGGCGATCTTTCCGAAACCAGTGATGACGTTGATGACACCTGGTGGGAAACCGGCCTCCTGAATCAGTTTGCAAGCAATGTATGCGGAGAGAGGTGTCTGTTCAGCAGTCTTCAGGACGACGGTGTTACCAGTGGCGATGGCAGGACCAATCTTCCATGACCACATGAGAATAGGGAAGTTCCATGGGATGATTTGACCGCAAACACCAATCTGAGAGCGTTAGATATAAGACTTGAATATTGAGAGAGAATTCACTAACAGGCTCCTTGCGGATGTAGTTGAAGCTGTCGGGTGCTGTGTCGACGACCTTGCCCTCAATCTTGTCGGCCCATCCTCCGTAGTACCTCAGGCAACCAGCGGCGGCGGGAACATCGACATTCTTGGCCATGCTGAAGGCCTTGCCGTTGTCGAGAGCCTCGACGGCAGCAATGAGGTCGGCATTCTTCTCGAACAGATCGGCAAGCTTGTTAAGCAGCTTTCCCCTGTTCTCTGGTGTCTCCTTTCGCCATGGGCCGTTGAAGGCTTTGCGGGCGGCAGCAACAGCGATGTCAACATCCTTCTCGGTGGCCTCCTGAACACTGCAGATGACCTCCTCAGTGGAGGGGTTGATAACATCAAAGGTTTTGCCGTCAACGGCCTTTACGAACTCATTGTTGATGAAGCTGGTCGAGCTGTTAGTGCTGGCACGTGTGACAGGCAATACCGAAGCATTGCACTACCTCCGAAGGCTATCGGAGGCCATTGGGGGCCTGATATTCAACTTACAGTCCGGTGGGCTGCTCGAACTCGCCCGTCTGGGGGGTTGTGAGCTTTACAGATGTCATAGCTGTGAAAACAAATTGGGGTATATGAAGAAAACAGAGAGGTGAAGTGTGTGAGGGGTAGAGGCATAGGCAAAACTTAAGTACTTTCAGGAGCTCCGCATGACGACACTAGGGAGTATCTCCACTTGACAAAGGGACAGCAGCACGATCGCCCAGACAGCCTCGGCCATCAGGAGCCCGTCTCGAGAATGCTCTGTAGCCTATTGCGTGTCTGGTAGATGCATGGCCGGGTGGCGCTTGACGCAACGGCGGAAGCTCCTGCCCCGCTCTTGCAACCAGTGGTAAGCTACCCCTCCCCCGCAGTTCTCCTCTGAGAGTTTCTGAAGCCGCACCTAACCTTGCTACACGCGGTACTCGATCCTCCAATTTGGAATAGACACCTATTGGCAGCTCATGCGCATCCGCAAAAAGCTCGCGGATCTCCACCTACGTCGCGTGGCCGTCTCTATACAGCGTGTTTTCAGCTGCATAACTCATGTACTAACCTCGGAGCTCTAGACACGTACCAAGTCAAACATACCCACCATCGGAGCCACAGCGCTAAATCCGAAGTGGCAGCCCTATAACCCATATCGTCGCACCCCGAGCAAGCTCGGCCCGTTTTAAAGCGAGCACCCGTGTGTCAACGGTCACCTCTAATCCATTCACCGAGCTAGAATATCTGCTCTATGTCTGTCGGCAATGTGTTTAGTATTCAGAAGTTCCAGCTCTTCCGATGCGTAAGCAGTGTCGGATGAATGCTCCTTTCACCCAGCCATATCCTAGTCGGAGGCTAAGATAGCCGCGGGCCTCCACCCTACCTAGTGGGTCGCGGGGAAAGTGCGACAAAATTTGAACTAATAATATTTGGCGTGATACTTTCGCACGAAAGGGTACTGCGGCGCGAATAGGAGCGCTTCACGGGCGAAGACGTTGTAAACCGGAAGGCAATACAGCACACATGAACAGATGATGGTGTGATGTGCGTGCCTGGAACGACCCGACATGTCAGCCACGAGTGTGATTCATATCCTGTGTTGTTGAGGAGTCGTCCAGACGTGAGAGCACGGAGCAATTCCGCTGTACATGGCCGACTTTTCCAGCAAGCATTCCTAAGCTCTCGCAGATCTACTATAAGATCTTCTCTTTCAAGCATGTCAATGCTCACCTTGCGTCCACGTGGGATTGATTGATGCCACGTCTCGACTGCAAACTGGGTGGGTACAACTGCTTATCAGTTCGGCATATGTGCCGATCATCGGCATCAGATTCGTGTCCCATTCGTCCTGAAACTCATCGTAGCCGTGAACATGCAAACAGAGTCAAGCGCGGTTCTGATGAAGAGATTTCACAGGGAGATGTTAACAGGGGGAGAAGTCTTGATCATGTTCTCGAAGCCATAGCCATTCTTGATTGAAGCTAACTCGAAGCTCACGTCGCAATTTAGGAGCCGTACATGAACGTCCATGAGTAATGTACAAAAGTCAAATCGTGTCCAGTGCTGACCAGCTGTTTCCGAAAAGATGACGCCTCCAAGAAAAGAAAGATTGAAAGCAGACCGACTGGCAAAAAAAGCCGTACCGATTTCGTTGATGCTCGATTAAACCATGAAAACTGAAGTGAATGGAGGACGTCTCAAAGCGGATGGAGCTCAGAGCATCTCATCATCCATGGCAGTGTCACCGCCGGCGGTGATCTGAGCAACTTCAGCAGTACCAGCGGCAGCATTGGTCTCGCCACCAGGGAAGTAGTCGGCCATCTCAGCATCGAGCTCCTCAACAGTCTTCTTCTTGGGACGGGCCTCGCGACCTCCACGGCCCTTGCCCTTGCCACGAGTTTGACCACGTCCGCGTGTGGCACCGGGAGCTGCCTTCTCGGCGGTGGCGGGCTTTGGCTTGTCCTTCTTTGGTTGGCTGTAACCTGGTTAGTTGCTGATACCAAGACACTAGGATGATAATACGTACGTTACACGGTCGGCAAGCGAAGCCGGGCGGGTAGTGGCAGGGATAGCGGCAGCGCTGACGAGCATCTCGACGCGGACAGGGCGTCCATCGATCTTGACGCCATCAAGAGCGGCTGTGGCCTTGGCGGCTTGGTCGTGCTTGTTGAAGATGATGGTAGCGCTACCCACGCTGCGACCCTGGGCATCGTACTGGAGAAGAACCTTCTTGGGGCGACCTACACCAACAGCTGAAACAAAGTAGTCCTATAAGGCGTATTAGTCGTCGTACCAGGGGTTAAACATTTGCGCAAATGGATCATCATTGACAAGGACGTTTGACAAGGAGGTTCCGGCGTCGGCGGTGGGTATTCGTCGATTCCATATTACACGGTCAAAAGATAACGCTCGGAAAGCGGGTGTCCTGGTCAAAATACAGTGAACACAAGGTTCAGTGAGACGAAGCATACTCAGAGCGAGAGCAGTTGTTGCGAGTAACGTGTTGTAACGCTGCGAACCAGTCTTGTGATATCCGCCCACCCATGTGAAAGCCATACGGCTATTCGTAACTGGATCTGGATTCGCGTCTCGCTGCTCTTTTGATCGCCTGGAGTTGCTGCAGGGCTACCAGGAATATGTCACTGGTGCGATGCCGTCTTTGCTTGCACTTGATAAGTGTAGCATGTGACCAGAATCACCCACTTTCGTCGGTGCGGTACCCTGGAGTGTTCGCATGCTGCTAGTCTTCTACCGGTCTTGTGTGCCCAACACAGATCTCGGCGTGACTTTGGGCAAGCTATGGCTCAACATCCATACCGGTTGTGGAGTGGAAAGGCTCGGTTCGTCGGATCGAAATCGTTCATGCTTGCAAAAGCGAAGCTGCAGTAGGTTCAAAGACCTGCATCGGTCTTACATACCTGGAGTTGGGCATTGTCAATGTCCCGTGGCTGCGATATGTTAGTTGTGTTCGTGCGCGAGTGCTGTGTTTGGCTTACCAAGTTGGATACCATGATCTTGGTCTCACCGCCGAGGGAGGCGGCGGGTGCGGTGGGGGCGGCCTTGGGCTGCCTGCCCTGCTGCTTGGTCGACTTGGAAACACCGCCTACAGGTGCGGCAGTGGTGGCAGGTCGTCCAGTGCCGGTAGACTTGCGACCGCTGCGGCCACGGCGAGAGGTCTTGGAGGCCTTGAGGATGTCGTCGAGGCTCTGCTCCATCTTGTTTGAAGACATGTTGATGAGTGGTTGAGGGATGGTGATACTTGGTTGAGCGGGCGTTGATGAATTTGCGCGCTGGTGTCGAGAGGGCGACGTGAGCAGATAAAGTAGCGACGGCTAAAAGTCTCTTTGATGGAGGAGCGACTGAACCGGTGCAAGGCTGCGAGGACAAAGGGGCGCGTTTGATGACAAGGCGCGTCGCAGAGGTGAGACTCGCAGAATGGGGAGTCAAAGTGGGCTTGCGCGAAAGTAGAGAGTGTAGCGCTGGTGGTGGTAACTGCTGCTGATGAAGGGCAGATGGGTGGAGTATTATATGAAGAGGAGTGTGATGGTAAGATGAGGAAAAGGGAGAGCGCGAGGCAGCAGGACAAGAGAGGATCGCGCCAAGCCCTGACACTGCCACGCATGCTTGGTGAGTGCTGATTGGCAAGGGTGCACGGTCGCACTTGCCCGCAGCTTCCATGGGTGTCGCGAGTGACGATAGCTCCTGCCATTCAGGCAACGGGCGACGATGGAGCGATAGCAAGTATGGCAGTCACTCCGGTGAGTATTGGCTCATTCACCTTCCGCTTCATGCCATGGCGAGACTAATGCGCGAACAGTGGCAGTTCAAGTTCTTTGACGTCTCGCAAGTCAAGCTCCCCGACGACGAGAGCTCCTTCCTGTCTGAGGTATGACGATGCCCTCCACACACACCTATACCTAGCCACCCAGTCTTATAAACATCAACAGATCGGGAATATCACGTGCATTACATCTGGATCTGAAAGCATATTTCTGGGCAGCGCAGATGGCATTGTTCGCATCGTGTCGCAAGCCTTCAAGGTTGTGCGCTCGTTCAAGGCCCATGATGCAGGCGCAATTACGCACATGAAGCAGGTCGAGGGCACTTCTCTTCTCGTCACCATAGCCGAAGATCTCTCTGGAGAGCCGGTGCTGAAAGTATGGGCTCTGGACAAGCTGGAGAAGAAGACAGGCATCCCGCGGTGTCAGAGCACCCTCACCGTCCACAATGGGCGCAAGCAGTTCCCCATATCCGCTTTCGCCGCACTCGACGACCTTTCGCAACTTGCCGTCGGATTCGCAAACGGTGCCGTCACTGTTGTCCGAGGCGACCTCATACATGATCGCGGCGCTCGGCAACGGACGGTATTCGAATCGGAGGAACCCATCACTGGCATAGAATTCAGAGAAGGGAGCATCACAACCTTGTACATCGCGACAACCGGACGGATTATGACACTAGTGATATCTGGAAGGGGTCAAGGACAGCCTGCAAAGTCTCTTGATGAGTATGGCTGTGGTGTGGGTTGCATGGCTGTGGATAAGGCATCGCGCGATGTTGTGGTCGCGCGAAGTGATGCCATATACTACTATGGCCAACACGGTCGCGGGCCGCCGTACACATACGAGGGCGAGAAGAAGATGATCTCCGTATTCAAGGATTACGTTGCGATAGTCGCGCCCCCTAAATCGAATGCGATGCCCCGGTCGAACCCTCTCCGTACCTTTGGCATCGGTGCCGCTGACGATGTTTTCAATACATCGAGCTTCACCCTGCTTAACACAGAGTTGAGGTTTGTCGCACATCAGGAGCAACTGACTTCGCAAGTGAAGGCTGTTATCTCCGAATGGGGTGACCTGTTCGTCTTCACACTTGACGGTAAAATCTTCAGATACCATGAGAAGCCCTTTGCCCAAAAACTGGACATACTGTACCAGCGTAATCTATATGTCTTGGCCATCAATCTGGCTCAGAAGGCCGGACTAGATTCGTCACAACAAAACATCATCCTCCGGAAGTTTGGCGACTACCTGTATTCCAAACAAGATTATGATACTGCTATGCAGCAATACCTGAAGGCTATCGACAACACCGAACCATCTCAGGTCATCCGGAAGGTATGTTATGGTTGATCCGCAACAAGATTCATGTTAATGTCTCGTCCAGTTTCTTGATACGCAACGGATTCACAACTTGATAGAGTATCTTGAGGAACTCCACGATCATCATAAAGCAACATCAGACCACACAACTCTCCTACTGAACTGTTACGCCAAGCTAAAGGATGTAGAGAAGCTGGAAGAGTTCATCAAGTCACCAGACGATCTGAAGTTTGACCTTGATACCGCTATCTTGATGTGTCGCCAGGGGGGCTACTACGACCAAGCGGCATTCCTTGCTCGAAAACACGGTGAACACGAGCTGGTCGTGGATGTACTCATTGAAGATTCAAAACGGTACGCGGAAGCCCTAGCCTACGTATGGCGATTGGAGCCGGAGGTAGCCTACTTCAACCTCATGAAATACGCGACGATACTGTTGCAGCACATCCCCAAGGACACAACGCAGCTTTTCATCGACTATTACACCGGAAACTTCCGACCCAAGAAGGATGCTATAGTCATACCGAACGCGCCTGCATCCGGAGGAGGCGGTGGTATGAGTATGGGCCTAGGAGTTGCATCGAGCGCTGTGCAAAACCTCGCTGCACTACTTCCTCTGCCATACATGAACACCAACGCGTTGGCATCGCCTCCCAGTGGTGAACAGAAGAGCACCATGAGCCAAGCTCAGATCATCGAAACGACTACCGATGAGCCCGCGCCAGAATACAAGGTACCGAAACCGCGAACTGCATTCTCCGCATTTGTCGATCATCCGCAGGAGTTTATAGTCTTCCTCGAGGCGTGTATCGCATCCAATGACCTACGTGAAGACGACAAAGTCGATCTTTACACAACGTTGTTTGAGATGTACCTCCACACTGCATCGTCGAAGAAGGATGGTGAGCGACAAGAGTGGGAGAACAAAGCCAAGAAGCTCGTCGAAGGCAAGGACATACCAATAGATACATCCAACGTCCTGCTATTATCTCATCTTTCCAACTTCCGCGATGGCGCCATCCTCGTCCGCGAACAACAAGGACTACACTTTGACATATTCCGATCCTACACTGCCGCAAACGACACCCAAGGTGCTATCCGCGCTCTCCGCAAATACGGCCCAGAGGAACCAGCACTTTACCCTGCAGCTCTCGCCTACTTCACTTCCACCCCTGAGATCCTTGCGGAAGCTGGCGACGAACTCGATGCAGTCCTCAAGAAGATCGACGAAGACGGTCTCATGGCTCCCCTCCAGGTAATCCAGACCCTCTCCACCAACGGCGTCGCAACAATGGGCATGATAAAAGCCTACCTCAGCACCACCATCGAGCGCGAGCGCGCAGAAATCGCCGCCAACCGCCGTAATATCGAAACCTTCCGCTCCGACACCACTGCCAAAAAGCACGAGCTCGAGAACCTGAACACCAAGCCTGCCGTGTTCCAAAACTCGCGCTGTCAGGTCTGCATGAAGAGTCTGGAGTTACCTGTTGTGCACTTTTTGTGTAAGCATAGCTATCATCAGAGTTGTCTGAGTACCGATGAGGATGTGCATGATGCGGAGGTCGAGTGTCCAATCTGTAGCTCGAACAACGCGACGGTCAAGGCCATTCGTAGGGCGCAGGTTGAGAGCGCGGAGAGGCACGATCTTTTCCAGGATGCGCTCAAGAGAGGCAAGGACGGTTTTGCGGTCATTAGTGAGTGGTTTGGTAGAGGTGTTATGGGTGTGGGTGGTTCGGACTAGGCGACTTGCAACTATAGCGAACGACGATTATATATGAGACGGATGGAAGATATGGTAATTCACTTGATGAAATCGTAAAGATCATGCTTTGTTTCCTCATAAGATCCTTCTATCCACTGGCGCCTTGGGCATTCCTGGAGACACCTCACGAGTTATCAATTCCCTTGCAACTCTCCAGCAGTACTCGAATGGCTTATACAAGCAACAGCAAAGTAACGTTCGATATTGGGAGGTACGGGAGTTGCATGATATAGTGGATTCGAGGCCCTATCATCCTCTACGGTGAACGGGCTCTAGCATTCGGCTTTAGGAGTGACAGCTTGTTAGCTGTTCTCCAAAGGTAACAAATATTCTACTCGGATAGTACATAGGTCTTCACACTACTCTAACCCTAAGAATGACCAGCTCTCTGGCTGTAAATTGAATGGCCAGTCCTCGAGTAGCTCAGATGGGAGCTGGAACTCGCCCATCCAACCGTGTAGGAACTCGCCTTCAGCCACCCTACCTCCTTCTTCCACTTCCGTTGATTGCGCGCCACCTTCGTGGCTACCAGCTCGACCTGTATCTATGCCCGCATTTCTGTCTAAATCTGGTTGCTGCTGCTGAACTAGGGAGTCCAAAGACGAACCATGATTTGATTGCAGCGGCATGTAAGATCTCGCCACTGGCCAGCATTGAGCACGCATATATTCGTCTATACGCTCTACCTGTGCGCGCAGGCCCTTACTAATGTCCGTCGCACGAGACAATCCGCTTTCGAGGCTCTCGAGCAAATCTGCAATAGACAGCAACATGCTCCTGACCCTGTGATATGCAGCCTCAGAGAGCGGGGCTTCCATGACAGAGCCGAGGATTGTGCCTATCCCTGCGAGGTGATAGATGAGAGGAGTGCTAATGCCGCGAAGGTAAGCGGTGGGAATAGTCTGGAAAACAGCAAGGAGCTCCGCCGCAACGTTGCATTTGAGCTGCACGTCCGGGGGTTGCCGACGGTCATCGTCAATGCTGAGAAAGAGCATACGCAACAACAACAATGTCGCCTGGATGTTCGCAGCCTGGAAGCCAAAGATGTCGCGAAGAGGATTTCCTGTAGGTGGTGCAAATATCTTGAAATTGGACGGCAGGTCGTGGTAACGCTCGGTTATAGACGCTAGCACGGCGGTGGAGGAATGGGAGGACAGCAACGTAGGTAAACCGAAAATGGTGGCGACGTCAATGCGATTGTCGATGAGGGCGGCGGGTTTGCGTAGCTGACTGTAGGCATGCTCCAGCGTGAGATAAAGGTCGGTCGTAAAATTCCAGCCGCGCAGCCACGAGATGGTGGGTTTTGGGGATGGCAATGTGGCGAGGGGTGTAATGAGTTCGTCTTCGACTTCGGTCGGGTAGTGAACTCGAGCGTTAGCCCCGTAAGCGTGGACGCTGCCGTTCCATACGATGGAGATGAAAACGTCAAGGGTGTAGGTTGACCAATACTACGATGGAGGTCAGCGGATATAACTGCTTGGGTTAGCGATGGGATATACCAGGCGTCGCCTTTCCTCGACTCCAATGTTCGTTATGTTCTTCGGCCAATACGCCTCATCATGGAACTTATGAATTCCAACCAGGGTGAAATAATGTCCTAAGTATAGCTGCATGGCTTCAATATCCCCATATTGAATACTGGTAATTGACAACAGCGCGCAGGCCCGCATATAATCAAGCTCCCGAGCTGCTGTAAGGTCTTTAGGCAAATGATCTTTCACTGCTTTGAAGAATGTCTCAGACGAAACAGTTTCCATGTATGAAGCGTTCTTGTTCGACTCGAACAACGCACCATCTCTCCCTCGAGCTGACGCCAAAGCACACACTGCCATAAGTGAGGTGAAAAAGCCATGGTCCTTCAGGTAGTCTTGGTCGCGTACCTTCTTTAGCAACGTAGGTTGATGGAAGAGCGGAAATCTCGAAGTTCGACTTAGCACAATTTGCACAACAAGAGGTCAAATGAAGAAGTTGAAACCGACTAGGAGGTGATCTCCTGTCGTTCCGGTAGCAAGAAAGTGTAATGCCCTTACTGAGAAATGGACAGCGGATGCTACTCACATTGGATAAACGACCCGGAAGTACACATCAACCAGATACTCAATCGTTCCTGCGCTCGCAGCAGCGAACGCTCTCCACGCCGTCTCTGGCCACTCCACGGATAAGTCTTCGCCTCTACCAACCAGGTTCTGCCCCCTGAATGTCGCGAACCCACTATTTGTCTTCCTTGATGATGAGATCGCGTTGCTCCTGGACGCACCTACTATAGTCGCTGCACCGGCTGGCTGCACGACAGGTTGTGGCAATGCTAAACTCAGTTGCTGAGGCTCGTCATGATTCTGATCTTGGTGTTGCTGTTGATCCCGAGATTCGATATCAACAGCTAGAGATGATCCAGGTTCACTGGAGAGGAGGTGGCCAGCTGCGCGTCCGCGCCTCAGCGGGCGGTTGTAGGTGCAGGCCACGTCGAAGTCATAGCAGTTCTGGCAGCTTTGGGAGCCGGTTGCACTGGGGCGACATCTGATGCTACGCTTGTGGCAGAAATCACCTTGAGAGTTCGATCGTTAGCCAAGGTACGAGAGCATATAGAGGAGTGCGTGGGGAGCGCATGCATCGCGACAGGGTGCTATGTGGGTTCCAGGTGAGGAAGGGATCAAAACCGAGGCGCAGACGAAAGAGTTGATGCAACATCTTGCATGAACGATTGGAGAGCATGGCGACTCCGGTGCTTGCGAGATGCTTATATCGATGATTCGGGAGCAGAGAGTAAGATGGGTACAACTTAGGATGATTATTCCCTCATCAACCGTCACACGCGTCGACGTTAGAGAACAACCACATTACGCGCAGACAACGAAATTAAAAGGAATATGTGTACATGCGCGGTGGAAGAGTTCAACACGTACAGGCTCTACTTGCTCGTAGGAGTTTTTTCGGACGATGCTCGTCCACCGACATGGATATCAAACCTTCCTTGAAGGGGCTTATCGTACTTCAGCTCATACACTGATGACGAACGACTGGTCGAGTAAATGGGTAAGACAGTGATTGATCAGGTAATGGAAGAACGTGGTTGTTGGAGTTTTGGACGGGAATAAGGGGTAGTGGGCTAGCATGCCGAGGTCTACCTGTTCACTCGGTGATGCCTGCTAGCGTCAAGAGCCCGTGGTATGCCAAGCACGATTCGTCCATTGTTAATCACTTACCACTCATCAAAAATGCCAAGGCATGAAAAGTGGCCCCATTACCATGTAGTTTGACACTTTCTATACTGGCGGTTGAGCCTTTGATGCTTAGGTAGCTAGCTATCTTTGTGTACGGAGTCCGTGCAGGTCGAAAACTTTCCTTGGTGACGGTTATTTGACGTGATGATTGAATCATCGTCCATCCGGAGACAAAGCCCTCTCTAATCACATGCGAGCACAGATGTTAGCTCTCCACGGAACTTGACCGCTCATCAAGAAGTTGTCTCGATATAAGCTTTGTCCATTTCTGATTGGTGCTTAGATATAGATTGTACGCAATAGGATGTGAGGGAGCAAAAAGCAAAGAAGTGAGTGGTGGGATAGGTATAAGAAGAAATGTTGTATAGAGAAACGCTCGAAAAATAGCATCTACCATACGTTCGATTGGGTTCACTAACGACAAACAGACGCAGCTCCTTCCCACAAACAACCCCTACCAATACCAAAGTACGACGCCCAGTTAATCTAAAACATATATCTCTATGCGCCAGAGTTCGTTTATGTTATTGTGAACGCAATGCATGCAGCTCACTAATCTGCAATACATATCTGAAGGGGCCGCTCAAACAGATTCAAGCTCGAGAGCCTTGTCTTTATCAAAATAATCCGAATGCTCGACATCAGGAACGCCCTTCTTTTTCAGCAACTCGCCCTGGTTGCGGTAGGCCTGTTCCATGTGCCAGTTGAAAGGGCTCTTCGTCGAGAAGAGGGCGCCAATAGATTCGAGGGAGCGACCCGCGGTTTCCGGGTAGAAGAGGTATACGACGGGGATCCAGAGTAAGTTAAGACCAGCAAAAAGGAAGTACGTGCGGTTTTCTAGCTTTGCGAACATGACCGGGTTGACTAGGACGGTCATACCAACGCCGATAGCCCAGCCTGTGATACCGAACCCGTTTCCTTGTGCGCGCATATCGGAGCTCCAGATCTCAGTGGGGATCAAGAAAGCGACGGTGCCCCAGGTCGACGCGTAGATTAGATTGAAAAGGAACAGCATGGCGACGGCCGCAGGCGCAAATGACCCTGCATTTTGAGGCTGGGACCGAGACGCTTCGTATAGCGAGGCAGCGATCAAGTTGACAGCAAAAAGCCCAAACGAGCCCAGCATCAGACACTTGCGGCGTCCGAGACGGTCCACAATATTAGCAGAGATGATTGTTCCAATAATGCCAACAGTGTTGAGACCACCGGCCAAGCCATTCTGGGTAAGTGTGGAGTAGCCCGCAGCCCGTAGCAGTGTGGGAGAGTATGCGGTGACAGCAGTGATACCACTCCAAGAAGCCATAATCTGCAGTAACAAACAGAGCCAGGCGCGGCGGCCCAAGTGAGCGCCAGGCTTGCCACTCCGACCGATGAGAATTTTAGCGAACTCCACAGGGGAGCTAGGCTTACTCTCTTTGGCCACAGCAACAATTTCGAGGAATTCCTGCTCAACATCAGGTGTATAGCCGCCGCGGACATGGGTAAGAACCTCACGCGCATCGTCATAACGACCAACGGATGCAAGGTAACGGGGAGAGTCTGGAAGCGCCTTTATTCCAAGAAGGAGAAGTAGGGCTGGGATGCACTGGAATGCCAGAAGGAATCGCCAGCGTATATCAGAGTAGCCATTGTTTATGAAAGCAAGGCCGAATGAGAGCCAGTAGGCAACCGAGATGCCCAAGTAGTTGGCGATGAAAACGTATCCAAGAAAACCACCGCGGTGGGAAGCCGAAGAGGTCTCGGAAACAAGCACAGGGGTGATACCGGTGAGTGCACCAGTTCCAAGGCCAGTGACTATGCGAGCAACGAGGATGAAATCGGAGGATTGTGTAGCAGCCTGAAGAGCACCACCGACTAGAGCAAAGACAGCACCAATCCAAAGACTAAGAGTGTTAATAACCAGTTAATGCAAGAAACTGTTCAAGGCCGACTTACCCATTAATGCGACCAATGCGATCGGCTAACCATCCGCCTACAAAACTGCCCACTATACAGCCAAGGTAGTAGATAGAGACGATACCACCTTCGTGTAAGGTATCGGTGATCTTGCCATCCGAGTTACCGATGCCCACTTCCTCGACGTAGCGTGGCGAACTGTTGACACCGCCCATCACACCTTGGTCATAGCCTTCAAAGAAAATGGAGATCAGGGAGAAAGCCTGAATAGCGATGTTGAGCTGTGAAGCTGAGAGCTTCCTCCAATAAGTTGTGTAGCCCATGGTGAAGGTTGGCGACTGCTAACGCATCCGAGTGACGACTTTGGGGCTCTGGTGCTCGCTCCAGATATTGATCAATCGATAGGAAGGGTGGAAAGAAGACGTTGTGATATAGTCGTCTGTCAGGCTGGGTTTGGAAAGCTATATATACCTCACGTAGAGCCAAGGTCTTACAACGGATATACTGGGAATGCCCAGTAAAGACGGGACCCCAGACCGAAAATCTTGTAGACTCTCGAATGCAAACAAGCTTAACCCACACATACAACTAGTTCGCACATATTCCGGGGATAACTCTCCAGTATGCATCTCCACAAAACGCCTCCATGGGCGGTCTACGGAGAAAGCCGGTAAGGGTCAATGCGCAACTTAGCTGGGGTGTCGGTTGCTGTGCGGAGAGAAGGCAATGCTGAACGGGAGACAGAGAGACACAGCCAGATGATGCCGATGTGACAAATCCAGATTGAGTCGGCGAAGTCTAAAGCGGTTTGCCGTTTTGCCGCGTTGCAGCTTAAAGGACCGCTTAGCCGCTTAGCAACCCGTGTAGGCGCGTAACCGATAGGTCGATTCGGCAACTAGAACGCCCTCCATTACCATTCTCGATATTTCCTCCCTAGCATGCAGAAAAGCCACTTCTTAGGGAATTAGCTAAGCCTACTATCCGGTTGTTGCCGTCCAAATAGCCAAGATCTCAGCCTCAGGGTAGCGCAAAGAGTGCCATTTCGTTCGATGTTTCGGATGTTCGTAGTCGCTCGTTTCGTAGTGGCGAACGATCCGCGTACTTGGATATGTATTGTTTGTTCCACCTTAATAATAGCGTGAGTGCCAGCCATTTGTAAGAGTGTTTAAATACAGAACCCAGATGACTTTCTCTCATCAACTTTCCTTTTGATTTAGGCCACTTCACTTCACTTACTACAAATCTTATTTTTAAGCTTCTCGCAGTCAATATCAGCATTTCCTAATCACAGCCTGCACCACAATGGCCCTTCAAGACAGCAGACCCCTTGACCTCACGGTCCTGGGCTTGAACTCTGGTACTTCAATGGTAAGTCTCTATGAGCATTAAGGAACTTCACCTTTACCGAATATTGCACATCAAGTTCTTCTATTTAATCCAATTACAACGCATGGGTTTGGCATATCTTGCCCTGAATCTTGTTTTAGAACCAACACATTAACCGTTAAGGTTTCATCAAAGTTCGCATGATTAGGGATGCAACTCCAACATCATAACACCTCGTCTTACAATATTTCCTTATGGTCAAAACAAGAGACTCTCGATCTGGATAATTATTGACTTTATCAGGATGGCATTGACTGCGCTCTGTGTCGCTTTCGTCAAGAGACACCCGAGTCTCCTATGCATTTCGAGCTTCTCAAATATGACGAAGTACCGCTTCCACAGCCTATCAAAAAGCGCGTTATGGACATCATCCTCCACGACCGAACGTCCGCATCCGGACTATCTGAGGTGAACGTCATTCTCGGGGAAACATTTGCCGACGCCGTAGAAGAATTCTGCAAGAAGCACAATGTGGACAAATCATCCATCGATGCTATCGGATCCCATGGTCAAACCATCTGGTTGTTATCTATGCCCAAGCCTGACCAGGTCAAGTCTGCGCTCACTATGGCTGAGGGCTGCTTCATCGCTTCTCGCACCGGAATCACTACCGTGACCGATTTCCGCGTCTCCGACCAGGCGGCTGGTCGTCAGGGCGCCCCCCTGATTGCTTTCTTCGACTCACTTCTACTCCATCACCCTACGAAGCTCCGCGCCTGCCAGAATATCGGTGGTATCGCTAATGTTTGCTTCATTCCTCCGGACAATAGGGGCGGCGTGTCGGAAACATATGACTTCGACACAGGCCCAGGCAATGTCTTTATTGACGCCGTTGTGCGCCATTACACTGGCGGTGAGCGTGAATACGACAAGGATGGTGAGATGGGTAGCCGGGGTACTGTTAACCAGGCCCTTGTCGACGAATTCCTGCAGCACGAGTACTTCAGCCTAGACCCGCCCAAGACGACGGGCCGTGAGGTTTTTCGCGACACGCTCGCCTTCGAGTTGATCGATAAGGCCGAGAAACTGGACATGACTCCCGACGATGTCGTCGCCACGGTCACCCGCATCACAGCACAATCCATTGTAGACCATTACCGGCGCTACGCTCCAGCTGACATGGAGATCGAGGAGTTATTCATGTGCGGCGGCGGTGCCTACAATCCCAACATCACCCGCTTCATTCAACAAGCGTATCCTAATACCAAAATCATGATGCTGGACGCGGCCGGTGTATCTGCAGGCGCAAAGGAGAGCATCACCTTTGCTTGGCAAGCTATGGAGGCTGTTATAGGCCGCTCAATTCCGGTCCCTACCCTTGTTGAGACTCGTCGCGAATACGTCCTAGGCAAGGTGTCGCCAGGTGCCAACTACCGTAATGTGATGCAGCAGGGCATGGCATTTGGCGCCGGTCATGACCGATTATCACCCGTCAGGGAGATGGTGAATTATGTGGACGGCAAGATATTCGACAATAAGTGGTGAGTGTTGCGAGCTCACAGCATGATGGGGCATCGAGAAGATAGTTGGAAGTGTTGGTGAATTTGGTACATGACACAATGTCAAATGCCGAATTGAGAAGGCACTCGAAAGGCATCATACTGGTTGGTACTTTCCTCATCGCATGTAAGGAAACACAGATGAGGCGGCATTTCGCAAGAATTTTATGGTCAAGTGCGGATGGAAACGAAGTGATTGAAGGATGCGCAGTGAGAAGATGGAAGGAGGTGGAGAAATCGAGATGAAGATGCAGCGGCTCGATGCCCCGAGCCGCCTCCGACGTGCTTGGCATTGCGGCGCGGGTGCGGGTCGAAGTTATCGCCTCCACAGACTACCTGTACTGGCCATCACCAACCTTCGGATTTTCATCGCATTCATAAAATGCGTAAACTAAGCTTTCTTCTCAAATCACCTCCTCAGCATGTGCGATATTAGGCTTCTTGACTGCGTCTGGAAAAATATGAGCAGCCCATGTAGTTGAGGCGTTGTACCCATTGCCATGGCACTCGCATGTACATCAAGCTAACCGCAGCGGAGCAGCGATACCCACTGATATTTAAATCCAATCCTACGCAAGGGTTCACGAAGGATCGCCCACATTACTCAACAGGTTTGTTTAACGCCGGGAGATCTATCTGCATCTCGTTAAATTGAGGTACCGACGTCGCATCCAGCCATCTGTTCAATCCCGCGCCACAGATCCTACGAGGGTTCATCTAAGCATCTAGATTGCCGTGCAGTATGGCAAAGTAGATCCTTCATGCTCGGCCTTGAGTCGGCATTGCATGTTCCTCGCTTCGCGCACACGCTGTTCTGCAGGGGAGGTAGAAGCCAAGAGCACCAGTGTGCAGCAAGCGGCAGGTATATATGGAGAGCGGCATTGTCAATGAATTTTCGGACGCACCAGAGCAGTCCCATTCCTAGGTCTCTCATTGACTGATCCTCCTTCCACCCAAAGAAGTAACGCTGCGCTATCGACACCAGTATTTTTGCTGCTATGCGCTTTTTCGATCTTGCGACTTTGGCGCTTGTCGGCGGTGCCGGTGCTTTCAAAGTTACGGAGCACGATAAATTGGCTGCTCTTGGCCTAGCAAACGTCGGAGTTGATGTCGCAAAGAATGGCTATCCGAACCCTGGCCAGTGCACTTTGAAGAACGTGAAAGTTCGATGCGAGTGGTATGTACTCAAATCTCCGTTATGAAGCACATCCAATTGACTCGTATCTTTCAGGTCGACGCTCACGAAGCCCGAGAGGCGTAACTACATCGATGCCATCAAGTGTCTTCACTCCAAGCCTGGTCTCACGCCAGCTGGGGTCGCACCTGGTGCAAGGAGCCGCTTCGACGACTTTGTCGTGACTCACGTCCAACAGACTTACTCTGTCCACGGAACTGTATGTCTAAATATGCAATGTCTCTTTGAATCAAACTACTCAGGTTGCTCGATTGATCTGTGGCAGTCGTAGGGGTGACATGGTGTGCTGACACTATCAGGCCAACTTCCTAGCTTGGCACCGATACTACATCTGGGCCTATGAGCAGCTACTGCGTGACGAGTGTGGCTACAAAGGATACTTGCCATACTACAACTGGGCATGGTGGCATGAAGACCCCGCTTCATCTCCCCTCTTCGACGGCAGTGATACCAGTATCGGTGATGCTGGTGCCTACCTTCCGAAGCGGCGGGATGCCCAATCAAGCTTGAGCCTGGAAGTGGCCGTGGCTGTATCTCGGGTCCTTTGGCAAACTGGACTTCAAGTATTGGGCCTATTCAAACCAAGGTCAAAGGAATCAAGCCGAACCCGCAAGCTGACGGTTTGGGTTACAACCCGAGATGCTTAAGTCGGGACGTCAACAAGCACGCTGCTTACAGGTCGAGGGACGAGGTTATTACCGAACTCATCAAGAACAGCAAGGACATCCTTAGCTTCCAGAACCGCATGCAAGGCGATTTCCCGACCGGTTACCTTGGCGTCCACAGCGCTGGTCACTATACTGTGGGAGGAGATCAAGGCTCCGACTTTTTCAACTCACCATCCGACCCCGTAAGTTTTTTTATCACAATTCATAGTCAACTAGAATGAGTTTTAACTCCAACAGGCTTTCTACTTCCACCATGCTCAGATCGACCGCACATGGTGGATCTGGCAGAACCACGATCTCAAGAACAGGAGGAATGCGATCGATGGCACCATCACTTTCCTGAACTCGCCGCCGAGTCGTAACGGCACACTCAATGACACGCTGACCTTGGGTCCGATGTTGGATACATTTAAAAACATCACGAACAAGGATGCGATGAGCACGCTTGGAGGGCCATTCTGCTACATTTATTTGTGAATAGATTTTCAGGCCACCCATAGAGAATTAGATGGTTTAACACAGGTATCATTTTTGAAATGACTTGCGGGCGTATGCTCTTGGTGTTGATTAGGCCACTCGCGCACTTGAGCGGCACAGTCAAGGTACCAGTAAGCCCGTTAACTCCGCATCGCGTCGCCGCCTCAGTGGCTTTAACATTAAGCCAAAGTCCGCAATATCCATCATGGTATGGTCTAAAGCTGAGCAATGTGCTATGTAACTAGCCAGCAGCTACACTATCTCACTTCGCTAGGTCCTCAGCTTGAAGTTCAGTATCCTGAAGCTATACGCGCCAATTACTTGTTACTCCACCCGAACTATCGTCACGAAGCTTGAGGATCAAGGGGCACGAGCATCGGGTCCTGCAATCGAACACAGGTGACTTACAATATCAATTTCTGTCCAACATGGCGATATCATACGCCAGAGATCAGCCGCAAGGATTCACCAATCGTATTGAGAAGGTGGCTATTGTAGGGGTACGTCCTCCTACATAACTGCCGTGTTTCTCTTATTGACGTGTCAGGCTGGGGGACAATTTGGAAAGTACTTGACGGAAGCGTTGTTGAAGACGGGCAAACACACAGTGACAGCTATCACGCGCGCCAACAGTACCAACAGTTTACCGGAAGGCGTGCGTATTGAGCGTGTGGATTACAGCGGAGATGACTTGGATGCCCTTGTTGACGCCCTCCGCGGCCAGCAAGTACTGATTGTCACCATGGCAGTTACAGCACCACGGGACACTGTAAGCAAGCTTGTGCGTGCTGCGGCCAAGGCTGATGTTACTTACGTTATGCCTAACTGGTTTGGTCACGACGCAGCCAACAGGAAGCTCTGCGACGACTCTATGCTCTCACCTTCTGGTGAGGCTATCCACGCTGAGATCGAGAATCTCGGTGTGAGCGCAAACATCCGACTCGTCTGCAACTTCTGGTACGAATTCAGTCTTGGCGGCGGTCCAGATCGTTTTGGCTTTGACTTCACGAAGCGATCTTTTATCATGTTCGACGAGGGCAATGTTCCTTTCAACGTCAGCACCTGGGCTCAGTGTGCTCGGGCAGTTGCGAATCTATTCAGCCTCAAACAACTTCCTGAAGACGAATCGGACAAGTCGCCTACTTTATCACGGTTTAGTAGTCGCCCTGTCTACATCTCGAGTTTTCGATTGAGCCAGATGGAGATGTTTGAGACTGTCAAGCGCGTGACCAGAACGTCGGACGATGACTGGGCCATTACGCATGAATCTTCCGAGGAACGTTGGAAAGATGGTTTTGCGGCAGTCATGGAAGGGGATTTCGGGCAATTCACCAAGATGCTGTACAGTCGGATGTATTTTCCCAATGGAAGGGGGCGATTATGAACCTTTAGACAACAAGTCATTGTCTCTTCCTGCTGAAGACTTGGACCAGTATACCGCTATCGGCGTGCGCATGGGAGAGAATGGCGAAGTAGCCGAACCTCATTAGGATGGGACGTACATGTAATTTGCCTCATCATCAACACCATAGGCGAATAATTTGCTGTGTACTGCAAGGTTGCTCAGTCAGACTATCTGTAAAAAGACACGAAACTGGTATGAAGCAACCACTTGTTACATCAAAAGTCTTCGTGTGATGTGATTCATCCAACTGGCGCCACTAGCTATCCGTGAAGAGTGTCAACAAGGTCTTCTCTAATGGACGTTACGCGTGCAGCGTGATCTGTGAGATCGGCAACGTTCATCTCTCTGACACAATCGTACAGATCCATTGCATGGCCTTTATGGGTAAGCAGTGCTTTGAGCCGTGGTCCTGGCTCATCGAATGTCATATCGCATATATCCTGAAGTCCCCTCACAAACGCGCGAACCAGCTGCGTAAAGCCATTACCTTCCCATAAGCCACTATGCTCTAGTCCGTCAACGATCAATAGAACTTGTCTGTCACAGTTTCTAACAAAACTTCGAAGAAGAGAGTGGAAGCAATCAACTAGCTGCTGCATCTCTGTGGGTTCGATAGTATTGTTTTCCATCTCCATCATGTTCATCGGCAAGGTCGGTCCATCAAGTGGTTGATTCCCTCGTATAGACACCAAACTCTGAATGAGAGCCCGTAGCATATCCAAGAATCGCTTAGCCGTTGAGTCTTCAGAGTCCGATTCGAAGATGAATATGAGTTTGTGGCAATCTACCAAGTAGTAGAGCAGTACACCCGCGGATGTGGCCGTTGTATCGTCTGGTTCATCCGAGGTTTCAAGAAGCAGAACATCTCCGTGCGCATCGTTCCACCATAAAGCGATAGACTCTGCAATACGTGTGTCTCCATGAGCGTGGACAGAGTACTCGATGCGCTTTACAACCATGTCTGTTTGTTTGCTCGAGGATATCGTTCTTGAAGCATAAACGGCCAGTGTTCTATCATCCAAGGATTGTTCCTTCTCCAAAGTAGGCGACGCACTAGCTACACTTGATGCTCTGCTACGGTATGGGGCGTGCTGTTGGATCTGTCTTTCTACGCTCGAGAGTACAGAGCCTACTGGTTGAGTATCTTTTAAGACTGTACAATTAGAGGCGAGGAATCTCTCAGACGCGCTCGTCAGATATTTGAGAAGTTTGTGTGACTCCATTGTTTCTTTTACGAGCTGATTGTAGAGATCGCGATCGCCCATTAGCCATTGGGCCTTGTTCTTGCTTCTTCTCGTAGCATCCACAAACTTGTCCACCATTCTAGAGAGACGATTATAGGGCCGATCTACATTCTCCTTTCCTTCAAGGGTCGAGTTGGTCTGTTGGCTCTTCGTGGTATGCGCTAGTCTGCCCACCATTCTTGAAAAGCGACTCTTGGGCTGATCTGCTTCTTCATCTGATTCTTCATCTGATTCGTCGGTAAAGTCGTGGTACTGTTTCCTCAGACGTTCCATTGCCTTTTCGCGCGAGCCATGTAATATGAAAATGATTCGAATAATTGTCTCTTTTCTGGCTGGTTCTAAAGTCTGGAATCGGTCGGTATCGGGTCCCCAGAAAGCACCCCAGTCTCCGAGCATTAGCTCCGAGGTTTGGAGCTGGATAGCCAGGAAATCTTTTTCCCGGATGTGATCTTCGGTGATATCGTTGATCAGTTTACCGAAATCTATGATACCCTTCCACGCCAGAGCCACGCCGAGGATGGCAAGAGGTAGTTCAGCCATAACAAGATAGCCTTGATCTGAGACTTTTGCGATGTGTCGTGCAGTGGAGTTGATCAAGCGTCATTGAAATAAGCCCTGCAGCTTGTATTAGAGCTAATATTACTAGCTCAAGCATACAACGAGAGGCTGACCGACCGGTGAGGCGAAGTATGCCACTTCGCATGCAAGTGCTTCGCTACTACCTATAATATCCCAAAGGTGCGGAAAGCCACCAACTCACACATGCAGTCTGGAACAGCTGATTGCCGGTCTTACGTTGAGATAGGTCCACTCATGGGTTGAAGACGATGCCGAGGTAACCAAAAGCGTTGTATTCGAACGATACCAGACACGTAGACAGACAACTGTGGAAACATCTGTGTTAACCATCCATGGATGCCAATCATGATCGACACCACTATGTTAACTCATCAGAAACACAGCCCCCGAAGGCTGAGTATCAACGATTCCGTGTGCCAACAGTGCTCTTTCCTGTGAGCCAGAAGGCTGCCGAACCTCGGGTTACGTGAAAGCTTTGTAGCTTGAGACAATTTGGTGGCCAATGAACGTCTATCGCGCTCCATCCCGCGCAAGGAGAACAAATCGAGCAGCCGCAGATTCGGTGATCATACCCAGGTAACCCTCAGATGCTCAGCTTACCCGTACCCCGCTTCAAAATATTCAGCCTTGTGGATTATGCCTTGGCATTCCTTTTATAGATGACATACGCATGAAGCAGACCGATCAGATAGAGTCATGCACATCTCATTCGATGCACTATTAACATTCGGGCTTGGCGGAGATAAATCGAATGCATTCACCACAGCCATCGTTCGTCATGCACACACACCACTAGTCCTACAGCCTTTAGATATCAAGACCTCGTTTCCAGTCTAAGACAGTTGAGTTTAATTTTTCGTGATGCAATATCTACCTGCCAACACTTTTTCATCTTCTATTGTAGTTTTTCGTTGAAATAAATCTAGTGGTGTCTTCAAGCGCCTTGCTTGCCTTATACACGTATTCGTTACCTCTTCTACTGACCATACCATATGTTTAGAATATGGTCGTAGACTAAGAAGCGTTCTCTTCGCTCAGTGAGTTTGGCCCGCTTCTTAAATGTTTACTTCTGTACGTTAATGGTGGTTATCAGAGTCTTTCACGTACGGCTACGAACTGCGTTGTATCACTTCACAGGGGAAACAATGCCTATCAACATACCGCAGAAGTGGAAATTATCAAGGACTTCAACGAAAGGGCAGGGTGACGACGATGGCATTGGTTCATCTTCGATTGCTAAGTTGAATGACACATCTACGAAAACTGAGCAAATCAATGGCGAGACGAAAGCCGAAGGCGAAGAAAATCATGCACCCGCAAAGCTAGAAGATTTGGAAACTTCAAAAAGCGATGCCCCTGGGATTGAACCCTCGCCAGAACGTCCAGATATCCTGTACTGTTTGACTTTGAAGGAGGATAACAAAGTGGACCGCAGCTTCTACAAAAACACACCTTGGACAGGTGTCAATACTGGCTTGCCAGGCTCAGATCCCGAGGACGAAGAAGAATCGCGGGCGGTGCTCACTTACTACGTGGATGCTGTAGTCCAGGACAAAACAGGAAAAGAGCCAAACACGTCAAAGACCTGGAGAGAGCAACCCGCGGACTTTGAATTTGGTCGAGACGCAGTACTCAAGAACAGATACTGGCCCAATCTGAAGCTTTACTCCAAAAAGCTCATCAAACTGTGTGAGTTAGTCTTGGACTACTATCCGCTCCGGGGAGATGGGAAAACATTTCAACCACCCATCAGAGATACTTTTGTTGAGTTCATGTATTGTTATCAAGAGTTGAAACAATACTTGAATACTTACCGCCAGTCTTTGCCGGAAGATGAGCAAAGCGATCGAAAACTGGAGCTAGGAAGCTGCGGAGACGAAGAGTTATCTGAAGTACTACGTCCATATCTGGATTTTGGCGAGCTCAAGCCCGAAGAAAACCCATGCGACGCTACGACTGCTCACGACATTGCTGTTCTTCTACGGCTTCTTGCTGGAATGTATCGGGTCAAGGCAGTACCGATACTGACATCCGTATATCTTGACCCGAAACAGTTAATAGAGTACAGTGGCTTGTGGCTACTTTTCAAGCCAGGTACTGTCGTATATGTCAAACGAGCGGCGTTTTGGGTACCTGTTGATGTGATCGAACAGTACGGCAGAGAAAGAAATGCAACAAGCTGGGGTTCGAAGCGTGGTGAGGGTGACGATGAGTACTCAGCATGCGTCATTGCCTCTTGGAGGTATGCTGAAAAAGACAAAGACAGTCATGCAGCACGAGATAACAGCGATCACCTTGAAGTCGTGTTATGGAGTATCCACTATACTGGTACTGCTTTCCAGCGCATTGCACATGAGGCCAATATCGTCAAATTCGATCATCCAAGGCCGCTCAGAGATCTGACCATTGTTCCTGCCCGGCTCTATGACAAATTGGACAACGGTATACTACGTGGTACCCTTGAGAAGCGTGGTCACAAATATCTTTCCGTGCTCAGTGAGCTCGCGGCGCATAGGAATTACAAACATCGGCTTAGTAAGTACGAAGGCCAAATCATTGTTGATCCGGCTGCCTACCGACAATACCTCACAGAGGAGAACGAGGATCATTTCTGGACGACTCCACTCCCACCACAAGAGACTCCAATCCTAGATGGTGGCGGTGGTCATCGATTTAGCGGCTTGACCGACTATGTTCCATCCCAGAAAGATCCATTTCCTCGTCTCAATGAATTGTGTCTACTCCTTCCCAGCAGAACTGAAGGCTTTGCATTGAGGAACAAAAGGTGGATGATCTTCGAGATTGAGGGAATCAGCGAGCGTCCACCAGTACCATCAGAAAACCAGCTTGACACAGAACTCGTATTGGTCACCGACGCAGACAAAGAATCCCTTCGAACAGTTTTACCTAGAGGCGAGAGCCCACTCAGCTCAGCCTCTGACTTTGTGGAAGGCAAAGGCGAGGGCAAGATCTTCTTGCTCTATGGCGGTCCTGGGACTGGCAAGACTCTGACAGTGGAGTGTGTTGCGAACGATACATGTCGGCCACTACTTCGCCTTACTGTGCAAGACGTCAGGCTCGAAAATGACGTGGAAGCCAACATTCGGAAGTGGTTTACCCTTGCCGCGAAATGGGATGCAATCCTCCTGATCGATGAGGCCGATCTGTTCCTTGAACAGCGGAAAGATGGAGATCTTCAACGTAATAGTCTGTCAACTATCTTCTTGAGGACTATGGAATACTACAAAGGCGTTCTCTTTCTGACAACTAATCGAGCGGGTCATATAGACGACTCTTTCATCTCACGGATTACTTGTCCCATCGCTTACAACCCGTTGTCGGATGAGACAAAAGCAAAGATTGTAGAAAAGTTTGTCAAGAAGTTCCAGGAAACAGGAAGCATCATAGTCGAGAAGTCAGCTGCAGTCTATCTGAAAGCGAATTGCAAAGACCTTAACGGCCGAGAACTTCGCAACGTGTTGCAAAATGCAGTTGCCACTGCAGAGATCAAAGAGCGGGCCAAACGTCGGTTGGCGCAATTGGCAGGTGAAGATTTGCCTCCTATCATCGTCACCGTAGGTATCCGACATATAAGCGCAGCAGTTGAGAGGCATTCTGAGTTTCAGCACGATCTGAACAAATTGAGGGGTGGTAGAGACGAGGCTACAAGAGCAAGAGGCAGGCAGGACTATCCAACAAAGCAGCCTGGCAGCTCGGGAGTCAATGGGAAGGTATAAGAGCAGACACTTTAATGTTATGATCAAGAGCATTGATACTATTTCCTTATGTTTGCGATTCAGCTGATTTTATGCTAGCTTTTCTTTTGGAGTGAAGCATTCTTTGATGGTGTCAAGGGCACAGATGAGGGGAACACTCAATTCGAAGTATTAGGTATCGCATTATCGTTTTTGTGTGGTATTACAAGATCCGATCGCTCCATCAACATAATTCCATTACATCCCAACCATGACTATCCAGTCAATGATTCATGTATCCATCCAGAGCGTAAGGGTATCTACAAAGCGAACATGGCAAGGGCGGCGGCACCGAGGATACCGACAGCCTGGGTAGCCTGAGCAGCACCACCGGTGAACTCAGACATGGAGGCAGAGGGGGTCATGCTCATGCTGCCGGTGGCGGTAGGAGTAGCGGTCATGGACATGGACTCGGACATGGACATCTCGGATGACATGGAGGAGGCAGCCGATGCGACAGCGGAAGAGGCCTCGGAGAGGACGGAGGATGCCTCGGAGGCCATGGAGGAAGCCATGGAAGAGGCGGCTGAGGCAGCAGCAGCAGATGTAGCGGAGGCTACAGCAGAGCTGGCAGCGGGAGCGCTGGCATCAGGGATGCTGATGGGAGCACCAGCGGCAGAGCAGGTGGACTCAACAGCGGCGATGGCGGCGGCCTGGTCGGAAGGACCGCAGGCACCCTGAACACAGGGCTGGACCTGGGAGAGGAGCTGAGCACCCTTCTTGCAGTGGCAGGCGAAGTCGGTGAGAGAGGAGCAGCCGTCGCTGGTGAGGGGACCGACGAAGCAGTTGAGCTGTGCACTGTTAGTTTACATGACACCCATGAAAAGTTTCTGACAACATACAGCGCAAGACGGGATGTTGTCAAGCTGAGCGGCGCCAACGGAGGCCAGAGCGACGATGGTAGCGATGGTGAAGGTCTTCATTTTGACGGAAGTTCTGGTGTTGATACAGTGATCGGTGTAGTGAGAGTTCTTTGGTATGTGTATAACGACAGTGAAGCTTGCAGAAAAACGAAGAGCGAACTGTCGCAAGCTCTTTATATCAACCGCGTCTCGAGGCCTCCCATGTCCCGGTGGGAAACAAGCTAGCACCGTAGCACCCAAGTGGATACCGCAAAGGGCATCTTGTTCGCCCCATTCGAGATCTGCGTGCAGCCCCTGGAGGTATTGCTCAATGTGGTAGAGCTTGATGACGCTACCCCAGACTACCAACTGCTAGCTGCGGCTGATCGAGACTGGACTGACGATGGGAAAGTCTATTGCTTGCCATTGCCACGGAACGAAGCGCGCCGCGTCTCGCCGAACAAGTGGTCTTGATTCATGAAGGTTGAAACAAAGGAGATATTATCCGCGTAGCTCATGTATTAAGTTTTTTGACGTATTGAATAGAAATTGCAAGGAGTATGTAGTGCAGATGCCTCATGTAAAAAGCCATTGGTGTGTCGATTGGATGTCATTGGTGAGCATTGGCACTGGGGCGACGGCGACTCCAGGCAAGGGACGGGGGAAGAACCTGTTAAGGCGCCAAGACACTAGAAGCTTTTGCTCATTGGGCAACCTGCAGCCAGTGACGGAGCTGGCCGTTCTCATTTAACCGCTTTCGGAGTTGGTGCGAAGCGCGAAAATCCGGGGCAGTCTTGGAAGGTACACATGTCAGCACGCAGAACGAACGAGGACGTACTTCACTGGCTTGAGCAGATGTTTGACAGCGATGTTCCTTCTCGAATATGGGCACTGTGATCAATGGGTGGCGGCAGGCAAAAGGCGACACAAAATCGATAGCTGGCGCTGAATCCGTTGTTACAACCCCGCAAAATTTCGACCCTTCTCGGCCATACATCCGGGACAATCCATGCACGGCTTTCTGGCTAAGCTCCCCGATTTAGTCGCGCAGAAAGTCGCCAGGAACCTGGCCCACTCGTTGAACGGATGTGCCATCCGAGCACCCATCGCTGTAAAATTCTCGGAGAGTCAAGGTCGGGTGGCGTGAGGCTGGCGGCCTTACTGTGCCTGCATGTGTCTACAGAATCCGTTCTCCAAAGAAGTCGTCTTGTATATGTTCAGGCGCGGCGCTGTAAGGTGGTGTATGTCTCTACGCGTACAGTGCTGTCATGCGACCATTACGGCCTTGTTGTTGAAGAGCAAGGGTTTGGCCGTTCCTGCGTCATATTACGCGGAGGCAGCTTCCTCCTCTGGAAGGATCTGGCGGCTCGGTCTGGCTCTGGCTTCAAGTTCCTCGGCAGCATGTGCTTGTATTTGCGCCCATCCACTGCTTTTGCGCAATCCTGGGGAGTTGGGGCCATGAGCTGTAAAGCGGAGAACCCGGGAGATCTGGGGAAACAAGCATCGTAGTAGCAACGGACGTAGATGGGTCGTGTTGATGCGTTCGCGATGCATTGCGTGATCACGGTGATGTTTGTCTAAACATTTTTCGGTGAACGCCACGCATGCCGTTAACAGCATCTGACATGTGAGCTCCGCGCCGTGGCTCTGCGATATTGCGGCGCGGAGCCTCGTATCCCCCCTGCAGGTCTCGAATTGTGGTGTGTACATGCGAGCGCCGTGCATTGGACCGTTTAACCACCGCAGATATTGGGAGGTCCGATGTTGGCACCCATGTGAGATCGCTCACCAGCTCTCTTACGTACAAGGTTACCGGCCATGTAACCTCATTGAGCTCCCAACATTCCGGGCTCTTCCTCTGGTCGAGATGTGTATCGCACGGATCCTGCGCCCCGACTTTGCGGGCATCATGGAATGCTACCTTTCGATCCTTACATTTCCAGAGGTTAGAGTTGGTTGAAGACTAAGCTGTGACTATGAGCAGACGGTACGGTTGAGAGTGATGCTATTGTGTGATACGCTGACGTTGTACGCAACCATTTCCGCAAACCGTCGTCTTTTTTTTTAGAGCTTGCGCTTCAATGGATGCAACAGACCTTGGTTTGATGCGTTCACCAGCAGAGGCTTTTGCGACGGTGGATCCGCACAAGGCATGTGTGTCCATCCTGTTTCGTGGGTTGGATTATGGTGTCATTGCCAATTCGCGCAGTAACTGACACTGGCCGTTTTGGCATGATTGTAACCAAGTCGAACGCCATCTTTCGAGGAACAACCAAATATACACGTATTCCGGATTTGAGAGTCTCAGATGGGATAAAGCGGGACCATGCAACAAGCAGCGAAGTAGATCGATGGTAGCCGCAAGACTAGAAGATATGTAAGCAATTCGATGCAGTGAAGATTGCAAGAAGATCACGTCGCATAATATAAGAAATCCAGGAATGGTGTGAAGATAGCAAGATATGTCGTGCTCAAGTCGACTGCGAGGCTGAGCAGCCTTGGAAGATAGCAGCCTGAAGATCAGATAAGATATCCCTCGGTGTTAGCTCGGCTGGGTGAGGCAGGCGCGCTAGTGAAACTTCCGTCGTCAATGTTCGCGATGGAGAGTCGACGACCAGCTGTTGGCCTCTGGTATCACCCAACACATCAACACGTAAGTTTCTCTTATGAACGTCACTGCAGTCGCGAACCACCACAGCTTACGCTAGCCCAGTAAACCTCCCACCTCCACATCACGTCGTCATCATGGCCGAGACCGCAGCTTCGCGACCTCAAAGCACGGCGGAGCAGCTTATTAGAACCTCTTCGAAGCGCACACGAGAGATATTTGCCGCCGACTTTGCGTCTCCCGCCGCACTAGATCACGCCTCTAATGGCAGTTTTTCGATCCACCCGACAACACCAGCACCCTTAGCCGCCGCAGATCAGGCCAGCGTCGCATCGCGCATTCGCAACGAATATGAGCATGTACGCGAGCTCCCACCTGCACTGGCCGCGAAAATGGCTAGCGCAGCATCCACGGCGGCCGAACGACGTAAGAAGATCAAGGCGCAGAATGCCGAAGAGAAGGCATCGGACCCTAAGATGCAGAGGATGATTGATGGTGTCGCAGAGAAGGCGGACAAAGCACGCGACGCGCAGTCGATGCAGTTGGCAGTGAGGGCCGGAGGAAAGGGCGCCGCGCCAAATGCCCAAGGACCTACGCCAAATAGAGATCAGACGTCCAGCGCGCTGGTGAGGAAGGACGTGGTTCGTCAAGCGAAGCCTGACTGGCATGCGCCCTGGAAGGTCAAGACGGTCATTAGCGGACATATGGGATGGGTAAGCAATACGATAAGATCGTGCGCAATAGCGACATCAACTGACTTTGTATAGGTGCGATCAGTGGCAATGGAGCCTGGAAACCAATGGTTCGCTACGGGTGCCGCAGACAGGACGATTAAACTTTGGGATCTGGCTAGTGGTCAACTGAAGATTACATTGACAGGACACATTTCGGCAGTTAGAGGGCTCGCAGTGAGCCCAAGACACCCATACCTTTTCTCTTGCGGAGAAGACAAGATGGTCAAGTGCTGGGATCTCGAGACCAACAAGGTCATCAGACATTACCACGGCCACTTGAGCGGAGTCTACTCGCTTTCGCTCCATCCGACCGTAGATGTGCTCTGCACAGGAGGACGAGACGGTGTAGTCCGCGTTTGGGACATGCGATCGCGCAGCAACATCCACGTCCTCGGAGGCCACAAGGGAACCATTTCCTCAATCCAATGCCAAGAAGCCGAACCTCAGGTTATCTCCGGAAGCATGGATAGCACAATACGACTCTGGGATCTTGTCGCAGGAAAGACGCGTACGGTACTTACCCACCACAAAAAGTCTGTTCGCTCTCTTGCCACACATCCAACAGAATTCACATTTGCCTCTGGATCTGCGCAATCGGCGAAGCAATGGCTGTGTCCGGAAGGCAACTTTATGCAGAACTTCTCGCCCGTCAACAGCATCATCAACACACTCTCTGTCAACGAGGACAACATCATGTTTGCTGGTAGCGACAATGGTGAAGCCTCATTCTACGACTGGAAGACAGGTCACCGCTTCCAGCACACAGAAAGCATCGCACAACCGGGTTCTCTTGAAGCGGAAGCGGGTGTCATGTGTTCGACGTTTGACAAGACTGGTCTGCGTCTCATCACTGGAGAGTCGGACAAGTCAATCAAGATTTGGAAGCAGGACGAGAACGCTACTGAAGAGACACATCCACTCGACTGGAAGCCGACACTCGGACGGCGAAAGTTCTAGAGTAGGTTGCCTTGAAGAGACGAAGCAGCTTGTGCATAGTGTTTGGAGTTGGATTGGCGTCAAGAATGTAACATTATTGGGATCATGGCATTGTTTGCATAGGAGGTTATACCAAGCACGGAGAGCGCAATCATTTCCACGGTCATCGATAGCGCATATAAAGACTCAGCATGATACAGATAGTTCAACAAGTAACTTTCACCTCAGGCTTGTCCAGACCAAAATAAAGCTGTGCAGTAGCAAGTGTGCCCAGCCTGATGCATGTGAATACGGAATACGCGGGATACGTCAGTGGTCTAAGCTTGAAAGTGGGTTGTCCAAAGAACACCAAGCCTCCCGCATTCCCAACCATCCCGCTCAAGATGCAGAAACGGGCGGCACCCGCACGATTATGGCCCCCGTGAAGCGCAGAGATCTGGTCTTCGCCGCTATCGCCATCTTCATCGCCTGGGGGTACCTGACTCATTGGCAGCCGAAGCTACACTACCTACCCTACGCCTTTATCGCCGGAGTGCTCGCGACGCTTGCGCTGCTAGCATGGCTCACCTTTACGATTGCCTGGGACAGAGACGTGCGAAGCGGCGGGAAGGTCGACTACGGGCCGCGCCATGTCGCCTTCGTTGCGCCAGATAGGTGGAAGGCTGAGAGGGAGGCCATGAACCTGAGGAACACGTACATGATGGAGCCACTATACCCAGCGTCCTTCATGATATCAGACAGCATTGACGTGCTGATTGGGCTGATACTGCGCGACTTTGTGAAGAGCTGGTATGGCAGTATAAGCAAAAGCCCAACATTCGTCAACGAGGTGGACCGGGCGATACGGGCTTCAATGGGCGAAGTGCGAGAACGCATACTGGCATTGGATATGGTCGAGACAGTTGTATCGCGCATGATACCTCTTATCACGGACCACTTGCGAGCATCGTATGAGGCAGAGCGCATAGTTCGTGGACGCAAGCTGTCACGGGATATCACGGATTCTGAGGAGCTTGACCTGGCCATTGCAGCCAAATACAAGGAGGGTCGATTGCATCCGGCGGCTTCGCTGGCATATTCGAATACCAAGCCTATACAGCAGCAACATCTACGAAGCATCGTCGCGCGATTACTGCCCACGATCATACCTGCGAACATGTCCACCAGTCCTGCCGTCAATGTACTGATTAAAGAGCTTGTAGCCTGCGCAGTCTTATTTCCTGTGATGCAGATGCTTGCTGACCCAGACATGTGGAACCAGCTTATGGAGGGCTATGTAAGAGTCTACCCGCTCGTAGTAGGACGTAGCTAACATGGCAGGGGAAATCTTTGATCCAAGAAAGGAAGACTGTTCGCAAGATTCGAGCTGCCCTCGACGAGCACGCTCCGCCGTCACCGAAAAACCTCAAGAATGTTCAATTCCCGAAGCTTGCGCCCGGTGATAATGAGCGACGATTCGAACGTTTCATACGAGCCATCCGGCAAACCAATACCCTTGCAGATGCCAGACGATTTCGCAGCGAGGTGTCAAGTCAACTACGGAAGGACTCAATGGTAGAGGGTCAAGACCCTGTGTACCTTCGGCGTCTAGAAACAGCGCGGCAGATTCTGGATACAAAGGTCGCCAACCTCAGCGCTGGTGGCTCAGTTCGGGCAAAAGTTGCCGAACAGGAGAAGCCGAAGCACAAACGTACCTCGTCCAAGTTCGCAAACGCGTCTCTGCGCGAAGTACTGTACGATGCCTCGGGCCTGTCTTGCTTTATGGAGTTCATGGATCAAGCAGACCTAATGAGGCTGGTACAATTCTGGATTGTGGTGGATGGCTTCCGCAATCCACTGGAGGTAGAGACTGAAGAAGCGCCGGACTATATAGGCGCGCTTCCTGCCTGGACAGAGTCTGATCGTGCAGATCTTGCGCAGATTCACGATGGTTACCTGTCAAAACCGGAGCTGAAGATACTACCTGAAGCACGCCAGGCGGTTTCAGAGTTTCTCAAAGCTGGACGGAAGGCAACACCGCAGCAATATCATAATGCGAGGCGTTCGTTATTGCGTGCGCAGACGGCAGCATACGACCAGTTACAGGAACCCTATTTTCGGAGGTTCAAGAAATCTAATCTGTACTACAAGTGGCTAGCCATGGACGAGGCAGCAAACGCTCAGAATAGCACCGTTAATACCAGGACTGTAGCGCAAACCCTCGACAACTCGTCCACGGCGGCTCCTGCTATGATCCGGACCCAGTCACGGCAGAAGAGTGCGTTGCAGATTCCGCATGGAGACCTGCGTCGAGCCGTTGCATCATCATCAGATCTGAAGAGCCAAGGAAATGTCAAGAACGTCGAACCGCCCGCGCGACGCTCTCTAGATGTACAGACGTCATCATCTGCACGCACGCCTCTGTTTGACGACGACTACGACTCCGACCCTCTTGCACACTCGACCGCAAGCCTCAACTCCGACTTTGGTCATGGCCGCACCAATGGTAACAACACGCAGGTGGTCGACGCCATGCAAGCTGCTATTATTGACATCATGGATGAGCCTGAAGGATCTATCTTCTACGAGCCAAGTCTAAAATCGCCAATAGACAATGTCTCGATGCATGGATCCGCCGATATACAACGAGTGTCGTCCCCGCGTCCTCAAGGACAATCACATCAAAGCAAGGAAGACCTCAAGCCAAGTATAGCATCACTGGGTCTAGTTGGAGAGCCCAGAACGCGTGGAGTCTTTGATGATGATATCTTTGGCGATGAGGAAAGATTTCTGGAAGACGAGATCGATGACCCCTTACCAAGAAGCAAAGCCGATGAGGAAGAGATACATGAGGCAGCACCTGGAGATCTGGGTCTTGCCGAAGCTATCGATGCACTTACTGCAGATATCGAGCGTCTTGTATCGCAAGAGTCTATCGTTGACTCTCTTACATCGAAGGCGGAGTTGACAAATAACGCTGCCGAACTGAGGATCTTACGAAAATCGAAAGCCAGTCTCCAGCGAGAGATACAGAGGAAGGAGCTACAACGTCAGCAGTACATTGTCCAAGAGAGCGATAACAGCTTGTATGGACGAGCCACTGTATTCATTCAATCTATCATGGTCGGTACCGAAGAAGATGGTAAGGAGTACGCTATGTATGTCATCGAAGTCCGACGACGTTCTGGTGATCAGATGCCTGCCGCTACTTGGGTCGTCTCACGGCGGTATAGCGAGTTCCACGAACTGAACAAAAGGCTTCGAGTGAAATTTCCCCAAGTTCGAAATCTAGAGTTCCCGCGCCGGCAGATGATGCTTAAGCTTCAAAAAGATTTCCTACACAAGAGACGGCTTGGTCTTGAGAAGTACCTGAGGGAGCTTCTACTCATCCCAGCTGTGTGCCGCAGTCGTGAACTACGCGCCTTCCTTTCTCAGGCGGCGATCAGTCCTGCCGATGCGTTAAGAAACCAGAATCCTAACTCCAACGACTTTGTGACTCGTATCTACAACTCGGTCGCAGATGGCATGGAAGAATTTTTGGGCAATATACCTGTACTCGATCAACTATCTGTCGCAGGTCAAAACCTCATATCAGCCGCTACCACCCAGCTCGCGAATACAAACGGCGCAACAGCCCAACCTGGCAACCTCTCTTCGTCCGGTGTTCTCGTCGCCGGCGAACCCAACAACGACGCAGAGGCAGAGGCCGAGCTCCTCGCCTTCGAAAACAAAGAGCTCGAGCCTTTCGTAAAACCAATCTGCGACATCTTCCTTGAGACCTTTGAGCTAAACCGCGAGAACAACTGGCTTCGAGGTCGCGCCGTCGTTGTAGTCCTCCACCAACTTCTCGGCGGCACCATCGAACGCAAAGTCCGCGAGTCTTTTGACAACCTGCTGTCTGAAAACAACATCGTCAAGTACATTGATACGTTGAAGGATAGCATGTGGCCCAACGGCAGGATGAAAGCGGGCGTTGAGAGAACCAGCAAGGACAAAGAGGGGAGTAGGAAAGCGGCGAGCGAGGTTCTCAGTACACTTGTGCCTGAGTTGGCGAGTAGTGTGGTGGGGAGGCAGAATGCGCAGTTGGCGGCGAAGAAGATTGAGGGGACTATTAATAATACAAGGCTGAAGTAAGTTTACAAGTGAGTTCAGTGTATTGAGTAGAGCTAACAAGATGCAGTACGCATATTGCTTTCACACTGCTAGACGAGATGATCCAGGTTTTGTTTCCGGATGTTAGTACGAAGTAATGTTCAGGCATATGGTAGTGTTGCATAGCTGGCGTTCTGCGTAAGCGTCACAGTGGAGTATTACTGTGGAGTCTTGGATCTATCCGTATCATGTTTATGTTTTGTCTCAAATCCACATCTCTATTTTTATGCTGGTTCTCATCCTCTATTGGTAATTACGATCACTCGCTCTTTCTTCTTCTTGCTTTCGTTACGTCATAGTGGCGGCCTCCCAGATTAGGGATACCTCAGGCATGAAGATAGGCACAAAGGCAGATAAGATGTTGCCCAAAGCAGTTCTGTTTATCATGCGTAGAGGTTCTGCCTAGATATGTCGCGAGGCTGAAGAGCTGGAATCCTGGAATCGATACATGTACGCGCTGGCGAGGCTGAAAAGCTGGAACACCAGAATTGGCTGGTGTACGCGCCCGCATGCATACGCCGTATGCACGCATATTTGTTCGCCATTGACTGGTGCCCGCTATTCCACCGCAGATAAAAGGAATTCGATACCTCACCTTCACCTCTCATCACAGCACGAAGGGCTTTTCGGCTAGCATCAACACAAACGGTGAAGAGTTGCTCCTTCCCAGCAAGAGTCGCCAACAACACAATCTTTGCAGCGACACATTGTTTCGTAACTTACACTCGAACTCACACTTGAAGAGACTCAATATGTCTGGACACGGCGGACGCGGCGGACGCGGCGGACGCGGTTCACGTGGCGGACGAGGTGAACGAGGCTGGCGAGGAGGTAGAGGTCCTGGTCGCGGTCGCGGTCGTGGCGGCAACTCGTTCAGCAACCACGATGGCAACCCACAGCATGAGTCAAAGCCTATTAGAACCAAAGAGACGGACGAGCAGAGAGAGGCCAGAAAGTCATACAGCTCCTGGAAGCGCCGTCTTGGTGAGGCTGAGACTGATCCGACAACTATGCGGCGCCTTTGGTAAGTACTTCATTCTACGAATCGCACATGAGACACACACTGACTTCCTACACCAAAACCTTAGGGAAGGTGCA